CTAACCCTAACCTCTAACCCTAACCCTAACCCTAACCCTAACCCTAACCCTAACCCCTAACCCTAACCCTAACCCTAACCCTAACCCTAACCCTAACCCTAACCCTAAAGACATTTTATTTTTATTATATTATTACAAATTTAAAAAACCAAAAAAAGATTAATTATACAAATCAATATAAATATATTATTAATTATTATTATCTTCAAAATCAAAATTTATAATCTTAAACTATCTAAAATATACAAATTTAATACAAATTATATTATAATTTATCAAACTTTCTAATCATTTTATACTTTTTTAATTAAATAACAAATTTAACAATATCTAAATAATTCCAAATCTCTTAAAACTTTCAGATTTTTATTAATTTTAATTTATATTTATAATAATTTATATTTTCAAATTAAAATATAGATTTTGAATATATATTAAACTATAAAAGATTATATTTCAATATCATCATTAAATAATTATTGATATTTAATAATCTTTTCTTTTATAAATCTAATACTTTATTTTCGAATTATTTTTAATTTAAATTACTCTTTTATATTAAAAATTAAATTATAGATTTATTATATAATTATTAATAGATTTTGAAATTTTTGGATTTTTCAATAATTTTATTAATTAAGAAATTAAAAAATGAAATTACAATATTCAATTTATATAAAATTTATATATAAATTTAAAAATTATTAAAATTTTAAATAATTTAAAAATAAATAATTAAAAATAAACTGAAAATTATTCTGAATCACCTACACCACAACTAATTGAATAAATAAGAATTCTAAATTTTAAATTATAACAAAAAACTTTTATTTATATTTTTAAATTTTACAAAAATTAAAAATCTTAATATTTAAATTCAAATGAAGATATTTTTATAAATTATATATCAATTTCAAAACTATTAATACTTTATCTCTTTTTATATTATTTTTATTTTATTATATTATAAAAATATTATTTATATTAAAAAGCTATAAAAAATCTAAAATAATTCATTTTATTTATTTTATATATTAATAATTACAATAAATTAATACTTTTAAAAATTTAATTATTATAATCTAATATCCTACTTTCCAATCATTTTTTTTTTCAGATATCTTTTTATATCAAAAATCATTATTTTTATTTATTAATATTTCAATAATAAATTAATTAATCTTGAAAATTTTAGATTTTTCATTATTGATTTGATTAAGAATTGAAAAATTAAATTTTTGAATTTTCAATTTGTATAAGATTTATATATAAAATTAAAAAATTATTAAAACCTTCAATAACTTTTGAACAAAAATTATTAAAAATAAATTATAATTTTTTTTGGAATATTTATATTATAATCGATCAAATAGATTAAATTATTTTAAAAAATATTTTGAAGAAATCTTTTTAATCAAAATGTTATAACTTTTAATTTTTATAAAATCTAAAAATATCAATAAAGATTAATTTATATTATTTAAAATTTAAATATTTTCTTATTTAAATAAAATAAGTTCAAATATAATATAAAATAAATTTATATTATTTATTTTAAAAACAATATTTTATGATATTATTTATTATTTTTCATTTTTTATTATTCAATTTCAATAAATTTATATATTATTAAAAGTAAATCAAGTTTTTCGTTTTTCAATTATATGTTTTATTATCTTTTTTATTTATATATTTCAAATTATTTATTATAGAAAATATTCAAGAATTTCAATTACTTTTTTATTAATAAATAAATATATTAAAACTTTCAAATTTCAAGATTTATTAGATTCTATAATCAAATTTATATATATATATAATTAAAATCTTATTTATCTAATCAAGATTTTTATAAAATATAATTAAAAAGTTATAAAGAAATAGATTTCGTTTTTTAATATTAATAATTTAGATATCTTCAATATATTCATTGTTCTTATATATATCAATTATAATAAAATTATATATATTATTCAAAGAATTCAATATATTTTATTTATATAATATTCTGAAAATTACAAAGAGATTCGTTAATTCATTTATATTTATATAAATATTTTATTTTAATTAGAATATTTTATTTCGTTTAGTATATATTATTTTGATTGAAATATATCATTTTATTTTCAATAAAATATAATTACAGACAATGATATTAAGATATTATATATTCTTATAAATTTTTTGAAGAGGTTTCCGGTTTACAAGAATTCGATGAATCAGAAGAAGTTTCAAAACAAATTCATAAAGAATATATTATAAATATTATTACAGAAGTTATATTGCAACTGAAGAAATTTCACTTTGATCAAATTAATTCTTTGTAACTCGATAAAAGCTTGAATCTTATTTCAATTGGGAGGTGTAATCTGATGAATAAATACAACGATTTTGATAATCTGGACAACAAGACTGATGAAGGTCCAAAGTTTATATAAATCAGCCCTTTTAGCTCATTATACAACTATTTTTGTATGTTATTAAAGACACAAAGACTTCCAAAGGATTTATTCTCAGTTGATATCCATAAGCTTCTACGAATAATGATCCAATGCATTCCATCTTCAGTCCTATCAAAGGAGTTTACTGAAGCCTATCCACATCTTGAGAAATTTGTACTTGGTCACCCTAATACTAGTAGTCAGAACTTTCTTGTTTCTAAAGATGGAGTATTGACGGGCATTATTGATTGGGATGGTGTGCATACTGTACCCCATTGCGTTGGATATCAGAAGTATCTTAGTTGGATCATAAGAGATTGGGATCCCGAGATGTACGGGTATTTTCGATTAGGTTGTCAAGCGGAAGACTCTCCTGAAGTATTGGAAGGTTATCGCCAACGGTACTCAAAGACTATACAGCTATTTTTACCTGAATACATCAACTACACATCCAAGTCTCATATATTTGAAGCATTGCAGATTGTATCATCGAGTCCTGTATATATGGATAGAATCGTTGAGAAGTTTTTTCATCAACTTTTTCCAGAAGAAGATCAAGAGGAAGTAGAATATCCGATGTATTTATACTAAACTGTTGTTGTTTTAGCGGAAGATCAACTGGATGATTCGGTGAAGGCAAAGATAATAGATGCTATGATGAAATTTCTAAGGTCATAGATATCTGATCTGCTCTACCACTCTGGTTTATTGAAATCCCTATGTATTATAAAAAATTATCAATTCTACAAATTTGAACGTCAAGATACTTTCAATATCATTACCTCGCTGCTTTTCATCCACTCCCTTAGATCTTCCTTTCACTTCCACCCCTACCTCTCACTAAAACTTCAAAACGTACAATTCCCATCAATTCTCTCCCCACTTACTAACTGCGTCTTCTTATTTCCCTCCGCCAACAGCAACATAGTGTTCTTTCCAGTCTCATACAGCGGCCATATTAAATCACCAACTGAGGGAGCTACTTGTGGATTGTTTGCAAAAGATAGCACGAGTGCTTGCATCGTATCTGCGACTTCGTATTCGTGGGAGGTGGAATTGCCGCGATATAAGTAGTGGGTATCGAAGAACATGGGGAGCTCGGCTATTTTGTGTTAATTGTGTTGGAGAAAATGCGAATGCGATAATTTTGAGAAAAAGTGGAAGAGGAGAGGAGAGAGAAGCATACAGCTGTGATAAGCGCCCATCCATGGTAAAGGAGAGATATTTGAGAAATTACCGGCGTATTGGTATCGGTATGTTGTTAGATTCGTATTTACTCTCGATCTTTTTATAGTTCTTAGTTAGGAAATCTTTACGTATGTTTAAGAGGCGAGACGAAGCATCATACCTAATTTCTTGGGCAACAGGACACGCGATTATGTTTTGTGTTGCCGCATATAGAGCCGCTTCACCGGGTCCATTTTCCGAAACTGGAAGAAAGCCAGCCCCTTCATTTGTAAGGGATCCTATAATTACTGGCTATTTGAACCACATCAATCATTAGCTTTGTCTCATCAAATACCAGAAAGCCAAAAAAGATGAACGCACCAGTTTTGCAACAAGTCCTCTCTTTGCCCTATCAGCAGGATTTGAAAATGCAGTGACATTATCCGGGACAGGCGTAAATCCAAGACTTGGGCTAGCTCCACTCTGCTGGTACTCATTCAAAGTACTCTCAATTGTATTTGCCGGAACATTTCTCATGCACGCTAGTTCCGGTTCTGGTGCAAGATCCTTACATCCGACCATTCCAGCTAAAGCTGTGAAATTTGTTTGAGAAGCATCGGTAGTGTCGAGGAGAAATGCGGAGCCGGAATTAATTATTAAACCTTTTACTATTGGGTCTTGAGGGTAAGCATAATTATAGTTATCTACGGATGCACCGCCAGCAGATTGGCCCCAAAGAATTATGCGATTGGTGTCGCCGTTGAAGGAGGCAATATTCCGGTGAACCCATTCGACGCTAGCGGATCGTTAGATATTTTCATGAAGCCGAAGAGAGTAGCAAGAAACATACGCTTTTCTCTGATCAAGTAATCCTGGATTTTGATTCTCCGTGATAGCCTTTGCGTTTGGAAACCCGAAAACGTTTAAGCGATAACTTTGAAGTCTAGTCAGCACATGTCGTCCACCAAAAACGGAAGACGGTCGCGCAGAACCTACTTCAGCAAGACCACAATATGGGATTGAGTTTTTTGAACCCATAGATCTGGATTATGATAAGGTATATCCTCTCCACCACCGGCATAGCCACCTCCAGGTATAAATATTAAAACAGGCAGAGTTTTATTCGTCGGGTTTGCTGGAGTCCAAATACTCAAATACAAGCAATCTTCACTCTGCCCTCCCTCAATCAGGAACTGCGGTACAATATCTGTGTAAACATTTGCGGTAGGGCTAGACCCTTGAAGGCAAGAAGGGGGGAACGCTGTAGCGTTTATGGAGGATCCTTTAGCTTTAGTTTGTGGTGCTGCGAATCTGAGGTCTCCAACTGGAGGCTCTGCATACGGAATTCCTAAGAACTGTAGGACTTGTGGTGCTGTTTGGTTAATGAAGCCATGAACATCACCACTGCTTGTTTTGATAACAAGGCCGTTGCTTTTGTTAATGGGATTGCATATTGCGGGAAGAAAGAGGGAGGAATAAGTGAGAAGAAGTAATGGCGAAAACATGTCGAATGCGAAATACTATTAAGCAAGATTCATTCAAATTGTAGCCATGTAAGATTTAGGGAATTCTATCATCTTATATCTTTTATCTTCTATCCTATATCCTATATCTTATACGTTATATCTTTTACCTTACACACACATACATACACACAGAGATAGTTACACAGACATCTAGAGCCCTAGAGTTCAGAGGAATGTGGTGACGCGTACAAGATCCGACCTTAGTTCGAACTTTTTTTAATTGTTCTCTCATGATGTCGGTATAGGTGCATGTCCAGATAAGAACATTCCCATAAACCAGCCTCTATCTGAAACTCTTGCGATCAAGTGGATACTGGATACTGTAAAGTGATCATCGGCCGAAAGTTCCACCAAAAGAACTACCGAAACCACTGCCGAGGTTTAAGAGTTATCTGGGTATCCTATAGGCTTTTCCGGGGTATAAGTAATTTCCGGTAGAGAGCTTTTCCGGGCCTTAATATGAGAAAGTAAATTTAATGAGAACTATGTATATGTTTACTCATCACTGAATGAATGGTGATTGATGGTCGCTTATGGTCGGTTATCTGAACAAAACGCGTGATTCTTCGCTTCAGCCGAAGGGAATAAATGTCGGACCATAAAAAAATAAACAAAGCTGGGAATTACATTGAAAATTATAGACAACCGGCACTTGGTCTTTGTCCGAAAAGCCATATAAACTGATTATATTAAAAGTCAAAACAACATATAGCTATATCCACCATTCTTTGCCTCGGGCTTGGTGGATACCTGATGCCACTGTCGTCAGATCATCTTAAGGCGTTGATGCACACAGGTATAGATGACCAGTTTTGTTATCCTCAGGTGAAAGTCCCTTGCCAGTCTTTTTAATCTCTTCCCAACTCGTCTCATTAAACAACTTTCCGAATTCGTCACGTTGATGAATTCCTTCATTCGAAAGCCGATGAAGGGAGAGAGTTGTCCTGTTTGGGTATCCCAATCCACGGTGGTCTTGCTTCCAGGTCCTCGATATCCCATATCCCGGGTGGTGGCACTTCTTCTTCGCCGCCTTTACCTACACTATCCCCCTCTCCTTCGTCGCCATCACCCCCACTGTTTTCCTCCTCGCCTTCTCCATCATCTTTTCTCTCGCTTTCTTCCTTTTCCTCGCATAACGCAACCGCGTTCTGTTCATCTTCGTCTTGTACATCCTCAATCCCGTAGTCCTCTCCATCTTGTGTGCCCTTATCACATGCCCTCCCTCCACTGCCTCTCCTTCCACTGCCTCTTCCTCATAATATTGACCAACATACATCCTACACTCCACCCAGAGTCAACGCCATCTCTTTCTTTGATCTTTTTATCCCATCCAGCGGATTGTTCAACTCAATGAGATATAAGGCCCAGTTCCAATAAATTCTGTTGTGGGAGTAAAATACCATAATTCTCTCCATCCATTCTTGTGAACCAAAGATTCAATCTAATCATACGTCTGCACATCCCCAAATAATCCCCTATTTTGATCCTTGTCATGATACACATCTTCGACTATCAACTTTTCGAGTTGTAGTCCTGGGAATAATAAAAGAGTATGCGGCATCTGATAAGTAGTGAAGCTTTCGTCGTCCCATACTCTTGCACCTTGTCTTTTGATTTCCGAAATAAAGGAAGGTAGTATCCCCTGAGACGAATGTTACGGATTGGAGAGATGGTAGATGATGGTAATTCCACAAGTGTATCGACCATGAGTAAGGTGGTGGCAAAGCAGGACAGAAGATTCGATAAGATGATCGGTTTAGCTTCATTGTGAATTTGACGGCAAATTTGTAGTAGGGGGTTTTTCTACTAGTAAAGAAATAAAATCCTGTCCATAATGTGTAGTCTTCAGAAGTATGTTTGAGATACTTTGAGAGAAGCTCAAAAGGATTATAAGTAGATTTGGCCTCTATGTCAACAGAGGATAGCTGTTGACATAGGATTTTGCAATAGTTGAGAATGCTTGTGATGGTGAATTGAAATAAATAAGCAATGTAGAGCTAGAAATTCGGATACAGGGAAATGCTTTTGAAGTAGGATGTTACTTGAAGCCTCGATCGCGACTACGCGTAGGTACATTTATGGAAATGGCCGGAGGCCCTCCACGCTAAAAGTGCTCACCGAGTGAATGACTCTGCGTCAGAAGCGAGATGTTATAGCCTTGCTTGCCATCAAGATAGAGTCTGGATTTAACCGTGAAGGGATAGGTTGTTCGGGCAATAGTAATGATGATTGATGGTACCTCTGGATCTTAAGGAAGATCTCGAAATAGCAACGCAGCCGCATTTGTTCTATGTCAAAGACAATATCGCAACCTGACATTCATCCTCATAATAGAAACTTAGCAATAAGAAAGTTCGGTTTGGCAGTCTGGAGTCATCCATGAGATCAATCAAAGTTGATGGGTTTTGTCGTCATGAATCAACGAAGTCAACGCGCGTGCACGTGCATGTGCAAAACGTCGCAATTACATTTCACCGTGATTTGTCACGTGTCAGATATCTCCTCGAATGTGTTGAATGAAATGAAAATTATCAAACTAAAAAACAATTTTTCCTCAAATGGAACCTCATATATGCGAAAAGTTAGGTAAGACTGACATCATAGTATCGCATATGCAATCTTGTTCTCTTCCACCTCACATCCTCTACCAAAATGACAGCCAAACAATTACCTTGATCGATATCCCAAAATCCATCGAAGACGCCCAATATTTATCTGGAGAGCAAACTCCTTTAAAAAATCGCAAAAAAAGACTTTTATCATGCAAACCACTTGTTGTACCCTATCCATCACTTGAACCCAAGTCAGCAAAAGCTCTTAAGAGTGCGCCGGAAAAAAGCATCAAGGAATTGATGTTAGAACGTTACGTCCAGCTTGCTTTGGATGAGATGAAGGAGGATTGTAATGGGAGTCTTTGTTTAGATCGTGTTTACGGGAAGGATGAAAAGAAGAGGAAAAGGGAGCTGTCTAAAGAAGGTGTAGGAAATGCAGAGCATGATGTCATCAAAGTTGAGAACGTCTGCATGCGTCCAAAACGCGTTGAGATAGATGATGTGGCTGGTACAATGCCACCCAAGTCAACGATGTTATATGGCAGTATTTCTGCAGTCAATGACCATGGTGATTTAGAACTACGTGAGGGTCTGCCGAGCTTTCATGTAATAATTGTTGATCCGCCTTGGCCTAATCGATCTGCCTTGAGGAAGAATGCTTATACTACTGCTTCGGGATCACTTGGTATAGAAAACCTATTGAATTCGTAAGGAGTCATTTCTTCGTTGTTACCTTTTTCTAATGATCAGCTGTGTTTGAATACCTAAGCTCATTCAGATGTTCATCTCGATGTGATTTTGCGATTCCCTCCGAGTTTGTAGATTTATCTGGATATCTAACTGTGTTTTAATACTCAGCTGCATTTGCATATCACCTCTATTTAGATATCCCTCATCTCATAAATAATCACTAACGTATAAAATTTCCAGCTTACCATGTCATCACATAGACAACAGCGGTTATGTCGGAATATGGGTAACCAACAAGTCCGCCTTTCATGCCATGCTTCTCGACAAAGGTGGATTATTTGACCACTGGGGTCTAGAGTTAGTAGAGGAATGGATTTGGCTAAAGGTAACATCTAGTGGTGAGCCAATTTATGACATTGAAGGAACATGGAGAAAGCCTTGGGAGATTCTTCTTGTGGGACGAAAGATGGGCGTTGGGAAGAAACTTGAGAAAATGGAGTTTGATCCTAAGAAATCAGTTAGAAATGAGAGGTTGGACGTCAAGGAGGAACACGAGGAAACAAATTTTACAAACCAAAGCAACTCTAAACACTCACACATTACCAATCGACTCACATCCACCACAGCTTCACCGTCATCTCCATCCTCTCCGAGCCCGTCCCAACCCAAAATCTCCACCATTCCCATACGACGAAGAATTTTAATAGGAGTCCCAGATTTACACTCACGAAAACCGAACCTGAGATTCCTTTTTGGACAACTATTGGGTGCTCAGGATTACAAAGGTCTAGAAATATTTGCAAGAAATATGACAGCAGGGTGGTGGGGATGGGGAAATGAGGTATTGAGGTTTCAGGGAGATGGAGCTTGGGTTGAGGGAGAAGGAGAGAGGAGGAACGGTGATGATGTTAGAGGGGAGCCAGCGGAGTCCGGACTAGCTGTTGAAAATTTGGAGGATAGGAGAATTGAGTAGGAGGCAGGAGCAGGAGCGAGTTAGCATGGTTTAATTTAAGTAATTTCGGATGGGATTTGGCCCAGGAGAATGGGTGAATTGACAGACCAGCAAGGACCAGATCTATACTAGCTGCAGATTTACAGCACAATCAAAAGGAAATCTGATGATTTGTAGAATATAAATTGCCAAGAATTTAACTGAAAATGCTAAATGGTCGAATAAATTGAGGAGTTGAAAGTCAATCCAATGTTGAAGAAGATATCGAGTTCAAATTCAATGCTGAAGTTGTAATTGATGTATAGTGTCATTTTTATTCTTCATTTTCATATATGTCTATTTAATGAATTATCCATACAATACTTCGCGCAGTATACGGTTCTTCCCATCTTCAAACCTAGTTCATCCCTTTCACTCTTCATCTGATCGTCGTTTGAGACGAGGTACCTTCACATCCTGCTCCACCTCAACCTCCTCTCCAACATTCATCCAAGTATCTCTCGTAGGCGCCCATTTCTCCTTTCCTTGCAAGATTTTCCTTGCCTGCTCTGCGATTGATAGTCGTTCTTTACTAGGCTTTTGTTTGGCGTCTGGGTACTGCTCTGCTTGCAGTTCTTGCTCTTGTTCTTGGCGTTTCTTGAGCCCTTCTTTATCCCAACTGTACACAACGTATGATTAGCCTTTGCATCTCTACAATCCTCTTTTCTTATATTTTCTCTCCAGCAGTCAACTCCATAGGTTTGCTCCCTGCTACACCATCCATTTCCCCACCATAAACACAAAACCCTCAAGAATCACAACATACGGAGAAAGGTCCTTAGGTTCTTCAGGCCACACAAATGGTCTTTCCATCTCTACCATCATCCTCTTAATACTCCTCGGCCTAAACCATTTCCTAGGTGTAGGTATTTTCTGCCCTGGTTTCCCCTCCTTCAATTTCTGCGCTTGTATATAACTTCGTACTGCTCGAACTTCTATGCCATACGCATTCCATAGATAATCCCTCATATCCAATTTATTCAGATTGAGAGGCACAATAAAAGATGCGAAAGAGGGTGGGAGATTCGGTGTGCGGAGGAGTGTTATTGTAAAGTTGGGACTGTTGTCGAGAAGGTTAGTGAGTTTGGCAGAGTGAATTGAACGATAACAGGAGAAAAACGCACAGAAATATCTCTTTGCGGCCCATCTTGGGGGCGCGAGCCACGGCTGCAAGTGGTGCTGCCATGATTTCTGTGGAACTTTGGATTTGAAGCTGCTGATAGAAATCACCAATATCAGATAAAATTAAGCGCGAAATTATCGGAGGCTATTTGGCGCGACGTTAGACGCGGATAACGTTAGCCAAACCGTTGGTCTTTCCTTATTGTACTACTCAAGTACTTCGTCAGTGTTGCACTCGCACGTGCTCACCCACCAGTCATAAGGCCCACCAGTCATAAGGTCCACAATTAAGGTCAAGTTGCTCTGCACTTGTCGTCATTCATCATATATATGAATATATATAATTCACCCAATCATACACTTTCTATTGATCTTCATGAACTTCTTCAATCAGCAACGGCATAGACTTTGTCTATACTCCGAAGTTCTAGAAATATTTAGAGCGAGAGCGAGGTTCGCAATTCTTGACTGCGAAGACTTTCATCGGAATTACTGTTGTTCACGGAGTTAACAGTACGGTATAACATATTTTCATCAGTCTCAAGCTTTATTTGGTCAGCATTGGATAAGGATTGAATCAAGGGCCCCGGCAGATCCACAACCTATAGAGCCAAGTGGAGAGGTAGAGACCATACTAGGTCTATGTGAACTAAGTAATTTTTTTGGTATAAGTATCGATTGTTGCCATTGGAATTTCCAAGTCAACAATCTTGTTGATCTACTCGAATTTCTGAACCCTTCAACACTTCTTTCCAAGATACCTCTATCTACTAACTTTCATTATACTAAAAATGGCTTCAAACCAACCCGCACAATGTTGCACTCGAGGTATCAAGCACGAGTAAGTTTTTATTCTTCCGAAGAGCGCTACGTGGGGGTTATGTATGGGGGTATGTAGCTGATGGTACTGTTATTTTAGAGGTACACCAGCGGGATCTTCAATCAAAATTGCTGATACTATTGATGCATACATTGCTGAGCCTAAAGAAAAGGTTCACAAAGATACTGCTATTCTTTACCTTCCAGATGTTATTGGCATCTGTAAGTGCTTCTACTTCGTCTCCGCCGAGAATCAAGATAATCGCCAGTAACTAATCTCCCAATCAGGGCAAAACTCTCAATTGATGGCCGACCAATTCGCTGCCAATGGCTACTATACCGTCATCCCAGACATGTTCAACGGCGACCCAATCCCTCTTAACCGTCCCGACAGTTTTGACTTCATGCAATGGATAAATAAGGGTTCTGATGGGAATAACCCACATACATACGCATATATCGATCCTGTCATTGAGAAATCCATTGAATTTCTGAAGTCCAAGGGATACACTAAAATCGGAGCTGCGGGATACTGCTTTGGTGCTAAATATGTTGTTAGATTTTTGGCTGAGGGCAAGGGTGTTGATGTTGGATATGTTGCTCATCCTTCGTGAGTTCTGTCTTTCTACGCCCTCATTAGAAAACACTCAAAGCGAAAACTTAAATACCACAACTAACACGTCCAAGTTTCGTCGAAGAACAAGAACTCAGCGCAATAAAAGGGCCCCTTTCCATTGCAGCCGCCGAAACGGATGAAATTTTCCCACCTGAGAACCGCCACAAGACAGAAGAAATTCTCAACGAAATGGGGGCTAAGTATCAAATGAACCTTTACGGTGGTACTTCGCATGGTTTCGCGCTCAGAGGTGATATGAGTAAGGCGGTTGTGAAGTTTGCTAAGGAACAGGCTTTTTTGCAGGCCGTTGCTTGGTTTGATGAATATTTGCTTTAAAAATAAGGTTGCGGAACGAGGTGGAACGAGGTGGAACGAGGAGCTCGAGGGGGGGAAGGGAAGGTGGAGGGAAAGAAAGGCGATGAAGTATGTATAGTAGGTGGGTGTAAAAAATAGTTGTGTGCGAGCAGATGAAGAAAGCCGGCAATTTAGACATGTGAATAGAGTCAATAGACATAAATAAAGTTCAAAGCTTCAAAGCCAGGACATGAGATGGAAGTGAAGTTCATTGTCATGATTGGATCCGAAATATTGACATTTATTTATTTATGTATACTCGAGTATGCATCTACTTCATCTGTCAATCTTCAGTTGCATTCTTTACCTACCTACATGGACATTACAATATGATATTTCAATGATAAGAAATGTCACCGCCTTCGCTTCCCCATCTTATCTGAACAAATCAACTTGCCCCATCCCATAGAAAACGATTATGAACAAGGATAAAAGCTCCTGCAAGACAAGACGGGATGCATCTGTAGCTTGTTCAATTTAGACAATTTCTTCCAACATCAGCGACAAAAATTGATTATGACCACACCAACTTTTTCCCCAATAATTATGAAATCTTGCAGATGATCGACATACCTAGCACCGTACCTTATTGTATACCCGAAATTTACTTTCTACCTTTTCTCTTCACGCCATATTCCAATGTGCAACATGAGGGGATGGTAATGGTGCCTTTTTTATATCACCTACCTTTGCTATGATAAGAAATTGAAACGGATTGATTAGACGGACTCGAAAAAGTCAGAGCATAGGATCAGAAACCCCGCGTCTGACCAAAAAAAAAGCTCAGAGGCATGACAGAAAAGCTTGATAAAGCATCTCCTAACGGCATTATCTGCTAGAGCTATCAATGAAGGAGGCAAGATGTCTTCTGGGTATTATATTCCCATGTCAGTTTCTATCTCTCCTCCACTAACAAATATATATTGCAGTTCACTCAAGGACCTTACGAAAGCCATCAAAACTTCGGCAACAACTTCTACCCGATTACCACTTCCCGATGATCTTGTGCGAGCTATTCACTCTTATCCTGAAAAGAATCCTACCCACGATGAAGCCGACTCCAGCAAACTACAGGAAGACCTGCTCTCCATCTATGAAAACGACATCGCCGACCACCCTACCCGCTATGCCTTCTTCCTATCCATATTGCGAAAACTCAGAACTTCAATCAAAGGGGGTGGCAGAATGTTGCAATGGTGGGATAAACTATGTATACCAGTATTGAGTCATCTTGGAGAAGAGAAGGGATTGGCTTTGGAAGCTAGGAATACTCTGCTGGATATTCTCATTTATGATGAAGACGAAGGACATATCGAGGATGCGATCACTACTTCGGACACGGTGGCAGAAAACCTAGTCGCAATTTGGTTGGCAAAGAGTAACAGTGGCGTCATACTTGATGAGAATGCGAGATTTATTGAGAGTCAATTAAGGGGTATACTAATATCATTCGGGAGGAAGAGACCAAAGGTATGTAAATACATCACTCAATCTGAGGATGGGGATGGAGCACTAAGGAATTACAGAACTTCTTGACTGTCATCAACCGATACTTCGTGAAGAAAGACAGCCGAATTCTTACCCTTTCGTTGCTTTGCGAGTTTATCCGACATCAACCCCCTCATTTACATCAATTGCTTCAGACCCCTCTCTTCGAAAACCTTCTACGATGTTTACAAATAGATACTTCGACTCGAGTGGTGTCATTGGCTATGACAGCTTTGATTATGTTCTTACCACATGTTCCAAGCTCCCTTCCAAAACATCTCCCTGCTCTTTTCAATATTTATAGTAGGATGCTTTTCTGGGATAGGGAACGAAAGTACGAAGATCATCCACCGTCTGATGACCGAGATGATAAAAGTACTCATAGTACAAGCTCTTGGACCAAATTATCTTACCTCCTGGATTCGGAAGATGTATCAGTTCCTGAATTGTTACATTATTACACATTTCTTTACGGCCTTTATCCCATGAATTTCATGAGTTATATCCGAAAGCCTCAAAAGTTTTTGAGACATCAGGGATTTCCAGGAGCTAATGAACTTGCAGTTGAACCTATGGAAATTAGACACAGATCTGAACCTTTCAGACAGGTCCATCTCTTACATCCGAATTTCTTCACAATGACTATTGATCAAGAATTATCGGATACTAATCGATGGATGAAAAGTGAAGCATCGGATGTTGTTACTGAATGCATGGCACTATACATTCCAGGATATGCTCAACAAGCCCCATTATCAAGATCACAACTACCAAATTTACATGTTGACACTAATCCTGACGTTCCAGATCAACCACTCACTGAAAACCACGCAACTACGCCCGCTCAATCTCGACACACGAGTTGGAGATATGCTGCACCAGCTAGCATGGCATCACCAGAAGGACTCCGAAATTCGTTACTAAGAAGAGCTTCATTCACAAGTCAATCAATGCCTTCAATTGCGGATTCTCCTGTCTTAAGAGCCGAAAAACGATTTGATAGTCCTACATTCTCTCCATTCATGGCTACATCACCTTCGCATACTCAGTTACAAGATTTGTTGGATTCTCAACGAGCTGTATCGATTCGGAGTGGGATTTATCAGACGTTGACCAATGAAAGTGTACAATCTCTCGCATTGAGTCATCATGCCCAAGATAACAATTCTCATGTTGATTCATATCTGCAAACACTTGCCCGAGCACATGCTTCCCCTCGTTCGCCGTCTTTGAGACCTGGGACAAATGATTCGACCAAAATTGCATACTTACAACGCGATATTATGTTATTGAGGAATGATTTAAATTTTGAACGTTATCTCAAACAGCAACATCTAACTCATATTGGTCAACTCCGCCGAAAAGCCATCCGTGAAGCCCGAGTTGAAGCCGAAACTCAGAATTTAATTAACTCGAATAAAATTTTAAAAGCAAAATTGGAAGATGCCAAGAAAACTATTGTACAAATGAAAACGGAATCCGATAAAAGTCGAAATCACTCCAGGAAATGGGAATCAGATTTGACAGCCAAGTTGAGACTATTGAAAGAAGAACAAAAGAAGTGGACCCTTGAAGGGGATCAATTGAAGCGTGATTTGGCGGCGTCAAAAATTGACATGCACAATCTAAGACAATTGGTCGTTCAGGCCGAATACAAAGTTGTCCATTCTACACAAGAGATACAAGTGGTGGAGTCAAATAAAGAAGAACTGGGAAGATTACGCATCGAGGTCGAAAAGCTTACTACTAAGTTACGAAATTATGAAGCTCGAGAGGTTGAAATGGACAAGGCGAAACAGGACGAAGAGCAAGCTCACAATGCAATTGAACTCCTCAATATGAAATTGAAGGCTAAAGATGCGGAAATCCAACAATTGATTGTTCAATTCCAACGTGAAATTGAAGAAGCACAAAACGCCAAACAGCTTAGCTCTACACAATTGGATCCTGCAAAGCAAAAGGTCATTGATGAGGCTTTGGCTGGATCACGAAGGCGTATGGAGGATATGCAGAAAGCTCATTCTAATCTTCTAAAACGATTTACTACTTTACAACAAGAACATCTCGAATTACTCACGACACGAGACAAAGTGTCTGATTTACCCGAGAGTATTGATGGATCATCTGGAGCACGGATTCCTCAAAAAGATCATCGTCGCTTAGCTCACAGTTATTCTGATTCAGGCAGACCCGGAAGTCTTATACCTAGTGCTGCATTTCCACTTACGGGTACATCAAGTTTCATTGCTCGCCCTAGGATAGATACACACAGTCCAACATCAGGTCATGCATTCAGATCATCACCCACGAGCACTCCTGCAAGTCCTGATCTCTATGGGGGTAGGTTTTCCCATTCCAATACCTTTGGTCCGGCACCTGGATCTTCACATTCCGATGGAACAATGAGTAGGGATGGCAATATTAGTGATAGGGATTCTTTGGAAGCGATAGGAAAGCCCAAAGTCAAGCCACAAAGTGAAATGAGGGTTTATGGCCGTGGTGAGTACACTCATGTCTCAAGTCTAGCAAATGGGACTCTGAAGTCGAAGAAAGATGATCCTTTCCCTCATGTGTTCTCCGTCTCTTCGTATTCATTACCTGACGTGCAAACAGGAGGGGTTCAAAACATTGGTAAGTCGAAGAAGGATAAGGATAATGGTAGGAAGGAGGGCAGTGGGAGTGGTGCAGAGGATAGTCCGAAGAATAGTCCGAAGAATAGTCCGAAGGAAAAGAAAAAAGGCAGTGGGTTGAGAGGATTAAGGGCATTTGTATAAAGTATAAAGTCATTGGGTTGATTGATCGATTGGATGGATGGAGTGCATATGGGAAGGAAAGGGAAGGGGGTATCAAAAAAATGGTGGTTGGATGGGATAGGAAAGGGGAGTTGGAAAAACGTACATAAAGTGCGGTTCCGGCCTTATTTTTGTTTTTATGGGTTGGTCGAAGATGATTTGATTGCTTCATCTGTTGACTGGATTTGAATTGATTGACTGGAGGCGTTTGGTTTGGGCATGGGAATGGACATGGGATGGGTGGTTTGCATTGATGAAAAAGTTTGTAGATGTACATTCAAATGATATTTGCAAATACTTATATCACTTTGCTTTTATTGAAGCAGTAGGATTAATTAATGAACGAATCAATTCTTAGTCAATGCAGCTGACGATGTTAAGCCGATGGATACCGGTTTCCGAGGTTTGTTTTTTTTATGTTGGCTTAGATTCCGTTCCATTGTATTTATTAGAAATTGGGAGATAATTCTGTATCAAGGGAGAAATGTTCTCTTTTGTAGGATAAATCTAGTCATTGTCGAAAGGGAAATAAGTCGCTCAACATTTTATTTATATTTAAATATCGAAGATATCAGTGTATGTGGATTTATAGTAAAATAGAGTTTATAAACGTACTTACATTTTTTAGAGGAGGGGAAGCATTTGAAGATTTGAAGATTACCGAGGACCGTATTTACCGATTGTAAGGCGCTAGTATGACGTTTGCGGGCGAAGGTTGCCGGTATAGATTTGGAAGACTAAACAAAAATATTGCACTGCATACATACGATTTTAATTGATCGAATATCGAGTTGTCATAAAGTTTTTGAAGCGATCGACTCACGGATACACAAATGAAGTGTTGGGAAGAAGGTTGGGGCAACTGAAATGTGAGAAATTGTTACGGTGGATTGATTGATAAGTATAAGAGAGACAAGCTGCATCAAACGAATGGATATGATATGACCAAGGATGCCTCATCGAGCTCAACGAATATATTTACAGGATATATCGAGCAGAACGAGCAGAACAAGAACGGATCACGAGAGATACATAAAGGCAACGGACGCAACGGAGATATGGCAAGCGCAGTCATTGAGGCGAGGAGGAAACCGGCGCCGACTATCTCCCCCACGGATGATGATACGGTAGTACTGGGGGGTAAGAGGGCAGCCATAAGAGAAGGGAGAAGGCTAAAGACGACGGGCAAAGAGATTAGGAATAAACAGAGTTGGGACTATATGTGGAGGACTGGGCTGGCGGGTGGCTTGGCTGGTAGTGTGGTATGTATTCTCCATTTGCTATTTTCAGCGGACTCTACCTAGGGGCTCTGCAGCACCGAAATCTAGAGATAAAGGCATCTAGCTAACGCAACATTCAACAGGCAAAAACTGTAGTCGCACCTCTCGATCGAGTAAAAATCCTCTTTCAAGCCAGTAACCCTCAATTTGCCAAGTACACCGGCAGCTGGTTTGGCTATATAACAGCCATGCGCGACATCCACACGGACGAAGGACTCCGCGGTCTCTTTCGCGGTCACTCCGCAACAATTCTCCGTATATTTCCTTACGCGGCTATAAAATTTTTAGCCTATGAACAAATCCGCGCTGTGATAATACCGAAACACGAATATGAAACCCCGTTTCGAAGACTTATAAGTGGTAGTTTGGCGGGCGTAACTAGTGTGTTTTTTACGTATCCGCTCGAGGTAATGAGGGTACGATTGGCATTTGAGACGAAGAAAAGAGGGGTGGGCTTGGCTGAGATTTGTAGGAGGATTTATCATGAGGTTCCTCCTGCGCCAAGGACATCTACAGCAGGATTAGTTGCCGGTGCAGAAAATGCAGTTCAGGCTATAGTGCCGAAAAGTGGACTCGCAAATTTCTACAGAGGGTTCTCGGCTACGATTTTGGGAATGTTGCCCTATGCTGGAATGTCGTTTTTAACACATGATACCGCGGGTGATTTATTAAGACATAAAGCTGTGAGGAAATATACAACACTTCCTAAGCCCGATCATTATGCGGAGAATAAAGCAGCGCCTCTTAGATCATGGGCGGAATTATTTGCTGGTGGTATAGCGGGGTTAGTTAGTCAAACGAGTGCTTATCCGTTAGAGGTTATTAGAAGGAGAATGCAAGTTGGAGGAACGGTTGGGGACGGGAGGAGGTTACATATTGCGGAGACAGCGAGAATGATTGTTCGAGAAAGAGGGTGGAGGGGATTCTTTGTAGGACTCACTATTGGGTATGTGAAGGTTGTGCCGATGGTGGCAGTTAGCTTTTATGTTTACGAGAGAGGGAAAGGGTGGTTGGGTATTTAGGGCCTGGATACGGATTAGGGGGCTTTTTATAGATTCGGGAGAAAGTAACGGATAGATTTTGAGGCATTTGTGGTGCGGTTATTGTATGTTGTATGCTCTATGTATGTATATATGCATTCTTGTTTGAGAAGATGCCAAGATCGCGTTATTGGAGGGTCCGCCTTTATCAAAATCCGAAGTTTAGAATAGAATTTAAATTTTTTCATCATTTGACTTGGTTGGCACTGTATCAAGGAAGTGAACAGGACCGAATTTTTTGTAGCTAGACCAAGTGGATCTTCTTCATGTCCTTCATCCTCGTCTTATCTTTCCAGCGTACGAAGATCTCAATCTTGTAAGACTTGTGATGTGGTACGATAGCGAAGTAGTGCTTCATACTTCATCTCATGTTTTCAGCTGTGAGGTCAATTGCATGAGGATTCCTTAAGATTCTTAAAGATGCATATATTTGTGTATGAGTGCAAGGCACGACATGATAAATCATCACGAGATGGGATAAAAAATGTAGCATTTCTTGATTGAACCAGTCTAAGCACGGATGAGGATGGGTGGCTGCATGGAGTGTGTGGTTCTTCTGTGGTATGGGAAGTTGGCGGCTGTGGTAAGAAGAGGCTGGAGAGGGGTTGGTGTAAGTTATTGGCTGAGTAGATACAGCTCTAAAAAGGGAAAAGAAAGGGGAGTTTGATGGGAAGGAAGAGCGTGCGGGATTTCGAAGAAAGTTTCAAGTTATCTGATTAGTGGGAAACCTTTGGTTTTTCCGATGTCCAATCTACACTTGATCACTGATTGTTCAATATTTGTTGAATCGGTATATCCTTCGTAGTAAGTCTCAAACTTGCATATGGACTAGGTAATTTTATTTGTTGTACTTGTACTTTGTGCTTTTTCGTCCTTGTGTTTGTGTAATGACGGCCACCTTTATCTCTTTTTGTCTTGTGTATCCAGATTGTTTTTCTTTTTATATTTATGATCCGTTACTTACTCCATTCTCACCCTTATTCAGTCTCATCATTGTTCCACGCCTTTTAGTTGCCGTATCATCGCATCAATCTCGCTCTTCCTCTCATCTCTTCAATCAATATCCCAATCCTCCCCGTAACATAACCCGTTCATCCAGATGCTCGGCCGAATTTTCTATCCCGCTCTTCTTCCTCGCCCTCCGCTTTCCTCCCCTCCATCTTCTTCCTCCTCTCTTATTTCATCCACAAAAACCCAAAAATTCACAACAAGTCAAATAGCAACAATTCTCCTAACTCTTTCTACAATCTCCTCTCTCCTGCTCAGTTCCACATATCTACCGCTTATCGAAAGGTACATATGTAATACTTATACGCCTTCTTCCTCCTCTATCCCCTCTTTGCCGACCGCCTCAACCAAATATTTAGGAGGAGAAGAACAATGTAGATCCTCAGTCCTGCAAGTCCGAACAGCGGAGATCAATAGAACTTTCCAATTTTTATGTTATTTACCAGGGATTCTTTTGACGGAGTTTTGGGGGTGGATTGCTGGTAGATATTGGGCAAGTGGAAAGCAGTTGCCATGGCAGTCCCCATTGCATGGGAGGAAATTGGTAGTTATGATGGCTGCAGGAAGTAGTGTGGTTGCCGGGTGTTGGTGGGGTTTTATTTGTGAGTTCTTTTATCTGGTTTCTTTTTACATGCGGCAGTGGGAGCGGAACAAGGAAGAGAAGCTAAAAAAAAATGTGATTTAAATAGGTTGGAACTCTGATACATGGGATATTAGATGGATATATATCATTCCTCTTTTTGATCTGTTCGGTGGGGGGCACGTGATTATGACGAGCTTGCTGTATACTTACGTCAGTGAAGGGGTGACGGGTGAGAGTAACGATAGAAATGGAAAGTTGTAAGTCTTGCCCTTGACTTATCTCACGAAGTCTTCATGCAAATATCGCTTTCTTTAAGGTCTCATAGATGTCTGAGCTATTCCTCTCTTTTACCGAATTTCTGACAGTTAAACCCAAGGTCCTCAACACTCTATCGCCTGGTTTCTCTACAGCTCTTTAGCAGTTTCAAAGCCCTTTTGCTAGCAGACTTCTTGTTGAAGTATGAATGGGGCATTTGGGTTATTTGTGCACTTGCGATTGGATGTAGGGCTATTGCTGTGGGATTGACGACGTTTTTACCTTCTAGAAAAGTTATCGACTCATTTACTGACATAGGACGTGACGGAGGAAATGCTGATGCGGAAAGGGAACGATACAGAGATTTCATTTCGAGCTCAGAAGACAACGGCTCAGTCGCTTCAATAAAATCAAGACACCCTGACACCTCATTTTCATTATCTATCAATACAAATCACATGCCACCACCACCACCACCACCACCACCACAACCACACCATGAATTTAAAACTTTACTTCTACTATTTCTCTTCTTCCTGGTCACTCTCTCACTCAGAATTCATATTTTCTATCCACAATTCACAAATCTCTCGCAAGATCTTTCACACGATATTACTACCACTATTTATAGTTTTTGTCTGTTGGGCGCTAGTATCTTACTGTACATCCTTCCCCAAATTCAAGAATACACGCAACGGAAAAGGAATTTATGGATGATATTCATGGGCAATCAAGAAAACGAGGATCCAGATCGCAGGATCCAGAGCCAAGTCGAGGGGATAGAAGGTATAGAAAGGAAGGGGGGAAACGATCTTAACATTCTAAGATGGTGTTTAATAGCTAATATAACGAGTTTAATACTCTTAGCACTTCCTACGACGAAAGGAGTGGTGTTTTGGATGGCGGTCGGAGCGAGTGTGGCTGGTAGTCCGGTACAAGTTGCTTTGATGGCTTTGGGGACTGGGTTACTTTCTAGTCGGGGAAGTTCGACTAGTTCAAACGTTTTTAGTGATGAGGCTTGTGGGAGGGAGGGGGATTTTTTATCTACTCGGAGAGTTTTGGGAGATGTCGATGCGGGCGTAGATTCCGAAGTGGGTGCAATCAATGTGAATGGAAAAGGAAAAGGGGAAGGAAGATCCGAGATGGAAAAGCTTTATGTGAGGATGGGGATGATAGAACAGGTGGGAGCTTGTTTGGCGACGGGAGTATGGACTTTAGGGTTTCCGATGGGAATTGGTGGAAATGACGATGGAAATTACGGAACAGACGATGGACTTGTGGACTTTGAGAATTGGGAATTTTTGGGGTGGATGGGTAAGAGGGGTGGGGTTTTATTGGCGGCTGGGTTAATAGGTTCGGGGTTTGTGGTTTTGCGGAGGTTAGAAGGGAGGAAGAATGCGAACGGAGATGAAGAGGGGAGGATTATGCTTCTTTGAAAACGGGCAATGATTAATGCATAATGAGGTTTTACAACGCTGGGTTGAGGATGTTTGTTTTTTCTTAGGGGCGATTAAACTTTTGATGACCATGGCTAGATAGCTACAGAAAGAGAAACGAATAGGAATGAGGAAGGCAGGATCACACTTTGCTAAAACTTGGGGCCAGAGGGGGGCTTAACCAATAATGAGTTTCACGAACTGAGTGGTTGTCGGTTTGTCTTTGCAAATTGGCAGGAAGGAGTTCAACTTGACAATGGCGACCAAATGAAATGCTAATGAATATAACGACAGAGAGTCATGTGAATTAGATTCAATTCCCTGATACCATTATAAGTTTTCCGGACCCTCCTTCCTCGGATCTATAACTTACTAATTCAATGGTGATGGTTATAGAGGAAGGAAGTGTTGTGGCTTCTCGGTGTAGCTATCTGCCTTTATTTCATTTATATTTGTAACTTCGGGTTTTAAAATATTCATCAGTGAACATACAACCAAAATTCTGAATCCATCATTTTGGAGATCGCTATATCATTAAACTATTTTACTTCGGCTCACAATTAGGCCGCTTAGCAACTCTTCAGCATACAATTACTTCACATACAACTAATCAGCCATGCTTCTACTTTACAGTCAAAATAAGGATGTGGATACGGATACTGATGATGAGGGCACGGATACAGATGGTGAGTCATTCGTGACTGCGAAAACATCGTTGCCATTAGATGCAAGTATTGTCGAGGGTAGAAAAATCTTTACGAAACTTGGTACAAGCGAGCTAAGATTATCCATTTATGATAGATAAAACATGCTAATATACCATTAGAGAACAACCCAGAATTCATGAATAAACTCGCAGTGAAGCTTGGTCTTTCCCCCGCTCTTAAATTTTACGACGTTTATTCACTTGTTGAATCGGAATTACTCGGAGATATCCCTCGCCCCGTCTACGCCCTTCTTTTCATCATTCCATTAACTTCTGCCTGGGAAACAATCCGGCTTGCAAAAGACACAGCAAGAGAGCCTTATGAGAAATGTGGCGCTGATGAGCCTATCATTTGGTTTAAACAAATAATAAGTGGTGCTTGTGGTGCCGTTGGTCTCTTACATTGCCTTCTCAATGGTCCAGCTCAAGAATACATCCTCCCTGACACTACATTATCTCAACTTTATGAAAAAAGTATTCCTTTAAATCCGGGTGCCCGAGCAGAGCTATTATATAACAATGAAGCATTAGAGGAGGCTCACCAGTCTTGTGCAGAATTGGGCGATACAAAACCACCACCACTTGGAAAAGATAATTTAGGACTGCATTTTGTGGCTTTTGTAAAGGGAGATGATGGATGGCTGTGGGAATTGGACGGAAATAGAGTGGGTCCAGTTCGAAGGGGACCATTGGAAGAGGATGAAGACCTTTTGAGTGAGCATATATTGAAGCGGTGTATTGGAGGACTTGTTGAGATGGATGGAGGTAGGGATTATAGGTATAGTTGCATTGCGCTAGCTAAGGATCCAGCCCAGTCTGTCAGTTTGCCTATTCATTCTCTCGATCGTGGTCGTTCACTTAGAGATGAAGGGGTACCACGGCGTGGAATCTGGGATCCAACTTATCGTCATCCAAGCTGGTCCCCTCCACCACCGGATCATGGGGGAAAACTTCCAGTAGAGTAGCAAGATCAGTGATTTCATTATGCTTCGTACTTCAAAAGGTGGAGGTATTATTGAGGCTAACAGCGTCAAAGAGTAGTTTAAATACAGCGTCTATCATTAGTTTAATCGAAGAATTTCCACAGCTAGGTCAGAGATCTTTTCATTGTTCTCATAAATTCTTCGATCTGTAGCCATATCTTCAAGATCATCAGTTATTGAAACTAATTTGGTGAATCCACATTAGCCAGTACCAATGCAATATCGATAAATTTAACATGTGTCAGACGGGAGAGCTCTTATGGGGTAAACATTCCGTTCCGCATGAACCAACACAAGCCAGACCGGTATTACTAGGAACGGGAAAGTAAATTAGACCGAATTTCATATATCGGAAGGATCAATACACCTCTGTATGGTATGAAATTACTTTTTACGGTTAAAAATATGGTTAAATCCAGTCATCATGCCGTGAACTCCACAATTTGCCACGACCTATCACTACCGAGGTCTTACATCCCCTCGTTTACTAGGATATTTCCCCAGAAAATATAAAAAAGAAACAGGGCAAGTGTTAAAGAGGAACTCAATCGGACATATACTCGGTGGTAATACACGATCAAATGATTGGAAATTTCTAGAGAAATATATCAGCCGATATAGAAAAGGGTCCGGTAATTTGGTTCACGAGGATAAACAACGCATACCCCAGATTTCGGTATTACGCTCCTGACACTATTTGAAACGGACCTTTCAAAACCTATCTAGTAATTGATAGGTTATCTGTGATTTCTGCAGGGCTTACTTAGTATTATGGTACTTCTGTCAGATTGTCGAGTGGCTCAGATCTTGTGTTCCAAGTGGTCATAAAAGGTCCGTAACCCCTTAATTTAAAAGGATACACATGGGAAACGATCAACATTGGACTACAAACTTCTGTGGCTCCTCCAGTTGGCGTAAAGGATAATATATAATACCTATCTTAGAACTTTCATTCGTGGGTACGATGCTTGTATGTTCTGGCCACATTTGTCCCTTGATGTCTCTTCCTTCCGTCTTCTTCAGCAGAGATTCCACGGACTTGGATATTATATACCAATTTGGCAAGTGCTCCTCGACCGACTATATGTGATTTGCTGGAAGAAAAACTCTTGTCTGGTCCTAAAGTGCCAAGAACGAAGATGGAGAATTACCCCGGATTTTCTCACATGGTTTTGGCATCAGAAGATACTTTAATTACGTTGCAATATATCGATGTGCTACTCTTGTAACTCTTCTAAGCAAGGAATGATTGTAACATTCACTAGACGGGACTAATCTCTAGATTCGGTGATGAGTTCTATGGCAAGTGATCTTATTCACCACTTCCGCATTTTGGAAAAGTGATAGCTCTTTCCTAGAATGAAAACATAAATGTTCATCATTTCCACTTGGGATCTTCTAACGGTAGATTTTACACTCCTTCTGATTGACATCTTTCATTTACCTTCCTTAAAGCGTAAGATTGACTGGCTTTCTCCGCCTACGCAAGACCTTGTGTAATATTCTTCATTTTATACATATCTATTCTTCAAACGAAGCAGGATGTATTCCAAATCTACCATCTTTTATCGAACCCTCTTACTCTCCCTTCCTCTCACAATCACTGCTCTTGCCACAAATTTCCAGGGAACCTATCAACAATATGCAACTGCTACCTACCACTTAAAGGATACATACAATTCCAAAAACTTCTTTTCGGCATTTAGCTTCTTTACGGGTGAAGATCCTACTCATGGATATGTATCATATCAATCCCAATCAGCGGCATCAGCACAAGGTCTTATCAATACCAATAACGGACAAGTATATCTTGGTGTTGACTCCAAGACTGTTAATCCTGCAGCTGGTCGTGCATCCGTCAGACTTTCGAGTAATAAATCCTATAACCATGGTCTTTTCATTGCAGATATTGCCCATATGCCGGATTCACGGTGTGGTGTCTGGCCTGCATTCTGGATGACGGCGGCGGGAGCTAATTGGCCATATGGGGGGTATGTCCCAAGTTCTTTTTCGTTTCTTCATCGTTATCATATATTTATACCACACTCCTATATTCCCAATTCTAATTCTTTCTCAGAGAAATAGATGTCATCGAAGGTGTCAATCTCGCTGGCACGGACAGCATAACCCTTCACACAGCACCCGGCTGCGTGATCAACACAGCTGGTTCCCAACCTGGCATCACCCCAAGCGATTCAAACTGCAATTCCAACAACGGCTACAACGGCTGTGGCGTCGCAACCAACAAACCCAATTCCTACGGAACCGGTTTCAACAATGTCGGAGGCGGCGTCTACGCCATGCAATGGGAATCTTCCGGAATCTACGTCTGGTTCTGGCCTCGCGGTAGCGTGCCAGCGGACATTACTGCCGGCAATCCAGTAACGGGGAATTGGGGATTACCAGTCGTGGCATTTAATGGCGGAAGTGGATGCAATATCGATAGTTTCTTCAAGGACCAGAGCATTATCTTTGATACCACCTTTTGTGGAGACTGGGCGGGTGCAGTTTGGAGCTCAGGTAACTGTGCGTCATTATCAAACACGTGTAATGCGTTTGTAGGGCAGAATCCAGGCGAGTTCCAGCAGGCTTACTGGGCTATCAACTCGATTAAGGTTTATCAGCTATAGGGGTGGTTTGGGTTTCGGGTGGTGATTAGTGTCGCTACCATTCTTTTTGGTACATTGGATTCTTTGATCTTATTTTGTGTTGACTTCTATGTATATACTAGTGTATTCGATCTATTCTTGACTCATATCTAGCTGCAAATCATTGATGTTTATCTCCAGCGTTGAAGAGTTAAATCCCTAACAGCTATTCACTGATAATTCATGTCTTGGTCAATAGTTTTCCATGCCGGGACTATATTTTTGGCTTTTTAAGCGAGTCTCAAATTGGGCCTTGGGCATAAATGCATACACTGTCTTCCCTAAATCTTGTCAGTAGTTGTCGGAAAGTATTTTAAGAAATAAAAGTGTAAGGGTTGATTTGAGAAAAATCTCTCGGTAAAAAGTATTGGAAACGCTTAGCCTTTCTGTAAAGTAGCCAACGAATGCTTCACAAAATTCCTCGAGGTCGTTTTACCTCAATAGATGGCCTGAAAAAACTCCACATCACATCATCCACCTGGTACCCTCAAGCTTTGTCTTCTAAAATCCAAACCCGTTTTAATTAAGCATCTGCGCATCATTTAAACTCCGCAAGCGATACTTTATTTCCCTGCCTATCCCCACGGTCCCTCGCACCTCCATTCAAAACCTTCTTGACAACCTTTCCCAACCTCACAACTCCTTCCTCCAAATCATCTGGTTCCTCCCACGAGAAACAAAGTCTCAATCCCCTCGGCAATTTGACACTATCATCGCCTTGAACCTCAAATATACTGCCTTTAGCCACGACGAGATTTTCCTCTTCCAATGCCATCTGTGCTATCAATTCTCCATCAATACCATCTGGAAGATTCAACCAGAGGAAATATCCTCCAAAGACTTTAATTTCCTTTGATTCTGCGCCGGTATTTTCAACTCTCACACCGAGTGGTCCCAACTCCCTCTTGATTGCTTCCATTATCCTTTCATATCGATTCCTAAAAGCAGGTTGAAGCACATCCTCAATGTGTCTCGTAAGATCACCAGATCTCAATACCTGGTCTATAATAGTAGCAGTCAATTGACTTGCACACCCACCACTCCTCGAACTACCCACCAAACCTAGTCCCAACGCGAATTTAGGAGTTGCTTCAGTCCATCCTGTTCGCACGCCTGGGCCGGCTATTTTACTAAAAGAGCCATTACTAACTGCATTCCCAAAAGCCTCTGAATCTGGGATTGGCTCAAGTGTACGGTCAATATCTACAAGTCGTGGTAAGAAGGCTTTTTTGAGAGGACCATTCGAGGGAGATGAAGTGGTAGACCATTGGAGAAAATCGTAGACATCATCTGTAATGATTAAAGCATCGTATTTGCGAGCTAATTTGACGAGAGAGATGCGACATGATAGAGACATGGTTTTTCCAGATGGATTCGAGAAGGTAGGGACACAGTAGATGATATTTTTATAGATTTTTCCCCAAGGCCTGGATTTCGCATCTTTAATAGGCTATTCAGAATCATTAGCCTCATATCTCTCATCGCATCGTAACTGACGTTGAATATCACGTGCAACCCCACAAACGTACCTTCAACCCCATATCCTCCTTCCCAGCTCCCTCCATCATTCTCTCCAGATCCTCCAAATTCACACCCTCATCCCCCTCCCCAACAGCCTTGACCCTCAGTCCGCTATCATCAAAAATCCTTCCCGCCAAGAAATACCCCGGCGTAACCATCCACACCCTCGTAACCATCGCATCCGTATACGTTTGCAATATACATGCTAGATTCTGTGATGCTCCTCCTGTAATACATATCCTATCTGCTTCTGGTGAAATATCTTTGCCTTGGTTATCTTGATTCAATGGGAAGTTTTCTTTCTCGACACTGGTGCTGGAGCTTAAGGAAGGGTAATATGCGGAGTAAAATTCTCGAAGCCATGTAGCGACGCTCTCTCTCAAACTCGCTGGTCCTTGATCAGGTCCGTATAATAATCCTGGATTAGCAAGATCCGCGTTTGTAAAGACTTTGTTTGCTGCATTTTGAATGGCTACTGTTGGGAGTAGCCCGGTGTTTGGCCACCCCCGAAGAAGATTGATTTGTTTCTCTGGTTGGGTGATCTCAGATGTAGAAGAGGGGTCATTTTTGTTCATAGTCGTCGTTGTGAAATATGTATGATGATTTTCGATTGGTGATTGTATACCTGCAATTGAAGAAGATATATTAATATTTATTCGAAGTTTTGTAAGATTTCCAATCATTTTAGTTAGAAATTCCAAACACCCTTTATTCAGTTGATAGGAGTGGGGTTCAAGGAGAAGGAAGGGCGCGGAGGGCGTTTGTAGTGGTGATCGACATGGATGTATATTGCAATGACCGACTATAGAAAACGATCAACCATAAGGTTACTCTAAGGAAGAATTATATTAGTAATTTACTAATTGGTATACTAAATAGTAAAAGCGACCATTTCTCGGATTGTGACTTGTTCAAACCATGTAAGTGTAAATAGCTTCAAATTTGATGACTAAGCTACAATTCTTGAAATTTCTTATTTCGGAAATTCAATCTTTCTTTCTCTTTCTCTTTTTTTCTTTCTTTATAAAATCCTCACTGTTATTAATTAACGAAGATTTATTATAATTATTCGAATTGAAAAAAAAACAAAAATGATCGAATATAAAGCTATATATTTGAATACAAATTCAAATAAATTTATTCACTTATTTGAATTTTTATAGAATTGATGGATTGGTACACCAGTATTGATGAGACGTAATAGTGATGGTAAGTAGACACCTATACAAGATTACATGACTATTTATTTCAATCATCACAAAAGTTAAATCACATTCATAATCATTCATCAAACTATTTCACGATTTTTAAAATATTTTATTCATCTGAAAATTGTGAGGAGCCATTTCCATTTGGCATTGCTGTCATTCCAAATGTACAGCCATAGAGCAAAACATACTGCGATAAAAGTACTTGTGATTGAGAGTTAGTTTAGGAATCCTCATGAATATTGCAATGTCCAGGTGATCCCTTTTTAATTCCCTCATATCGTGGTAAATAATGCCCTGTATCCCATCCTAATCTATGACTATGCCTCTTAAAAAAAAAAAAGTAAGAAGCAAGTCATGAATGCGTGCAAATGTACATTGCGATCCATAATGCAAACAGAATTGCATGATGATCACTGACGAGACAAACACCCGCTCATGAGGGTTTGAAGTTACAAGTGTAGATATTTCGAAAAAGGGGTGCTGCGTAGAAGAAGAGAAAGTGGTTCCTGAAAAATACACGTTGAAGGGTCAATATCCACAAAGAATATGATGACCAAGCGATTGTGTTTTCTGGAACTACTCTGACAATTAAGTGTGAACTGGAGTCGCGGCATGGCGATTCCAGCTAGTACCATTCCCAAATCCTCTTCCACCACGACCACGGCCGGAAGTATTACTCGGGTTTGGGGATTGGGTTTCGCGAGGAGTAGATGCGGGGCCATTATTGGCATCTCTCGCACCACGGCCGCCTCTTGAATGAGTTGATGATGGTTGTCGTGATCCACCACGTCCACGTCTAGGATTGCTTCTGTTTCGAGATATGGGAAGAGGGACAGACCTAGATGTTTCCTGGCCGGGTAGCATAATGACAAGAAGATTGGAATTATTGCTGGTCTCTAATGGAAATTGGAGTGGCTCAATGGATGTGGTATCAGAAATGAGGAATCTTCGAGCCAGGTTTTTAGGGGCTGCAACAGGTTGAAAGGCGTTTGGTGGTATCGTTTGTGGAAACTTCATAACGGGCACTGAACCCATCTCTTGTTCCTCAAAACATTCTTCTGCCGCAGGTTTTGTGTCAAACGATTCTTCTTCTTCAGTTGAGTTTTCATTGATGGACCCTGGGAGAGAAACAGTAGCGGAAGCTTGCGATTCTGATGAATGATCAAATGCACGTCTGCTAGAAGAGTCGACAGCAAGGGCATGAGTTCTTGGTGGGGACTTCTTGCCGAACAACTGATCAATCTTTTCCTTCCATTCCCCTGTTTGAGTTGATGGAGCCGGACCTCTACGAATATCATAAGTAGTTGACGCAGTTCGCGCAAGTCCTTGACGAGCAGCTAACCCAGGAATTTGACTAATGGCAGGAACAGCTGGAGCTGCCGCAGCAGCTGCAAAAGACGTTGGCCGAGGAGGAGCAATTGGTTGAACGATAGTTGGAGGCGGCAATCTAACCACAGGCAATGGTGGTGGTAAAGCAACATGTGGACGTGCGAACTCGCTATCATAAGCCGGATGACCAGCCATGGTAGGTGGAGGTGGGGATGGTGATGATGATCTTTCAAAACCATGACCATTCATCTCCTCGAGGCGAACATCGCGGTTATGATTTGGGAAAAATTTCGATTCTCGGTATGATGCGTTTCCTTCTACACCTGATGGCCATGCACTGCTGTCGTTGTATTGTGGTCGAGCATTCCCATGAGAAGTATTTTCCGCCAAAACCGAAGACGTTGCCGGCCTTCCATCAACTAAAGCAGTAGAAACCTTCTTCGTCTTGCTTCTTGTTCCATCGTCGTTCAATGTAACTTGCTTCCAGGTATCTTCGTAGACAGGCTGATGAAGTTCCTCCACAATACCAGCTGCTTCCATTTCACGCTTGCGCTCCATTTCCTCTTGATGTTGTTGGTGAAGAATTGCATCCTCTTGGGAAATTCTGTCCGGTACACCACCCCAAACCGATCTAGCCAGAGATTTTCGTTGCTCCTCTTCATATGATCTGGGTGGTTGCGGTGCTCTAGTAGCCGATGGAGGTCCAATCGGAGGTGGTCGGGAATTATATTGGTCACGACCACGATTTGCCTGGTAAGTACCATTACCACGGTTCGCACCTGGTGGTCCAATTGGTCCTGGATGAGCAGATTGATGAGACATATCTGAGAGTGATTGACGAGACATCTCCGGAAGCCTGTTCAATTCTGGATTAAAAGTACCATTTCCAATTGTTTTTTCATTTGTGGGAGGTCCCCAAATTCTTGAAGATGAATTTTGTGGTGGTGGGGGCGCAGCCGACCATGAAGTGAATCTGTCGGCAGGATAATTTGAAGATGAATTTCTCTGCCATGACTGTGAATTTCGATTATCAGGCATAACTTGTGGTGAAGACACTGGAGCATTGGGTTGGTAGACACCATTTGGCCGTAACTCAGGGCCATTAGCATTTCCTTCGATGTGCCTTGCATTGACATTTTCATTCGTGACTTCTGGTTTTGATGCATGCGCATCATTGGATGTTTCCGCCGATTTGGTAGGAGGAATAGGATTGACTTCACGAGCTTGAATCGACGTAGGAACATTGTCTTCTTTGGCCACCTCGTCCTTAACCTTCTTCTTTTCTGGAGGCGGTCCCATAGCTTCAAGCTTAATACGAATACGCTCCTTTCTCTCGGCCTCTTCTTTTGCTTCTGCCTCTTGTCTTCTCTTGATAGCGAGCTCACGTGTTCGTCTCATGATATTCTTTTGTTCTTCAAGAACATCTTCCTTTGGTGCCGAACCCATTGGTGGACCTTGTGGCGGACCTTGACCATGCATGTGCATATCTCCCAGTCCTGGAGCAAGTTGTCCATAAGCAGAATGAGGAGATGGATGACTGACAACTGGCGATGCCCTGGATTGCCATGGCTGGTTTTGATTTTGATAACCTCGTTGCTGATGTTGTTGGTTTGAAAAGTTTTGACCAGATGGAGAGAAATTCCGAGGTGACGAGGGTGCATCACTTACAGCTGCTAAAGAGCCTCTGCGTGCATTCAACATATCGTTCGGTGGTGGCAGATCATGACCACGACTCATACGTCTAGCAAAATTTCCACTGCCTCCACTAACATTAGACGAAGTGCGACGGCGTCCATAATTCCCTTGTTGCGCGCTAGTGTGATGAGTTTGGAAAGCAGCAGATGGCTCTGCAGGTACGTCCTGATGCGGTGGTCGTTGAAGAACTGCGGGGCCACGAGATTGTCCTTCGGATCTAGATACCCCACGTCGAGCCTCATTAACGGGTTCATATCTACCAGATTGAGAATTATAGAGCTCCCTGCTAGCACTTGCATTTCCATCCCTCCAAGTTCGACTAAAGTCATCGGCAGCAATTTCTTTCGCGGCTGGTAGTGGCATACCAGAAAATCCATGAGGGTCTCGTTGATTAAATCGATTTTGTTGAGGTTGTTGTGGAGGATGTTGTGGAACATCAATTGCGACAGGAGCCACTTTTTCAACTGGCGGAAGCTGAGCCCATGGAGATTTAACAGGTGTCGGAGGTCCGGGTGGTTTTGCAACGAGGGTAGGCTTTTCAGGAGCACCCTTAAGAATCAAACCAGCTTTTCCGGACCCAAGTCGAGGAGCGGGAGCAGCTATCACTTGAGGTGCCGGTGACTTGGATGGTTTTGGTACAGGCTCTACTTTCTTTATTTCTTTTGCAACCGGCGCAGGCTCTGGCACAGGTTCGAGAGGTGGAGGAGGTGCATCATCTGCATGCGGTAGAGTAATTTTCGTTCCATCAGTCCATTCAATTGATTCAGGTGCCCAATCATCATCGTCATCGTCGATATCTGCCCAATTTGCTTGTTTACCAGGGTCGTCGGCTTGTAACCTAGTCGCTAAATGAATACCATAACGTTGCTTGAGTTCTTCATCGGTAAATCGTTTTGGCTCTGGCGGTGCTGCAGCTGTTTGTTTGTTTGTTAGAAGATTACCCGTGTAAATATAGCAATGTGTAACTTACGTCTGTTTTTGTTCCACACGGCGCTCGCATCAGGGGCACCACCAGGTTTTCCGCCATTCGCCGTAGTTGAAGCTCGTGGTGTTGAGTCACGAAGACCACTACCCGATTTTGCGACTAGCCTTGGTTTTGGTGTAGTTGATGTTGAAGTTGTCAAAGTGGTTGGCGCAGTAGTAGAAACTGTCGCACCTTTATCTCCGATCTTCGTTGGGGCCACAGCCGTGGAAGCTTTCGATGCCAAAAATGTCTTATTTACTGAAACTGCCTTGAAAGAAGGGACAGGTTTCTTGACGGCCGAGGTCGATCGACCATGACCACCTTTTTCGTCACCAGTTTTCGAGGTTTCCGCTTTCGTAGCTTCAGTATCTGATCCTCCATTAATACTGACCTCCGCCGAGATATTGTTGGGGTCGAGAAGATCTGAATATTGTTTACTTCCATCTTTATCGGCAGTGGTTCCGTCTATAGAGGGAGTTTGTTCGGAGGGGACATCTTGACTCTTGGTTTCAGTAGTGTTCTGGGCGCATGTCAGCATTTTTCGAATTACTCCAAGGGACCATTCAAAATAAAGACTAACCAGCTCATGATCAGGAGTTATAGATGGCGTCGCGAAGTTCTCAGAAGTGGCTTCAGTTGCCATCATACGTCTTCACAGTGTTTATTTAGTTGTCCAAGTAGTTGCGCATGCGTCGATCCGACCGTACTTCGTGACTGTACAAGCTTTCTAAACCTTGAATACCTGTGTAAATATGGTGGGGGGGATTTCGTTTTCGTAAATGTGAGGTTGAGCTGCGACAACAAGGGAAAAAATCTTAAATGAAGATTTTCGCAATATCTTGGGTATCTAAAATTCGGAAGAGAAGGAGATGAAAGGAATCAACGGGGGAGAGTATTGAAGTTTGATTTGTATTTTTGAGGGAGAGTTCAACGATACGGGACACTATTATGGTCGAAGTTTAAGGTACAGGGCCATTCACATTTGACCCTAACCCAATTAGGTTAACGTTAGACGTTTAGCGTTTAAATTACCTCGAGGCTGAATTCAGAAGTGAAATTCAATATGAGCCAAAGAAAAATAAAAAGGTCAGTGTGTGATGAAATGTTGTGTCTCAATCACACCTAGTACCTCCCTAGTAGCTTTATAATTTCTTTATTTAGCTTTGATACTATTACATCGTTGCATCTATGATATAACATCTAATAAATATAAATGCATACAACACCTATTGAATTGACAAATAACCATATTTTGATTTGATTCATCATCCGATCAATTTTAATATTTTGGCTACCAAGGTACCTATGTATGTTTGAAAACTGTCAACAAGTCTAGATAACTTCTATGTTGATGGTTTTGACCGGAGTACTTGCAACTTTGGAGTCAGTCATAGAAAAGCTACATGAGCTTATTCTACTCATAAGAGATGACGCGAAATACAAAGGTGGGACAAATTCTGGGTGACACATACACGACGGTTACAATGCGAAAAGTAAGCGGCGAGCGGATTTTCGTGAAGTAGCAAGGAATACATCTCAACTCATTTCCCATACCTTTCTGTCCACTGGCACAAAACCTTTCGATTCGGCCATTCACGGAATGCATTGTTGAATGGCCGCGATAGCAAGGGGACGAAAGGAAAGGATTGGCGCGGCCTACCACATCTTTAACATGATTTAGTGCCTCTGAAAGCCCTTGTACCTTAGATGAAGATGAAGAAAACATGCAGCAATTCGTTTTAAATAGGCTATATGGAGTAGCCATCTCCTTTCTTATGGTGAAGATTCTCTGTAACTAAAAGCGTATTGATGAGTCGGGCTGGTCGTGCCTCATAATCGTTGTTGGGAGTGCCTGGGGGCCTAAATTGCATCACACCAACTTGACGACCACAACGCATAGAATTCAACCAACAACTTGACTGGTATTCATCTATTCTTTCCCTTATTTACACCCAACTAACACAATGCCCGCGTATGTTATTCTTCCCGCCCGCCTCCTCTCTCCTAAACCATCCATCTAGTGAGCATTGTTCTTGTGGTGACCTATCCCAGTCTTGTTAGTTGTCTATTAACTCACGCAGGCCCAAATATTTCATCACTTACGCAAGTGGAAGTAGTAGTTCTGAGCATAACCAATACCAACCAAAAAGACCAAGACGTGAATGATAGGTGTAGCTGATGGGTTCTTTCCAAAGTACTTGGCTTGGTATCTGCCCAACAAACCCTTGGCCTTGACCTCTGGTGCTGGTCCTCGGGGAAGTTTCTCGTAGAAGCTGACTACACGTTGCATACGGGCGGCATCTTTGGCAGCGCCAAGTCCCTGTTTTTGTTGTTAGAGATTGTATTTGTGCGGTTTGTATTTCGGTATATGCAGTGGAAGACGAAGGCTCGAGCCGTAAACAAATCCGAATCTATGCCGACAATTAGAACTTACAGATGGAGAGGCAACCTATTGTTGAGTTAGTTCCATGTGTAAGTGAGGAGTCTAGAGGGGTATTAAAGATATACCTTGGGAGGGATAAGGGTGGAAAGAGCTCTGCGTGTAACGAAACTCATCTTGATGACTACCACATCAAATCAGCCCAATTGATCGTCGCGCAATAAGCAATATATTTGATTGTTGATTCCCACAATAATACATACCTTTTCTAACGTCGTGATGGAATATAGAAACGGTAGATTTGTTGTTGTCTTCAATCTTCCCTCAAATCTCGTTCCGAAAGCCTCCACTAGCGTGCTTACATAAGCGGTTCCCAGAGCCTCATCATGGAACCTCCAAATCAAATATACAATAACCCTCCCCTCATTGCGATTAACTCTACACAAAATGTCACTTCTTCGTCCTTCAATCACAGGGCGATTACTGCGCACTGTGGCTCCTACTGCCTTGCGTTCTGTACCAAATGGCGTGAGGTACGAGCAGACATCTTCAGGTGTCCCTCTTACACCTTCAAACATATCACAACCTAAACATTCTACCGGAGAATCATCGATGATCAATCATCCACAATCGAAGGACAAGTTGGTTAAGCATAATCAACCACATTACGGAACGGAGGTTGATCAAGCTGCTTCGTGAGTTTTCCTGAGCGGGGGCACAACGAGAAATTGAGCACTCGGAGACATGGATGGATTTCAGTACTGATGGGAAATTGGCAGATTATTCACACCAATCCCAAAGCGTGTTATGAATGGTAGCGAAGATGGAGATGTCTTACCCGCAGCAGTTTTATCTGGTGCTCCTGTCGAGTTGCAGGCTCGAACAGTTCGGTACGTTCGCTATCTACATTCAACCTAACTCGACGATAGCCCCATTATCTAGTATCCCGAACAAAGCACTAATTGGCCTCTTCTAGCATCTACCGACCTGCTAAGACTGCCACACAATCTGGTTACTGGCACGGTCATCACTGGCGCATGGACTGGGATATTTTGTCCAAGGGGCACCGTTGGGAAAATCCTCTTATGGGTTGGCAATCATCCGCCGATTTCATGCAAGGCACACACATAAACTTCAAAACCAAAGAGGATGCTATCAGATTTGCGGAGAAGCAAGGTTATGAATTTTTTGTTCAGGAGCCGAATGAGAGGAAAATTACTCCCAAGGTATACGCGAATAACTTTTTATGGAGTGATAAGAAGTTGAAGCACATCAGGACGAAGTAGAGGGTGTTTGACGGGGGTGAAAGGGGGGATTCGGGTGGGGCAGGAGATTGTACATATTTGGATGAACGAGGCAGACATACCTAGCTGCTTGTATTGATGATGCATTCGAGATGGGAATCTTTATTGCTTGGTATAGCGCGGCTCAAACGCATGCTCTGATGAAAGTACATGAGTAATTGTGAACTTGACAGCCATTTTCATTCAAACCCATCCACATTTCCCCAAAAAAATTATCATCCTCCTTACTGCTAAGCGAGTTACATGAGCCTCTTTATCTCCCTAGCGTTATTCTGCAGCTCTCTTCCATCCATACTATTACTCCCTTCTGACATGTCTCTGTATCCCTGGCCGCGATATTCGTGTTCCTCCTGCTCTTCTAAGACTCCAGATTCGTCGATATTAAGATTCCGCGGGAAGACCTTTCCCTATCCAGAGTACTGGTTCTACTTTGACATTAATACAGCCATTGAATACTTAGGTGCCGCGAGATAATACCATTTTAAACCAGAGTCGCAAGAAAGTTCAATTACTTCGCCACAAAAAGTTTGTTGCATACTGCACAGCCTTTCCCTCCTTCTTTTCGACCACCTATCTTAACCTCTCTCAAACATCTAGAAGACTCAAAAATTTAAAGATGGTTCAACCATAGGCTATAATTTTCTTTCGCAAAGAAATCAAATGTTTAGGATAAGTAGTCGATTTATGATATCTTTTCAAACACGAGACTGATGATTTCGGCTTTTTCAACTAGAAAAGCAAATCACTCAAGGGATGAGGTCTATCAACACATACTCGGTAGGCAAATTCATTTATCATTTAGTTGCATTTCACATCTGAAAGGAGACATTTTTCGAATCTTTATATAACCACTTGGAAGCCATTTTGCTTCTAATGATTTCTACTGATAAATTCCAAAAAGCTGCTTTACGATTCTAAGCGAATAATAAAACGGAAAGATGGGGATTCGAGAGTTATTCAATTCCAAAGAGAAAGCTAGCGCATATTGCAGTCTCCCAGGACACCATTTTTTAACAGTATATATCAAACTCCCCATCTCTTGAGTCTATACCAAACTTGGTATACATTATTAGAAGAAGCAAAGTTTTTTACTCCAATTCCTAATAAGGACAATGAATACTAAGTCCTATATGATATTTCAACTATGAGGTTGAGGTTTTATGGAAAAGGAAATAAAGGGCTAGGCCTGATGATATAGATTTCGGCGCTGGATTTGAGATCTGACTCGTTATTTTATTTTGAGGGATGACGATGTGAGGGCGGGATATACAAGGCAGGTCTAGGATTAAAAATATAGGATAAAATTGTTGAGATGGAGTATTCCCGAGGATACGTATGCTTTTGGTGAAAGGTACTTTTTGTTGAGACTCGTCTGGTATTGAAAGCCTGACATTCACATTACCCAGACGTCTCAATACAATCGAAAAGCCTTCCTTGAACTTGTAAGATCTTAGGACTACATATTCCCCGCTCTTCTGAACATTTGCATCATCTTTACCGGCGGTTCTGGTTTCTTACTTTGTTACTCATTAACTTTTGAACAACTATCGACTCATACAATTCAAGATGTATTCCTCAGCCCTCATAAAACAGTCAACACGGCAAGGTCATCATAGTACGAAATCGATTCCCAGACCCAGCATCCCTGAAAAACAACACATGAACAGCCGCTGTTTCCTTCACCAATCCTACATTCCACCCCTCAGCCCAGGTGCATCTCAATCTTAATCTTGACGACATTTTCAAAGAACGAGTGCAACCACTTAAACTCAAATTCTCCATTACCAGTCTCAAACCATCGGGAGTCCATGTAATAATTATAAACGCGCTCACGAATCTTAGGTTTAAGGGAAAGAAAGCGCTCAAACTCATCCAAAGCCTTGTCGGACATTTCGTGGTTGGAAGGAATCGGTTCAGCACTTGCCTGATGATGAATGAGAGGCTCGATTTTACATCACTATCCATCATCAGCTCACCGACTGGAGGAAATACTGAATTGTTATAGTCCGCCCTGAAACTTGCAGCTTTGTCGGCCCGTTGGCTGGTCCTAACCCTCCCATGGTAGCCTTGCAAATTTATAATAGTTGTTTGCACATTGACTGTGTGGTGGGTTGTCGATTTTGTGCTAAGTTGAGGGATCAATGAAGACATCAACGTCGCATCCTCATTTTCTCTATCAAGAGTGTACGTAGAAAGAGACATTGTGATCCCTCAATTTCCAGAGACAAGCATTAAAGGTAGAGGAAGATTGACACAAAGGAACAATTAGATACCCCTCAATATTCACCTTACTTTTGAGAGTAAAATGGAAGACAAGTGAGAACTAGTCTTCTTGCTTTCATTGTTCTTGACTGATGCCCAATTACAAATTCCTTCTGGAGACCCCTTCTCAAAAACTTCCAAGCTACAGCACAGATGGAACAATCTTACAAAAAAAAGATAATCCAATAGGCACATTTTGGGAATGATGCCATCTTGTATCCTTTTTTGTAACTCGTCGAAAGATAATCTAGGAATTTTCCTAAAATACAGATGCCTACACCTATATAACTGCAAAGAAGCGGTCAAAGCATATATATTCGTTCTGGGAGTTGACGAATTGAGGTGTGGCAGGAAGTGAAGTTTGAAATGTTGTTGCGCTTCGCGCTTATGAATTTCAATATTAAGGTTACTTAATCAAGATAGCTTAAGCGCGCCTCGGCATCTAGTTAATTGATTGCTGTATCTCAAAAGATTTATTGACAAGTAGCGATACCTCGCCATCTTCGAAATGGACGATCTCGAGTCCCTCGAAATTCTTTCTTTGGTGCAGAGAGTGGCTTCTGAATTGCAGAACCATCTTGGAATCAGTGATAAAACCCTCGCCGAGTTCGTTATTGCGCAACATGCAGAATGCAGTTCTCTCGAAGAATTTCAGAAGAAGCTCGAGGCGATGGGCGCAGACTTTCCCCAAAGTTTAATCGAAAGTGTGGATCGCCTGGTTTTAACAATGCACCCAAAGTTCAAAGGTGGCAAAGGTAGAAATGGTGCGCCAGCTAGAAATGAGAATAAAGTCGAAGAGAAAACGAAGGTCTTTAAAGGTTTAGCATTACCTGACAAGGAACCGGCATGGCAGGACGATGATGAAACTACAAATGATCATGCGATAAATGGAACTGATGCGATTGATGATACCCTTGCATTGTTAGAAGGTTTAGCACCAAAGGCGCAAACGGAGAAAGTTGTGAGAACAAGCAGAAAACGAAGTAGGAGTCCAGACCAAGATTATGATAGAGGACGAAGTCGTAAAGATAAACACAGATCTAGATCAAGGTCCAGAGAAGAGCCAAGGAGGCGGCGGAAGCACGAACACGAGGAAGAAGATGAATTTGGAAGAACGAGAAAGAGTCACAAAAGTAGCAGGAGGAAAAGAGAAGACGACGATTATTACAAACGACCCCTCACCCCCGAAATTGATGACGAGGTTACTTTATTTAAGATTTATGATGGTCATGTCACTGGTGTGAAGGATTTTGGAGCTTTCGTCAATATACACGGTGTAAAAGGAAAGGTTGATGGACTTGTGCATGTTTCTGCATTAGTGGAAGGGGAAAGGGTAAATCATCCATCGGATCTAGTTTCGCGGAACCAACCTGTCAAGGTCAAAGTCATTAAAATTGAGGGTAGTAGAATTGGACTTTCAATGAAGGATGTTGACCAGGAGACTGGAGAGGATTTGTCTCCTCAGGATAGGATACAATCTGGAGCCAATAGTGCTCCTCTTGGTGGTAAAAACAAGTACGGTTTGATTGATGAGCCTGTACCTGTTTTCGAAGGAGAACTGTCGCGGAATTCGAGGAAGAACAAAAAGAGAATGACATCTCCTGAAAGATGGGAGATTCGACAATTGATCGCATCCGGCGTGGTGAAAGCATCGGATTATCCGGATCTGGACGAGGATTACAATGCGATATTAAACGGTGAAGGGGAGATGGAGCTCGAAGAAGACGTTGATATTGAGATTCGAGAAGAAGAGCCCCCTTTCTTAACTGGACAAACGAAGCAGTCATTAGAATTATCGCCCATCAGAGTCGTGAAAGCACCTGATGGTTCACTCAATCGCGCTGCTATGGCAGGTACAACTCTAGCCAAAGACCGAAGGGAGTTGAAACAGCAAGAAGCTCAGGACAAAGCTACGGAAGATGGAGCGAAGGTTGATCTTTCGGCACAATGGAATGACCCGATGGTAAACCCAGACCAGAGACAGTTTGCCAGCGATCTTAGAGCTGTCAAACAACAGCCACCTACCGACATTGTACCTGCATGGAAAAAGGCGACTCAGAGTAAGAATGAGCCTCTAGGTCGCCGTACGGATATGTCCATCAAAGATCAAAGAGAGTCACTTCCAGTGTTCAGGTTCCGATCTGAGCTGATTAAGGCTGTTCATGAGAATCAACTTTTGATCGTAGTTGGTGACACTGGTTCAGGAAAGACGACACAATTAACTCAGTATTTGGCAGAGGCGGGCTTTGCGAATGATGGTATAATTGGTTGTACTCAACCTCGTCGTGTCGCTGCTATGTCAGTTGCAAAGCGTGTGGCAGAAGAAGTTGGGTGCGAGCTTGGTCAAGAGGTTGGATACACTATTCGATTCGAAGATTGTACTAGTCCATCTACGAAGATCAAGTACATGACAGACGGAATGTTGCAGAGAGAAGTATTGATGGATCCTGACTTAAAACGATATTCGGTCATCATGTTGGATGAGGCTCACGAACGTACCATTTCTACAGATGTTCTCTTTGCACTACTGAAGAAAACGATTAAACGTCGGCTAGATTTGAAAATTATTGTCACATCTGCTACTCTTGATGCTGATAAATTTTCGTCGTATTTTAACGAATGTCCCATTTTCTCTATTCCTGGTCGAACATTTCCTGTGGAGGTCATGTACTCAAGAGAGCCTGAATCTGATTATCTTGATGCTGCTCTGGTTACGGTTATGCAAATTCATTTGACAGAACCTCCAGGAGATATCTTACTCTTCTTAACAGGTAGTGAGGAGATTGACACATCTTGCGAAATCCTCTATGAACGCATGAAAGCACTTGGACCAAGTGTTCCCGAGTTAATTATTCTTCCCGTCTATGCCTCGCTGCCAACAGAATTGCAAAGTAAAATCTTCGACCCTGCACCTCCTGGAGCTCGAAAGGTGGTAATTGCTACCAATATCGCCGAAACTTCTATTACTATTGATCACATCTATTATGTTATCGATCCAGGATTCGTCAAGCAGAATGCTTACGACCCAAAGCTTGGTATGGATTCGTTGATAGTTACGCCCATTTCTCAAGCACAGGCCAAACAACGTGCTGGACGTGCTGGAAGAACAGGCCCTGGAAAGTGTTTCCGTCTTTACACTGAAGCCGCTTTTCAATCCGAGATGTTACCTACTAGCATACCGGAAATTCAGAGGCAGAATTTATCCACGACTATTTTGATGTTGAAGGCTATGGGCATCAATGATTTATTACATTTTGACTTCATGGATCCACCTCCAACAAACACCATGTTGACAGCATTGGAGGAGTTATATGCACTCTCAGCCTTGGATGATGAGGGTCTTCTCACTCGTTTGGGTCGTAAGATGGCCGATTTTCCTATGGAGCCATCTCTCTCGAAAGTTCTTATTGCAGCAGTTGATCTTGGCTGCTCCGATGAACTTCTTAGTATTGTTGCTATGATTTCTATCCCAACCATCTTTTATCGACCAAAGGAAAAACAGGCTCAGGCCGATCAAAAGAAGGCTAAATTCCATGATCCTCACGGTGATCATCTTACCCTTTTGAATGTTTACAATAGTTGGAAGCAAAACAAATTCGCAAGCACGTGGTGTTTCGAAAATTTCATTCAAGCACGAAGTATGAAGCGTGCAAAAGATGTACGCGATCAACTGTTAAAGATCATGGAACGATATAAACATCCTATTGTATCCTGCGGTCGTAATACAGATAAAGTCCGACAAGCACTTTGTTCCGGATTCTTCCGAAATTCTGCTCGGAAGGATCCTCAAGAAGGATACAAAACTCTAATAGAAGGTACACCTGTGTACCTACATCCGTCGTCCGCGCTCTTTGGCAAGCAAGCCGAATGGGTGATTTATCATACTCTTGTCATGACGACGAAAGAATACATGCATTGCACAACAAGTATTGATCCTAAGTGGTTGGTGAGTGCAGCACCAAGTTTTTTCAAGGTGGCGGATGCAGGGAAATTGTCGAAGAGAAAGAAGGCGGAGAGAATTCAACCTCTTTATAATAAATTTGCTGCGGAGGATGATTGGAGATTGAGTGCACAAAAGAGGCAGGGAAGAGGAGGTGGAGGTGGAACTTGGGGTTAAGGCTTGGTCTTTTATATTGGTTGTACAATATGGGATTATTTTATGACAGTCATTAGCTTAGATAGAAACGCACCGCTATAATGGACTGAAGTTGATACCCAATGAGGGCTTATTATCTCCATTCAGGTTTTTGTGGTCCGTGGTTTTATACTTTCACTAGAAATAACCATAACAATCACGCAGCATCACATCTCCTCTCCGCCTACCCGCGACTTGTATTGTGTTGCTCCTTCTATTGCTGAAAGCCATGGATGTCTGTTCTTCACAAACGCCTCCCGTTCCGGCACCATGACTTTTTCGAATATTCCCATTTTAAGAATCGTATTTCCAGGGTATGCTTCTGCTATTGATTGAATGGGGCTGCCGAATATTTTTGTCAGTGATCTCATTCATAATCTGGGCTAGGAATAGGAATAGGAACTTTATGCACAGATGTATGCAGGAAGGGAGACGGCATATATACTGGAAATATAGTGAAATACTTACTTCCCGCATGTTTTACAAAAATACCTCCTCACGCATTTTCCGCTCGTGGTGGCATAATCTTCATACACGCTCAAATTCTCTGTTCCTTTAATCGTTACCTTCTCGCTCTCGATCAGGAGGTTACTCCCAAATGCTTGTCTCACTATCAGTATCTTGTACCGTACCTTCTTATCAATATTAAACTTTTTGACATACCAGAAGAAGCAGTTTTTTTACAGTTTTGACAATGACATAAGTGACCTCTTGGACGAGAAAAAAGTTCCGAATCGTTGATTGTGACGGTTATGGCGCCGCAGAGACATGTAGCTTCCATTTTAATTTATCGGATGGATTTTGGGGCGTCTGATTTAGATAGGTTAGGTGGACTTGATTGATGTTTGCGGAGATAGATTTCTCTGCGCATGTATTGATTGGGATAGGGTTGGATTGATATACATATACAATGATGACGAGGAAGCGGGGTAAGGTTATTGTGGACTGACTGGTTTGATGGTGGGGTGTCACCAAGTTAGTGGTTGTCAAATTTGTGATAGCTCAAGATAAAATTTATCCTAGGTAAGTAGGTACTTATTCCGTATGTATGTAAGTTTAGAGATGCATGCTTTAGCTTAGAACAGAGGAAATGCAGGTATGATGGAAATTTAACCGAGACGATGAGGGGTAAGAGGAGAATCTTCGGAAAGGTAGTGATGACCAGCTTAGACCCATCACAGTCACGATTGAGACGCATTTATAATCATCCACCGAATATTAGCATTTGATTTAACAAAGGGTACTACCTCACGATGGTTTTTTCGAGGCCTCTTCATGGCGAGGATGGCGTCCAAAGAAAAAGGAAGTAGGCAGCGGATGTTCAATGGGATAGCAGCTAGGATAGGACCTTTACTGACACGCACTCTGAAGAATTATACATAGACGGGAGGAAAATATCTTGGAGTCTTTAGCCTACATTCTGCGTCAGATGATGAACATTCCGCAGAAGCTAAGTAGCATGACGGAGCTCCAAGTACATTTCTCCTCGCCATATGGGCGTTGAATTCAATATAAAATCCATCTCCATTCTCTACCACAGTTGAGAAATGTGCAGAACAAACTTTCTTGTCAACAATGGAATGACAGTTTCACATCTTCAAAATGAAGAGGGGAAAAAGAAGAAGAAAAAACAAAAAGGAAAACACAAAAGAAGCGCACAAAATTGGGCAACATAAATTCAATGGGAAGAAACAAGCCACAGATCCACGGTATCTCTCGAGACTTCAAGCCTTACCCGTTACCTGACTGAATGTTATCAACTATACCGAAAAGCTGGAAAATAAATTTGTCTGATATTGATAATGGGAGATCACAATCAATAAACTTAAAAATCCCCCTATTAACCGAAACTTCTCCGTCTTTTCTTAGTTCTTTTGGGATAAACTTCAGGTAAAAAAGCTTCGAGTTGAGGCAAGAACGATCTAGTGATAATCCCTACGGGATCTCTAAAATCAGATACCATTAAAACATTTTTACTCTCTCCTTATGATCTTATGATCTTCTTATTTGACGGACATTCATTTCTACCATGAGCTTCAACTGGCCCTTGACAAAACTTTATGATCATAACCAGTAAAGTGCGAAGTCAATTATTATTTTGATCCACTAAATAAGCTAGATTAGTAATTTCCCAAATATCCTTGGCGACGACATGATTGATTCCTATGGATTTTCTCTTATCATGATTCTGAGAAGCAGGAGGAGGATATACTTTTAAACGCGGATTCACCCCCTCGCGTTCAATACGTTCTCGAGTACCATAACCTCCTTTCCATTCGTCAGTTGATGAGTGTGATAACCTTAATAAGTCGAGCTTATCGGCTGTAGTCGTAGGACAACATACGGTATATAAGTTACACTCAACATATAACAACATAGCACTTTCCGGTCGAGTCAACGATTTCTATAACATAGTACGTTGTCATCGACTCGATAAATAATTTTGGAGTACCCCACTCGAGAATCTCCAGATTGATTTCACCACTGGCAGAGGAAACACATGATGGAATTCCTATGGACGACGATCTTGGTATCGTTCTTCACGCTCATACTATGGCTTCTTCCAAAACTATTTACTGCCCGCAATTTTTTCACCAAGTTAAGAGCTCAGGGTTTGGTAGGTTTCCTTCTTCCCTAAACGTGATCAATTCCGCTAACATTTCCTCAGCCAATGCCACCCCATAATTTTCTAGCTGGTCATCTCATCGAGCTATCCAATGCGATGAAAGGGTTACCAACAGATGCTCTCAAAGTATATTTCTTCGCCGCGCTCTCCCGACAATACTCCCGCAATGGTGCCTTCTACCTCGATCTCTATCCTTTCGCTGCCCCCTTCCTAGTCATCACTTCTCCATTCCTCGCAAATCAAGCTGTTCAATCTACTCCGGTAGCATGTCGCAAGCCTGATGCTCTCAGAACATGGTTTTGGAGTATTACGGGTGGAATTAGTTTGTTTGATGCCGAGTACGATGAGTGGAAGGATTTAAGGGGTTTGTTTGCCAGAGGATTTAGTAATAAGTATTTGGTGGGTTTGGTGCCTGGTATTGTAGATGAGGTTGGAACATATACGTCTGGACTGAGAGAGAAGGCGAGAAGTGGGGAGATGATTGAATTGGATGGGATAAATTTGAGGTTTATGATTGATTTGATTGGGAATACGGCTTTGTGAGTTACTCTTTTCCTCCTATACATCACATGAATGGCGGGATGCACGATTGGCGAGACAAAATACTAATATAATCTAGAAATGCAAAGCTAAATGCACAAAAAGGATACAATCCTCTTGCAGATACTATGTTGAATCAAATTAAAAGCAAACTCGCAAATCAAGAAGTAAATATGCTTCAATGGCTCAATTTTGTGCGTCCTATTAAAGAGTGGCTCAATGGTCGAAAAATGGATGCATATATTAATGAAGAGTTGGATAAGCGTTTCGAGATTTATAAACTATCGAAGAATTCCGAGGGAAATGGTCATCTAAATGAGAAACCAGAAACTTTCCAATCAATTATTGATTTGGTTATCGAAGATTACATGGCTGATCCAGCTCAACGTAATGCAACCAAACTCGATGAAACATTCCGCACCATCGCCACTCGCAATGTCCGACTTCTTCTTTTCGCCGGCCATGATTCAACTGGTAGTGCCATATCCTGGTGTTACTATCTTCTCTCTAAGAATCCATCGGCTCTTGACAAACTCATTCAAGAACACGATGCAGTATTTGGAACTGATATCGGAACTCTTCCTGAACTCATCAAAGAGAATTCAACCCTGCTAAATCAATTACCATACACAACGGCCGTCATCAAAGAAACTCTTCGTTTGTTCCCACCCGCATCAAGTATTAGACAGGGAATGAGAGGTGTAAATTTAGTTGATGAAGAAGGGAATACATATCCAACCGAAAATTGCATGGTATATATGCTCCACCTGCCAATCCAACATGATGCAAAATACTGGGTTCGTCCAAAAGAATTCCTACCGGAAAGATGGCTTGCGCAAGCAGGAGATGAATTGTATTGTGATGTTAAGGGGGCATGGAGACCTTTTGAGTTGGGACCAAGGAATTGTATCGGTCAGGCTATGGTGATGATGGAGATGAAGATTATTTTGGCCATGGTGGTGAGGGAATTGGATGTACGGGATGCGTATGGAGAGTGGGATGAGAAATTTGCGAGGAAGGAGAAGGGTGTGAAGGAAATTGATGGAGAGAGAGCATATCAGGTTGATGGTGGAGCTGCTCATCCGGCTGATGGGTTTCCTTGTAGAGTGAGGTTCAGAAAGGCCAAGAGATCGGTGTAATGGCTTTTGCATATATCGTTGTGTTCGGTGCCATTCAGCGAATGTTAGACTTTGAGCGTTTAGTTCTTTTATCGTTCTTCCTGTGTTTGAGGTAGCTCTTTTTAACAAACATAACTCATTATATGTCTTGCCATCCGTTCCTGTTACTTGTACTTCTCAACAATCTCATTAATATATTCGAACTCTGGTTACGACTGTAGTTACCTTTGTATACTTCTGATTTTCCTTCCGAGTGACAACTTCTAGGCATATCTCTAGCTATTCTCTGATTTGAAATTCGGTACGATTTGCCTCGGCCCCATAAGGTTAGACCACCCTGTCTTTACCAAATCTCTCTGAGCTTCCAACACAACATCTCTAATTGCCGATGGCGAAAGCGAGTACCTCTCAATATAATAAGCTGCATCAGCTAATTTATGTTGTCTTTTACTTTCGTTCCCCACAGTCAACACAAGACGACCTGTATGATCCGGTTCTTTGATTGGCTTTCTCACGTGGCAGAATTCTTTCCACCTCTCGCCAGTTGTTGAGGTTCCAAGATTTACTCTTCTTGTGAGGGACACTAAGATGCCCTGTCCAGCATGACGCTCAAATTGAATATGATATTTATCATCGCAATTCGCAGCCGGACAGTCAAAGGATGCTGAGCTTTTCGGGGCATCATTGTCTGCTATTTGGAAATCGTTCGTTCTCCAGTAATTTCCAGTGGCGCTACCGAGCTTAAATGCATGGATGGAATCTTTATCTGTATTTATTTGAATTTGGATATGGCGACAGGTTTGAAACATGGTTTCATATGGTTTCTCCGGGTTAATATTGAGATAAGTATCCTGCAGACGAAAAATCACAGAACCATCCACAAGGGCGACATCTGCTCGTACATGATTGACGTAATTTCCGGTACGGGATTGTCTTAGATCGCCCATTGGGATAGGGTATCGTGATTTATCCATATTGATTGAAGGCTCCGGAGATTCGATTTCAAGCATAAACTGATCCATCATGGTGGGACACATGGGAGATATACGGTCGCAATCGATGACTCCCCTTGCCATCATTCTGTAATCCGATATCTGGCGTTCGAGTTCGCAGCAGCTTATCAATGAGCGTCGATGTAGGTAGTATCTCAGGGTCCATTTTTTGTAGAGACATTTGCAATCTGTACAGAAGATTTGGGAGGGGAGATCTTTTGCCCAGAGGAAGACGAAGGAGAGGATATTTGCCTTTTCGCGGAGGACGTTGTCCATGTATCCTTTTCCCACTAGTTCTAGGATTTGCAAGCAGGAGATTGAGAAACATGCTGCGGCGGCGGCGGGGAGGAATGATAAGATGGTGTGGATGATTTCTGTGGGTAGACGGGGGAGTAATGATGAGGCGAGGGCATCGGGTCGTTTTTTCGGGTGGGATTTGGCGAAAAGGAATGTCTTGGGTTTGGGGATTCGCTCGTATGCATAATAATCAAGTCCTACTAGAAGTTCCGCTGAGGGGATCCTTCTTTTTCTTGCTATTGTTTTGATCTTGGTTTTGATCGAGTCCATGATGATAAGGTGGTCTATAGAGAATATGATTAATTCCTTTGCAGCTATTTCACACGAATAAAAAAGACGTACCTAAGTCTTTCTTTTGATTCAAGTAGCTACTCAAGAGAATGCAAGACTATGAATTGAAGAGTGAAGAGTTCCGAAATGTGATGTAGAGATTCTTGCTTGCAATTGAGAGTACATACAAGTGTGTAAAATGGAGAGTGTTTGTCTGCAGACACAAAAGGATGACGAAATACTCATAAATCAAAGCAGGATTTCTCTCCAGAGGTTGAAAAAAAAAAGACACATTACCAGATGTAGATTATCTCAGTAGATCGATGATCTAGAAAATCTAAAGAGACTTATATTCTAGTCGACCACTAAAGCCAAGACTAGATACAGGTAGAGTTTAGGATGGCATATCCAACTACATCATTGCAGATCATCTGAAGTAGCTAATAATATACTTATTTCAAGGCAACAGAATGAAAGATAGCAAGAACATGTTTGTTGGGATACTAGATTTAGAGATGGTGTATTTGGTCTTCAAGAAGTGTGAGGTATGATGTATGATGTATGATTTAGTATCAGTATGGGCTTGATGAAAATTAGGAGAGATTTTATCTAGCGAGCGTAGTTGACTTCTTAGCGATGTCAGGTATAATATAATATCTCTAGGATGATAGATGTGATTATAGTGAGGATAGGTCAGTATGTGTAGTTTTTCCATACAATAATGATAATGATAAATCAACCCTCTTCACATCTACAAAAATAATCCATTTAATTAGCGAGAGTTAGTTGGTTTTGGTGTTTCCTTCAAAGTTGGGTACACGGTATTGGTTGAAGACTAAGAGTAAATATCCTTATCCCTTTCTACATCTACCTAGTATTCAAAATCTAGCAATATCAGCTTCTTCTTACCTACTGAAATAGTAGGACTTACGTGAGTGACCATTTGTATCACGATCTTTCCCCCTCTTCCAAAATAACCTGCTTATTTTTCCTTTTCATGATTAGTCAATTCACTAAACTATATTCACCTCACCTACCTACCTAAAATATAGAGATTTCGCACTATAGATAGGTAAGTTACCTAGTAATGAATTGCCTTGGTTATTTTATTTGAGGACGAGTGATCTTCCTTCATCTTGTGCTTGATTCAAATTCAATCTCACTCTGTTCTCATCCGAGGAAAGTCAGGTAAATTCTTCATCTTCGTTGTGCTTGAAAACATCCATTGTTCCCGTCTTGTGTGATACTTCATAGTATAGATATATTTCATCATATCATTATATCGAAGCCTGATGTGCTTCCATAATTCTCATCCTGTCTCTTTAATCCTTCGATCCACCTCGTAGACCATCATTATTCCTATTCGAGAACAATACAGAATTTTTTAGGATAAACTTCGCATCCCAAGTCCTCAACCATTTTCCTATATGAAGCGGCCAGTCAATAGATGGGTTCTACTTAGTATTTACCAATCATCGTCTCCGGGTGAAATAGCTAACCTTACAACACCAACCTAACAACTTAACCGAACCTAACCCAACTCCCTATTCCAAACCGCCCTAACCCCATTGACCCCTCCAAGTACAAGCACAAGTCCAACACTAACCAACACCAATAAACACCAATCCAAGGTCAACAATTGTTATTCCTTCTTATTCCAAGTTTTATTACCTATTATTAGATCCTACGAAAGGAATACCCCACATCCGACATACGAAGTGAATGTAAATTACTCGTACACACTCAAGTACTCAAATAAGTCTTATATACAATACTAGAGCACAGATAATTAGTCAAGTGTCTTTTTATATTAAAAGTTGATCATTTTGTTTATATATTTTAATAATAAAGAAAATTATATTATTGAATTTATATTATTTTTATAATAGAATTTCAATAGATTAATTTTATAAAAAAATTAACATTTTTAAAAAATTCAAATCAAGAATAATGTAATTTTAAAGATAGTATTTTTCATTTTTGTTGATTTTATTGTAAAAATAAAGAAAATTTTAATCAATCAAAATTCGATTTGATATCTAAATATACAAAATTTTAAAAAAAAAATATAAAGTTTTTAAATATTATCCAATATTGAAATTTTTGAAATTTTTAAATTTTTATTAGATATTTTCAATGATTGAAATTATTATAGTTTATTAAAATAGTTGAGTTTTGGTGTAAGATGACCCTCGGCTAATTATCAGTGCCCGGTCATTGTATATACTTGCTTCAAGTACATGCTTCAAGTAAGTAACTAAATGACTGACATCTACTGCTCGAAGAAAACCAGATCAGTGTAGTTATATTGATGAAAGATATATTGAGATGTATTGACTGACTCCTCGGATCTCTATCCTGGATGGAACGAACTTAGCTTAGCTTAACTTCAATATAAGATATAAAATATAAGATTATAAATCAGACTGACTGTATCATTCACTCTTGGACCAGACAGAGTAGAAACCTATATGGCTAGGTTTTGTAGATATCCATTCATGATTAATTGTAGTTTATTTTCCTTCTCGGGTTACTATCCATTCATCCATTGTTCTCATATCATATCATATCATTTCTCACTTGAGTGATTTGAGATTTCTTGCGAATAGGTAATGTATGTGTACATTCCGTCTGGGTAAAGACCATGAGTTTGGGGGGCGTATTGTGGAAAAGAAATGAAATCCGAGGAAGATTCAATATCCTCATCATTATCATGAAGACTTCACCGTAATTCATTCATGATTGAGACTAAAAGAATGATTTTATTATCCATCAGAAGTGTATTCCTTCCTTCCATCTAGTTTCTTCTCCATCACCAGAATATTCCTAAACGCCTGTAATCATATCATGTCTTCTCTGACTTATCGTAAATTTAATTCATTGCATTTGTGTATGCAGCCAATTTGTATATGTATGCTCATCATCCATCATCCATCATAATTGTGATGCCATGCCGTATCCATTCATCCCACGTATACCAACGTCAACCCAATTTATAACTTTGACCAGCATCAATCGAATTTCATCTTGATGTTCAAATACCGCCACCTTCACCGCCAGTTAGTTAGCAAGTAAGGAATGATAGAATCAAGATGATTAGACTTACCACTTCTTCCAGCAGCCACTGCGAAGTTTCGTGGGGATCCTGCGATCTTTGCGGCTTCACTTCTTTCCATTACTGCTTTCCATTTCATACTGACGAAGAGAGCTCCGCCACCGAGTAGAGTACCGAGGATTAATCTTTGACGGCTGTGGATGTGAAGTTAGCATGGTATTTTTATAGTTATAGCATTTGAGGAGTTTGTGAGGTTATAGATCGAGTACATGAGGTGAAGAAGAATGAATGAATCAAGAGATAAACATACGAGAAAAGGGCTCGTGCTGGTGGTGCCATTTTGATTTGCTTTCCTTTTCGATGGCTATTGTCTTGTGATGTATTTGATGTTATTCAACTTTAGATTTTGAACTCGAATTGAATTATTTAATTAAGAGAAGAGAAGAGAAGATTGAAGAGAAAACCAAAACCAAGTAACTGTTTTGATGGTTCGATTTTAGAAGTACCTTACTGTCTTGTCTGTACGTACGGATAACTTCGGAGCAAAAAGAAGCTTTGATGTGAAGCTCACGATAAAAAATCACACGAGCTATCACCGATTGAAGTTAGTTTCCTGTGATGATCCATATTTACCCCAGAATTCAAGGAATTGGCGAATAAGAGGACGCTAAGATAAAAGATAAGATATGACGGATGTGTTCCGCTGCTTTTGCGTGAGGAGAGATGGCCGATGACCAGGCACTCACTCGATAAGAATAGGTATGGGTTACAACCGAGGTCAACAACTCGCTGCAGTTATTCTAATTTTGTGCAAGGCTGGTCGACATATATTTATGCATTATTTATGCATTATTTATGCATTCCGCATCATCATTGCATGATAACAAGACAAATAGGGGATAAACTCTGGCCCGATGAATAGGATTCTCCATTTGGTTTGGTCCAGATGTTTCTCGGCCACTCATCACCCTTCGATATCGATTATCCGATGTTAATTTCATCTTCCGGACAATTTGCCATCTTCACCACCATGTAGAGTATAAACTTACAGTCATGTTTGAGGCTGTTCAACAGACCGTCGGTATTAGGTATTGAGCAGCGATGAATATATCATCAGACTCTTACAGTATCAGGCATTGAGCTGTGTACAAAGATCGAACAGTCATGAATTCTTTCCGTCTTGAATTCCTTCCATGTTGAATTCGGTTCGGTAACTTGACAAGCTGCTATACAGTATACCCAAGGACTGGCCAGTCAGTGCAGACCCATACCACCATTAATCGAATTCATCATATCCGAAATTTGGCTCGAAAATAACTAGCAATAATCCGACAAATCGTCAAGTACCGTAGGTAGTTACAATATTGACATCGAGAATCTAGATCCATCCACCATGATACATCTAACGCTCGGTTGAGCTCAAGACTGACTGGATGGATACAGGAACCTCGGTTAAACTTTACTCTGTAAGCTCTCCTTATCTCAGGGTTAACTGTTAACTGCGGTCGGTTTATTATTAGATACAGAGTACGGAGTATGGATTTAGGGTTACTTATCAGCGCTTACAAGGTAGAACTCCTTGTCACTTACAGCGCTTAGAAGGTACAGTAGTACTGCAGTTATCGAGGGGATGAATGGGCTTCCCTCGGCTTCCTTTGGCATTTGCATTTGGCTAATGATTATTTACGAATATACGAACTTACTATAGCATGTACCTATGTTATGTTGTATGTTCTTCCCATGCTCATCTTAAAGCAAGTCGAAGAATTTCATTATAAAGTATCTTTTCAAGTGAACGGAATTACCAAGTCAGATATCATATCACTCATAACATTCATATCACATCATCTACTCTCAGGAGTATCAACAAAAAGTATTTGTTGTCTTTATTTATATTAAAGAATATTATGAAGAAGCTTCCGAAGTTCCAAATCATTTTTAATGTGGATAGATATACGGAGTAAGCAATCCTGAACAACGCAGGATGCACAATATATCACAAACCCCACCTCAATCTCCCAAGTTTTCTCTCTCACAAAGAGTAAATCGAGAAACCATCGGGGTCGAGACATTCAATCGATTTCCCCTATCACAAATCTTGGCTGTACCTGGCATGATCCAATTTCGATAAATGTTCCATTATTGGAGGCACAGTCCATTAATCCACAAAAGAAAGAATTTCACATGCAGGTACCAAACGGTGTGGTTACTACCGTATTGATGAGATAACGAATGAATTAAAGGAGCGACCCAATTACAACCTTTAAATATAGACTTAAATATTATCTACTGGGTCAGAGTAAATCAAAAATTCATCATATCCGAATGAACCGAATTAACGATGATTTAATTCCTGGTATTATTAATCTATTATCAAGGATTGAATTCAAGGATTATGCTGATTTACTCATCCATTCTCAAGGCTTCGACGGCTTTTTTCATTTGTAAATACAACTCGCTTATACTTTTCTACCACGCCATTGTTTCCAATATACAAGATTGAGAGATGAAATAGATTAAATAGATTAAATAAATTAATTGGAAGCACTTCTTGATAATTACAACCCTGAATTGTAAGATGTTTAAAAGGTACAGTCTTTCTCCATGGTAGATACATTTCTTCTTCTTCTCTCAAGCACATTTGCCCTCACATTCATTGTTGATTATCACACTCTTTCGCAAATCTTCACCTACAAGCTCCAAGTCGAGCTTATTTCACTCTTTTCAAGTAACTACATAAATATCTTTATCTATACATCTCTTATCCGGTCCGTGACCAGGTCAATCCAAGAACTTTCCAACCCAACCCAACACCAACATCCCAACCAAAATTCAAAATGCAGCTCCCAATGAAGACACTCATCGCTCTCCTCCCCTTCTTCCTCCACGTCAACGCTCAAGCCTCTGGTTCCGGTACCACAACCCGCTACTGGGATTGCTGTAAACCATCCTGTGCATGGTCCGGCAAAGCCACCCTCGCATCTGGATCCGGACCCGTTGGAACCTGTGATATTCATGATTCTCCTCTTTCCGATCCTACCGCCAATGCTGTCTCAGGATGCGATGGAGGATCCTCTTACATGTGCTCTGATCAATCTCCCTGGGCCGTTACCGATGATTTGGCTTATGGATATGCTGCTGTCAATATTGCTGGTGGAAGTGAATCGTCTTGGTGTTGTGCTTGTTATGAATTAACTTTCACCAGCACTGCTCTTGCTGGCAAGAAGATGATTGTTCAAGCTACGTAAGTTTATTCTCATTGATTCATTGATTCATTGATTCCTCACTCACCCTTTTTTAAAATCCATCATCTAACATACCTCCCCCTCCAGAAACACCGGAGGTGATCTCGGCTCCAACCAATTCGATCTCGCCATTCCCGGAGGCGGAGTCGGAATCTTCAACGGCTGCACCAAAGAATTCGGCGCACCATCCTCAGGCTGGGGCGCCCAATACGGCGGTGTCTCATCCGCATCCGCTTGTTCCAGTTTCCCCGCTGCTCTCCAAGCAGGATGTAATTTCCGCTTTGGATGGTTCGAGGGAGCTGATAACCCTACTGTTAATTTCAAACAGGTTGAGTGTCCAGCTGCTTTGACTAAGAGTACTGGGTGTAAGAGAGCGGATGATTCGAATATGCCTGCTCCTGATGTCGCGGGTAGTGCTTCTGCTTCTCCTGTTGCTAAGGTTGCTACTCCTTCTCCTGTAGCAGCTACGCCTGTTAGCTCTTCCTCAGCTGTTGTTGCATCTTCAAGTGCACCAGCTGTTGCCAAACATACTTCTGTTAAATCTTCTTCCTCTGTTCCTACCGTGGCTCCAGCACCAGCTACTACACATGTTTCTTCTTCTTCCTCTTCGAAGATTAGTTCGACTGTTGCTCCTCAGTCAACTGTAGCTTCTGCTCCTTATGGTGGAGAGAATGATGATACTTGTGATGCGGAGTAGATGGTTGATATTGATTTGTGAGCTTGAGTTGATGGAGGGACATGGCTGTGGGATTAGAAATTTTGGGAAGAGTTAGAGGAAATTAGAGGAGATGAGAGGAGAGGAGATTTATATGATCATGGCCAAAGAAGATAAAGACAAAGACATGTACAAAGATAAAGATCTATTCTTGTAACTACTTTTTTCCCAAACGTAGTAAATCTATTTTTGCATCATTTATTTTCGATATACTCTCCTTTTTTGCTCTGCTTTGCTTGTGAATTATATCGTGGATGTGAACATGGATAATGTCTATCTATCTTTACAATATCAATCAATCAATCAATCACTCAATTAGTTGATCAAACAATCAAAATAAGTCTTAGATTCCAAGAACTACTTATATCATTCACTCACTCACTACCTTCATTCATTCATCCATCCATTAATCAACGATTTCTATTTCTATTGCCATTCAAATTAAATTCCAGATTTACCTCCCTAACCTAACCTAACCTATTAATTACCAGCTCAATTACAAAAGCAGTAAACTTAATTATAATAATATAAATCAGAAACCTCAATAAAATTATTTCAATCTATTTACTTATTTACTTACTTACTTACCAACCTACTTACTTACCTACTGCTTACCTACTTACCTACTTACTTACCTACCAACCAACCAACCTACGCACCTAGTAAGATAGTTCTAAACAAAATAGGCTATCATCTCATAATCTTGATACTTTAATCTACTCTACATCCCACTCACTCCACGTCAACCTCAACCTCAACCCCAACCTCAACCTCAATCCTTTTACATATTTCAAGCTCTCACTTACTCAAAACAACACAACACAAAACAAAGCAAAAGAATTCCATCCATCCATCTATAAACACTCAACAAAACAAGCAAGCCATTCATTCATTCGTTCATAATACTCGAGTAAATCTCTAGATCTATTTATTACTCGATCGATCACTATGTCTGAACGAGAACGAAAATCATTTATTTCATAGCTAACTATACAACATCCCTCTCCTCATTAGGTAGGTAACCTTACTTACTTGAGTGCGTACGTATGGTGGTACCTCGCTAATTAATATAAATTCAAGCATAACGTTAACCCCAACCAACACCATCCATTCATCCATTCCTCTAACATACAAAATACAAAGATACAAAGATACAAAATCTCATCCCTCGCCCCTCCCCTTTCCCGCCTCCCTTCCTTCATCTCATCATCCATCATCCATCATCCATCATCCATCATCCATCATCCATCATCCATCACCTCCCACCCCTTCCCCACCCCTTCCCCACCACCCCAACCACCAATCTACCACCCCCAAGTCCTATCCACCAATTTAAAAGGTTTCCACACAATCCTCGCCGGATCAATAACCCTCTTCGGTTTCAATTTCTGTTTCTCCTTCATCGCCTCATGTCTCTTAATCAACGCTGTCGGTAAAACCATCTTATGTTCCCCCTTATGATAAACCTGCATTTTTAACGCTTGTAATGTATGTTCTACATCCGCACTCGTCATGTTAAGTTTTTGCGATAAACCTTCTATGCTTATTCTTTCGTCTCTTTCGTTGTGATTTAAAAGTTCCTCGACGATGCGTTCAGTCCAGTATTGGCGATATGAGAGGAGACCGAGATCGGAAAGGGGTTTTTCGGGGGAGCCGAGTTTTCCTTCAATTTTGGAAAGTTCGTAGGAAAAATTGATGAGGAGGCGTCCATATCCTTTACGTTGATATTGGGGAAGTGTGAGAATACAAGCTACATTGTATCCATCTGCGCTTTCTTTCTCTTTTGAAAAATATCCTACTAGATGAAATCCCTTTTCGTCTACTGAACACATGACATAGAAGAGGAAAGGGTCCACATCGTAGTAAAGAGTTTTGTGATCGAGAAACATCTTGGATATAAGACATAAGTTTCGACACCAAGTTCGTTGACGACGACCATCAATTTCGAAGAATGATACGTAATCATCTCGATAAATTTCATTTCCAGGAGGATGTTGTAATGTACACTTGTGACGATGTCGAGTAAATGATTTGAGATCTCCGTAATAACATAAACAAAATTCACAAATGTACATGAGATCCTCTTGAGTGAAGACTTCGGGATAAGGAGAGAAATACCAGGGGTAAAGGTCGAATTTACCGAATTGAACTTTGGAAATATTTCGAATTCGCGATATTTCGGCTTGATTTTGAGTCATTGAACCTCCAGTTCTTAATTTTTCAATTTCTTCTTCCCGACTGAAATGTTGAACGGGTTCATTCTTCGCATTTGCAGCCTCAGCTGCAGCTTCATCAACATCCATAGGATCATTGGCTTCAGGAGTAGCATCAAGATCTAATGCCACGGTAAGTTTTGCATCTCCATCTCCATCAACATCAGGAGTTTGTCTTTGAGAATCAGCAAATTCCGACCAAGGTTGAGCATTTGACCCTGATTCTGAAATGACGGAATCTTCTCTTTTACTTGCTTGAGCTGGACGTTTTTGATTTTTCTTCTTACCCACGCTGGTTTTCTTACCAGCTGGAGCAGCCTTGGATTTATCCTTTGGTTTTTCTGGAGCTGGCCATTCAACATCTTGCGTAAAATCTATTCGTATAGCTGGAACCCATTCATCTAGACGTTTATTGAAGTTGTCAAAATTGCAATAAAATTGACGACCACTTTTCGTCTCTTTTATACTTAGAATTTCTGCTCTTCTAAGTGCCCCATCCTGGGTGAAATTAGTATGGGATTTGATAGAGCAAATGGGAGTAATAGGGATTAATAGCGACTGATTCTTAACCAAAAGGGATGAACAAGAAAGAACAAGAGAAAGTCAAAACAGAGAATAAAGGAATGGTAGTTGAATGTAGAAGCTGTGATATAGAAATCCCAAGTTGCCCAGATACAAATACCAAATACAAATAAATACAAAATGAACACTAACCTTCTGAACCATAGCTATACATCCCACCCTGCAGACATAATCAGCATCACTATAAAAGTGCGACGGTAAATAAACTCACCTCAAAGTATCAATCGTCGCTTTACTCTTCTGTTTAGGAACCGGTGTTCCTACATTACTATCCTTATCCTGGGAAGGACCCGTCATGATGAATTATATGATTTATTTGAAGATGGTGAATTGATTTTTGGATTGATTTGGATTGATTTGGATTGATTTCGTGATTCTCGTGATTCTCGTGATTTTGCTCGTTGTTTGTTCTACAGAGTAGAGGGGCAACTTGACAAGGCTGTAGAAAGAAGAATGCTTGTACAGAACAGAGAGAGTAAAGTTGCAGGCACGAGCCAGCCCAGTCCAGTCCAGTCCAGCCTTGTCTTGTCTATTTTATTTATGTACTTGATGAAAAAACCCATTCTCGAGATTTTACCCTCCAATCCAATCCAAACCAAACCAAACCAACAACAAGAACAAAAACACCAATAGAACATGCAAAGAAAAAATCATGGCACCTGTCTTATCAAGTAATTGGAAATCCCTACAAGCCATCTTAAAGAAAACCCCCCAACTATCATCCATCGAAGCCAAAAAACGAAAAGCCCTCGAACCTTCCGAAAGAACAAAGGACAGTATCGCAAAACGCAGACGATTGGAAGACAACACCCTTAAAACTCGATCAATTGCAGAAGCAAAAGGAGCAGCAACGAAGAAGAAAACCATGGGGGGGATGGGAAGTTCACCAATTGTGGAATCAGCGGAAGATGATACTCCACTTCCTAGAAATGCACCCTCTGCCTCTCTAGCTCTTTGGGCGGAGGATAATGATATTTCGGCGAAAGATCTCGCGGAAGCTTATGGAGGGAATTTAAAAGATACGACGATACAAGGAGCACGAGCTGATAAGATCAATGGGGGATTATCCACCGATGTCGACATAGGGAAGTACATCGCTATAGATTGTGAAATGGTAGGTGTGGGAGGTGTGGAGGATCGATCAGTATTGGCACGAGTTAGTATTGTCAATTTTCACGGCACGCAAGTATACGATTCATTTGTGCGACCTATGGAATTTGTTACGGATTGGAGAACTCATGTTTCAGGAGTTTCGACGAAGAATATGGCGACGGCGAGGGAATTTGACGAGGTCCAGAAAGATGTTGCTGAGATACTCAAGGGGAGGATATTGATTGGACATGCGATTAAGAATGATTTGGAAGCTATGATTCTGAGCCACCCAAAGAGAGATATACGCGATACATCAAAGTTTTCAGGCTTTAGGAAATACAGTAATGGGCGAACACCAAGTTTGAAAAAGTTATCAAAGGAGATATTGGGAGTGGATATACAGGGTGGTGAACATTCTAGTATTGAGGATGCGAGAGCAACGATACTTTTGTTTAGGAAACATAAATCGGCTTTTGATATTGAACATGCGAAGCTTAATCCTCCACACTCTGGTGCTTCGTCAAAGTCTAAGCCAAAGAAGAAGAAGAAAGGGAAGCGTTGAGGGGTTTAGGGTTAATAGGACGCGGTCAAGTAGGTGGTGTGAGACTTTATTTCATTATGAAGTTTCAGGAAGACTGGTGTCAGATTATCAAATTCAGAGGGATTTGGAGTTTGGTGTTAAAGAAGATCATGTGTTAATTAGACTTGAGCGACGCTTTCATATTCCGTGGACATTTTACGAGTCATCAATATATTCTTACAATCATGTTCCAATCACAGAAGTTTTGACATTTGGCCAAGAGCCAGTAGAAAAGCTAGCACTCATACTGCTCTGTATGTACCTATTTATACAATGAATTATCCGAAGAAAATTCCCCAGTCTAGTCTATAGTTTATCAAAATGCCACTCTAAAGCAACATCAATCAAATCCTTCTATGACTTTTTGAAAATATAGCGAGAAGAGAAAATTCGTTTGTTACCCCTTCATCCATCGACTCCAAGCGCTCAAAATAAGAATAACCCGCAATATGAAGCAAATCTCAAAGCTTATAAGGGTATACCATGCATCAATTCCAAAGCTCCCTCTCTTCCAACCGTAATTATCGCATCTCCTAGTGTCTTTGTCGCGAATCCCGCTTCGCAATATGTGAAATAATACTATTATAAGAGAGAGAGACGGTGTTAGCATGTGACCTTCGGAACAAAGTTTATACAAGGGAAATGTTATACGAACCTCCCACTTCTTTCTAAACACTTCAACCTCTCTCTTACCCATCCCTTCATGTTCTGCCATCAACGCAGGTCTAATCCTCGTTTCGAAACTCGTTAGGAACTTTTCTTTCCATAATCGTAATGTTTTCGCATAGTGTCCTCCGATGTTTTCTACCTTTTCTACCACCAATGTTCCTTCTGAGGCTTTGGTAATATTATCAATTAATTGAGTAATGGAAGGAAGATGTCCACCTGGGAAGATGTACTTTCTAATAAAATCCTCCCCCTTTGCGTATGCTTCGTATCGACCTTCTGGCATGGTAATGCACTGGAATACAGCGATTCCATCGGGTTTCAATAGTCGATGAATACAGGAGAAATATGTTTCGAGATATTCTGCCCCGACAGCTTCAAGCATCTCTATTGAGATTATTTTATCATAAGGTTGTTTTGGGATAGGTAAGGCTCGATAATCCATAAGTTTCACTTCGATTCTGTCCGCGAAACCAGCTGCATATATGCGCTTTTCAGCCAAAGCTTTTTGTTCAATCGATAATGTTAAACTTGTCACACGACACCCTGTTCGTTGAACGGCTCGGATAGCAAATGAGCCCCATCCAGTTCCGATTTCTAAGACGTGATCTGTGGATTTGATTCGCGCTCCATCTATGAATCGATCGAGTTTCGTATTCTGTGCTTCTTCAAGAGTTTCTTCTTCAAACTCGAAAGAGGTGCTAGAAATGGGTTTCCATATTGGACATGAATATGTCATATCTTCCGAGAGAAATGCGGCGAACATTTCATTAGAAATATCGTAATGCGCGGAAACATTAAGGAGAGAATTGGAGAGAGTATTCGTACTTCGGGCAAGTCCTGTGATGGTAGCGGCGATAGATGAGGTTAGGGTTGTTGCATTTGCGAGTTGATTGCGATTTTGGATAAAAAGCTACCAAGAGGGAGTTAGTATAAGACCCAGTCACCAGTAGTAGAAACTTATCATACCTCAAAAAATCCAGTCAAATCATCACATTCAACTTCTCCCAACATATACGCCTCCGCGAAGCCCATGTCAGCAAATAAGAATAATCGCACCCAAAATGCTTGATTGATAACCCTCAATTCTATCTTTCTTGCTGCACCAGCTATCCTCGAGGAATAATGGCCATTGACGCCGTTGGTCTTGGGTTCTTTGGAAATCTTCGCCCCGTAACATGTTGTGGTTCCAGTTTCGACATCAGTAACAAGTAGTGTACCACGCTCAATTCGACCGAATAATGAAGTGACAACAGTCTTTGAGAGAGAAAGGACAGGACCCCAAGTCAAGCCACCAATTGCACTCTTCAAGTAATCTGTACTTTTTGTTATGGGTATGGTTATGGCACCGGGAAGGTAGGAAGCCATTGTGATATATCAGGCTGTTTGCAGTATGAGAACGAGAAGGTCTAATGAATTATTGTATCAATGACCTGCAGGTTTAAAGAACGTTGGATATAAAGTTCAACTTGAGAGACAAGAAGGTAAAAGGAAAAAAAACCTGTTCACTCGGACGAGGTAAAAGGGCGAGTGCCGTGCGCCGGACACTAGACTTGAGGCAGAAGCTAAGCTTCCGGAGCTTGATCTTTAGCTTGATTTGCGCACAATCACAAGATATATGTTGATCTAATTGAAAAGGGAAAAGAAAAGGAGGGGAAGTAGTATGAATGAGGAATTGGTATATACCTTTGTTACTGTCAGTGTTACCGTATCAGCATGGGACAATATGATGCTACATCTGAAGGAAAAAAAAAAGGAAAATCGAGACAACACATACAATTTTGATTTCAGACAAGAACAGCATGGGAATCCCTGATCATGATGTTTTTCGAAGATGGTCAAAAATAGTTACTGCTAAAGTGGGAAGGAAGGAAGGAAGGAAGGAAGGAACTAGTCTGAATATGGTTTAAGGAGGGGTGAATAGCTCATGCGGGTAGGTGGACCCCCGCGATTAGTGATCTGTGCTAGATCTATGGATATTTCTAGATGTGCTTGGACTGACTTGGACTGGCTTGGGCTTGAACTTGGACTAGGACTTGGACGAGTACTAGGATCTCGGGCTTAAGACACCGACCACAGACCACAACTTATGGGTGGTTGCTGAAGGGACAACAGGTTTTTGTAAAGAGAGATAAAGTGTTATTCTGTTCGTGTTGTGTATATCATCTTCTACATGTTTACCAAATAAGTTTAGGTTTAGCAGTGCTGCTGCTGTGCTCTTGCCCCCCTCGAAGCATGCATTGCATAGACCGGAAGAAAAGAAATATATATCTGTCCAAGGATTTAAATCCCACGGATCCTATCTACTATCTATGTATGTAGTACCTAGTAGGTACTAGTGATTTTGTGCACATTCCTAGCTAGAGTAGATGAGATATGATGTATGTATGAGCGTGTTCGTATAAGGCTGAAGTAGAAAAAAAACATGTCAAAGAAGGATCTCGGAGATCTAAGACAATATGGGTAAGACGATAAATACCTAGTTGAAGGCTTCGATCATTAGAAGTTAGTTAAAGGAAGTACCTCGGAGTCCGTAGACATCCGAATGAACCATTGATTTATGAGATCTTAGGATTCTTTTCTCACTTCAAAATATATCTCTGAATCGAGCGGGTGAGATGATAAAATAATTACAAATCAAGGGTCCAAGACATTAAAACATAGAAAGGAGCTGGTTGATGATTATGTAATATCCAGGTGGGGGTATCTCTCAAGGGTAGGCTCGATTGACAATGCTCGGGGCTATCTTTCACGGATCGACCATAGATAAATTCAACGAGACGGAGTTGCTAAGTCTCCGTAGGAAGAAGATACTTCCGATGTTTGAACAATAGAGGATAGTTATCTGTGCCGAGTAGGTATTAGTTAGTCTCTTCACATGATGTTGGCTAGGACAAAAGATGGCTGCATCAAATGTCTCAAAAGGAAGTGGTGACCCGAATGAAGGGGTAGTGGACGAGAACGACGTAATAAAAGCTGTACGGATTCCTTCAACCCAAGTGATTTGGTCTGCAAGGAATATGAAGTATGCAAAAAGAATTGTTATGCAGCTTTGGATGTTGGAAAGTAAAATGAGGCATCACGAAGCTAGAAATGCGAGGATAACGTTGATGCGAAGCGACATAGACAGCCGCAACTACATCGCTATACGATTTCAATGCACCACTGTAAGACTTACATGTGACAACTAATGGTCCAAGCTCAAGCATTCGTTTCCTCACAACGCGTCAAGTCGCGTCTCACTCCACACATGAAAGATAATTCCAAATATTTGCATCAATTGACTCAACTGCAACTGCACAAATCTCAAATAATAAAGGATTCCATCGAACAAACACGAACCACAAGCACCATGCTCGCAATCCGTCCACCATCCAAACAACCTTCCTCCAAACCCTCCAAAAAATACACACCCAACCTCATCCCCTGCCGCATAAACCACACCGCACCCATCAAAATAGAAAAAAGATATTGGGAACCTAAACTTACTAAAAATGCAAAGGGGAAAGAAGATTTAGTGGCATATTTCAGAGGTAGAAGATTAATTGGGAGAAAGGTTAAGGTTCCGGAAGGATGGAGGGGTGTTGTTTTGAGGGTGGGAGAGGAAATTCTGCCGCGGGAAGTTGATGTCGATGTTGATGTTGAGGATGAGAGGATGGGAGATGGGGATGGGGATGAGGATGAGGAGGGAGATGATGGGGAGGAAAAGGATGTGGAAACGACGATGGTGGAGGAGGAGGGTACTTTTGATGATTTAACGGTTTGGGGTCATGAGTGCTTGGTTGACGCGGGTGGGGACATGGTGGTTAGAGGTATTGAAGAGTGGATGGGTTGGGCGGGTGCGGTATGTTCTTTTTCTTCTGGATATTTTGGCCATGGAATCGAAGGAGAGTAGGGTGGGGGGCAGGCTTGAGGGACGGTATGAGAGAATTGTGCTAATTGGTGGTCTTAGATTCACGCCTTCGATTACCAGACAAATAAGGAGGACAAAAAGTCGACTTGACAATTGATATTGGATCTTGGTTTTAATGGGAAATGGTGGTGTTCATAGCGTTAATTAGGATGCATTAGTGACCAATCTGTTGGATTCAGCCCTGTATTGGGTACATCATATTTATTGGCACGGGTAATTGAGGGTCGCAAAACATACCTCGGGGTATTTGGATATTCAATGATTGGAGGAGCATGGGCAGGGCTAGAATGCGGCTTGATGCTCTAATGAGATGGTACGAAATTTAGCAGCAAGAGGAAGAAAGACCAAAAAATTCTCAAGTCAAAGATTAGATAGATGTTTTTCGCCTCTTTCTTGGTTTGCTAGACCTTTCCTCTGGTCACTCCTCCTGCTTAATCCTGCGCTTCTCTTTTGTTACATTTTGTAGCCTGTTTCTCGGTCTACGATAAATATTCCCTACTCCCCTCCTGTTTCATATACTTCCCTTCCCCTCTCTGTTCCTGCACATCGTCCTTCAGCGTTTCTTCACCATGCACCCGTATCCAATCCTTCAACTCCTTTTGATACCTTCCTTCAAAACTTTGTACCCGTCATGCCCCCTACACCTTCCCAACTTTTCTTTGAATATTTCACAAGCAATTAATTTATCTTCCTGTCCCTCATGTCCTCGACTCTTCTCCATTCCCACCTTTTGACCATCCTTCCCAATTTCGTATTTTCATCCCCTTTTATAATTCGCATAACGCTTTGATCGTGTCATACCCATTTGTATAAATTTTCTACTCATATCCATACCCACAAAATCATCTTCCTTGTAAAAACGAAGGAACTCGTCGTACAAGGCCGTCGAGGATTTCTCGGCGATTGAAGGAGTTCGGAAGCGCCAAAGGGGTAGGGGATATGATTTGTAGGGCTCATGGGTCAGAACTCCTTGTTCTCCTCGTTGAATACGGTCGGTGTAATATTGGGAGGGCGGAGGGCGGAGGGCGGAGGGCGGATGAATGGGCCTGGGGAGGGTAGGGAATCCTTTGGAGATTTTGAGGAACGTGGTGGCATTGTTCATGAGATTACTTTACGGGATCTTGAATATGGTTTTGAGTCGTGAAGAAATTGTAAATGCTTGTTTCCGTTTTGGGGATTGTGTTGCGCATCGCAAATTAATTGATCTCATACTTGAGAAATCTAATATGTACATATTAGTAGAATGAGTTTTGTAATTTAATATATGGTTTGCTCTTAACAACAGGGAGAGTTGGAATCTAGTAATGTCGTATTGTTTCATGTCAGTGAGGTTGAGCAGTGACTGGGTGCGGCGAGGTCTTCTTTGCATTGAGACCAATATTTGAGGACTACTATCTATGGTTAAATCTTGTGGTGATAAGAATTGATTATCGATTGTCTTTCACAAAACAGTTGAAAGCTTGATTGTGATGCTGAAGGGATTGACGCTGGATGATATATGGCTATCCCAAAAATCAATCTATTACGGGGACCAGGTCGCGTCAAAATAGTATTCTCCGTGTTCTGACAACGCGACTTGGAATTTTTGACTCCAGAATTTATGCCCCTCAAAGTAAACAACTTTATTTTAAAAACATCAGATACTCACCAGATACCCACCATTCCTTCGATAATAATACAAAATGGCGTCCGGAATGATGTCTGATGCCGCTACACCAGACTTTGGAAATTCTTCAAGAGCTGGAACTCCTAGAGCTCGTAGGCATAGGGGTTCTTCAGCATCAGGTAGACCACGAGGTCCTCCATCTGAGAGTGCCGGTGCTATGAGTGATGATGAAGGATTCGCAGATGATGCTATTCCACAAAATACCAATCGTCCAAGGAAGAGTGATAGACCAATTCCAAGAGTGGAGGATGCAATTGGGCAATATGTTCAACTTACGTTTGAGGAATTCCTTGAGTCGTGAGTTTTGTCCTTGTTGGACTCTCGCATATCTATCTAATGCCTTTACAGATATATCGAAGATCCAACACTTTCTGGTGCAACTCCTTCGTCCGCCGTGACCACAGATAAATATTACATTGCGCAAATTCATGGGCTGAAAGCATATCAGCTCTCTACTTTATACGTCGATTACACGCATCTCTCTTCATACAAAGGAGGCGCATTGGCAGAGGGTATTGTGGAAGAATACTACAGATTCCTACCATTCCTTACGAAAGCTCTGCATAACATGATCGCCAAATATGAACCAAGATACTTTCGAGATCATCGTCAACCTACCGCATCAAGCAATCAAACTTCATCTGGGGCGAGTAATGCTGCATCTGCAAGTCAATCCGACTTTCAAGGAGATAAAACCACAAATCAACAAACCGATAAATTATTTGCGCTAGCATTTTACAATCTACCCCTTGTTACTCGTGTTCGACATTTAAGAACTGCGAACATTGGACAACTTCTTTCGATTTCTGGTACCGTTACGAGAACTTCAGAAGTCCGACCTGAACTTTCTTTGGCTACTTTCATATGTGAAAATTGTAAGAACGTTGTACCAAATGTCGAACAAACTTTCAGATATACCGAACCTACACAATGTCCGAATTTAGAGTGTAATAATCGTCAAGCATGGAGATTGGATATTAGACAGAGTACATTTGTGGATTGGCAAAAAGTTCGTGTGCAGGAGAATAGTTCTGAAATCCCTACAGGAAGTATGCCAAGAACTATGGATGTTATACTTCGTGGAGAAATCGTCGATCGTGCTAAAGCCGGTGAGAAGTGTATCTTTACGGGAGCTCTAATTGTTGTGCCTGATGTTAGTCAACTTGGTTTACCTGGTGTTAGACCAATGGCTATTAGAGATACACAAAATCGTAGTGGAGATGCAAGCGGTGTTACTGGATTGAAAGCACTTGGTGTTAGAGATCTTACATACAGACTGGCTTTCTTGTCATGCATGGTTACACCTGATACATCCACTCAAGGAGCAGCAGCAAATCAACAACTTAACGGGCAATCCAATAACATCCTTGCATCTCTCAATCAAACCGCTCCTATTGATCCTAATGAGCCTGGAGATCATGCTCAAGAAGCTGTCCTTGCATCCATGACGCATGCCGAAATTGAAGATCTCAAAGAAATGGTTCATTCAGATCACATTTACTCACGTCTGGTCAATTCTCTCGCTCCTATGGTTTACGGACATGAAATCGTCAAGAAAGGTCTTCTCCTTCAACTCATGTCAGGTGTTTCCAAAGTTACCCCGGAAGGAATGCAACTTAGAGGTGATATCAATATCTGTATCGTTGGTGACCCTTCTACCTCGAAATCCCAATTCCTCAAATATATCTGCTCTTTCCTTCCTCGGGCTGTCTACACATCTGGAAAAGCCTCTTCAGCTGCAGGACTCACAGCAGCTGTAGTTAAAGATGAAGAAACTGGAGAATTTACCATTGAAGCTGGAGCACTCATGTTAGCAGATAATGGTATTTGTGCCATTGATGAATTTGATAAGATGGATATCAGTGATCAAGTCGCCATTCACGAAGCTATGGAACAACAGACTATTTCCATCGCAAAAGCAGGTATCCAAGCTACCCTGAATGCTCGGACTTCGATTCTCGCTGCTGCAAACCCTGTCGGAGGAAGATACAACAGAAAGACGACATTGAGAGCTAACATCAATATGAGCGCTCCTATTATGTCACGTTTCGATTTGTTCTTTGTTATTTTGGATGAGTGTAATGAGACGGTGGATCGTCATCTAGCAGAGCATATTGTAGGAATCCATCAACTACGTGACGAAGCAGTACAACCAGAATTCACAACCGAACAACTTCAACGTTACATTCGATTCGCCAAAACTTTCAAACCGCAATTTACAGATGAGGCTAAGGAATTACTGGTTCAAAAGTACAAGGAACTGAGAAATGATGATGCTCAAGGGGGAGTCGGTAGAAATAGTTATCGGATTACGGTTAGACAATTGGAGAGTATGATCCGATTAAGTGAGGCTATTGCGAAGGCGAATTGTGTTGAGGAAATTACCGAGCCGATGGTGGTTGAAGCCTTTAATCTTTTGAGGCAGAGTATTATTAGTGTGGAGAAAGATGATGTTGAGGTTGATGATGATGATGAAGACGTTCCTGCTCCAGCTGCGGATGGTGATGCAGATGATGCTATGGACGAAGATACTCAGGAGGCCAATGAAAGTGTACCACCTGCTGAAGGAGATGGAAAACAGAAGACAAAAATTACCTACGACAAGTATATTGGAGTTGTAAACCTATTGGTTAGAAGAATAAATGAAGATGAGTTGGGTAGTGGTGAGGGAGTGGAAGGAGAGAAGTTGATAGAATGGTATTTGGAGCAGGTGGAGGATGAACTGGCTGATGAAGAGGCTTATCATGAAGAAATGAAGTTGTGCAAGAAGATTATTAAGAGGATGCTTAAGGTTCGTTTCTTTTCCCCGTCTCGACCCCTTTTCCGGGTTAGGTCGTGCAATGTTCTATGGATATGACAACTAACATTTGACTCTGTAGGAAAATATCTTAATGGCAATCCGTGGTCAAGGATTAGTCGATCAGGATAACACTAATGGAGAAGGAAGTTCGAGATCAGAGGAATCTGTTGTTTATGTATTACATCCTAATTGTGCAGTGGAAGAATATTAAGTTTTAGTTTCTGGTATGGGAGAAACATGCCATGCTATGTCATGGTGCATATGAAGGCGTTATGGAAGAACATTTTAGTGTGGTGATAGCATATGAATGAACGGATAGTTAAGGTTATGTTTAGATGAAAGAATGAAGGAGGGGAAATATACATTTTTCCCGTTTATTGATTATTCATTCTTGTTTCTATCGATATATATCCCCGTGTTTCCCAATACTTGTCCCTCAATTCCCGATGCGCTCTTCTGCGGATTCACAAACACCATTATCCAAATAGTATATTTATCGTCTCAACCATAAACATCTCTCACAACCGCAATTAACCTCCTAGCCACCTCTTCCGAAAAAATCGCAATTCCCACCTCCTGACTCGTAACCCAACTCGCACGATCCATATTACCACTCCCAAGAACCGTAATCTTGCTATCAATCACCGTCATCTTAAGATGAAGTTTCACCGGGCGACTTTCCATCTCCATATCCTCAATACGGCTCGGCATTGCTTCCTCATTCCTCGTCGTAGTTCGATTATCCCTATCCCTCTCATTTACATTGACCAGCGCCGGATTAAAATAAACGATTTCTAAATTTCCTATGCGGGTATTAATACCCGCTTCCAAATCGTCTGTTCGGTGCGATGATCGTGCGACGAGTTTGCGGTATCGTCGTTCCATTTTGTAGATTTCCCATTCTGTTAGTGTGCCTGCTGTTACTATTTGTTCTAGGATCATTAATTTTCTCGATACTACGATGCGGATGTCGATGCCGCGGGTTAGGGCTTCGAATAGTGCGTTGATGAGGGGGGTGTAGGTGATGTTTGGGGTGTAGATGTTGATTGATGATTTGGCGGTTGAGATTTGTGACAGGAGGAATGTGTTGAGTGGTGTGGAAGGTGTTTTTGCATTTGGGGTGAAGAAAATGGAAAAGGGGTTATAGGGTGAGTGGGTATGTGGGAGAAGAAGCGTTTCGATGTTTGCTGGGAGATGTGACAGGTCGATGGAAGCTAATAATGACGAATTCGAATATCCCAACTCGACAGGAACTTCCTCACTTCTCCGTAAAATCTCAGCTGAGATCTCCACAGATTCAGGAACTTCCATCCGTCCATCCCCATCCCAAACCCTACTCCAATAACCCCTCAAATCCTCCACTAATCCTCCCCCTTCAAACCCTACACATCCCTCTCCCCACGCCTCCCAACTAACATTACAACTCGGAAACCACACCCGTTCCGAATCCTGAATAATATACTTCCCATGCAAAACATGACACGGTCTCAAAAATATCGACTTAACCCTCAAATCCAACCCGGGGATCTCCTCTATCTCTGGTAATCCAAGCGAAGCATATCGCGAAGAGGGATATGTATATCCATTCTCCGAGGGGATATGGAGTAACTTTTGAAGAGGAGAAAAGAAGAAAACAAATTCGGATGTGGATGGTTTTATGGGAGGAGATTGCTTGGGAGGAGAGATGGAGGAGCAGCTTCCGGATGGATTGTTGCGTGCTGGAGGGGGACCAGAAACATGTTACGAGGATGAGGGAGTGCTTTGTGGTGAGGAGTTTGGGAAGGAGGGTACTGAATAGGGTGGTCCCGGTGCCGAGGTGGAAGGTGGTGGGTTGGGTTGTGCTGGGGGTAGTGGGGGAGGAGGGTGGTCATGTGGATGTGGAGGGTGGTTGTGGTTGTGGTTGTGGTTGTGGTTGTGGTGTGTTAGGGTGGGGTAGGGTAGGGCGAGAGTGATGATGGAAATTGATAGGAAGTGCTTGTGAAAATTATAGTTCTGGCTGTTGATGTATTAGGATCTTAATAGTGATATGACGGGACGGTTGTGTTTTGGCGGTGACACTTTGACTTGACACCCTAGCTTTGTAATTTCCATCGTTTAAGGTTTATTTTTGGTCACAAATAATCAACAACAATTTTGACCACATCTTTCGCTTTATAAATCCGATGAGGTAAACAAAATCATGAATTTTTATTTCTCTTACCATACAATCAATAATATAATAAAAAGTTCTGTCTCTATAGTTGAAAGGTAACGAATTCTTGTTCCGGTACATTCTGAGACCACCATCATCAGAGATGAAAGTTAAAGTCTACTATAGTAAGATCTTACCTCATACCTACAGAAGTACCTTATTTATACTTCAATGTCATCAAGCTCATTCAATAGAAGACTTCAAGTGAAGATGGGATGTTTGTTTTTACTTTATCGCAGTGCAATATCTTTTAGAGTACTTCGTGCATCATGTGTATCTCCATCACTCTCGAGTATCTCCAGTGTCTCCCAGTGGCGTCATTGATGTAGGATATACGATTAGAATGTTACTATTTCTTCCATTTTTATACTCGTTCTTATAGCGAGGGATGCTGAATAGAGGTCAATTAAGAGAAAAATTGATCGAAAATGGGTCATTCCATAAACGCGCTCCGTTAGTGGCTATCTATGGTGAGAAATTCGATGATAGTAGGATCATTACAGCAGAGTACAGCCTGTTATTGTTACTGCGTAATCAATACTTCAGAAGAATCCAATGCTTCGGATGGACTTAATATTCTGATTGTTTCAATCTCTTAAATGTATTCAAGAATCGACTCCTTAAATGAACGGCAGTCCGGGCTAGGACACCTAGATAACCTGCATTTGCTTTCTACCATCTTATCTTGCTATCAAACTTCGAATAATTCTCTTGTAATCATTCACTCCTTTAACAAGTCCATCAACAGTAATACACTCATGATCCGAATGTGCTGAAAGTACAGATCCAGGTCCGATCAAGTAGCGTTTATGATTCCCTTTCAAATTTGGAACATCAGTTCCTCCTCTTTTCACATCCGTCTCGAAACCTAAAAGTACGAAATTCAGTATGAGTCTCATCTCTATGAGAATAGCGCAATATACATACCATCAATATCTACATCACAATCAACAGGAGCAAATTGATGACCAAACTTGACTTCCACTCTTCCTTCATCAAATCCAAGGTTCGCAATAATAGTTTCAATCCTTTTAATAACTGTCTCCGGTGTTCCCGCTGCCAATCTTGTTAATACTGTAGCTGATGCTTTTGCCGGAATAACATTCATTGCCACTCCACCTTCTATCAATCCAATACTCGTAGTTGTTTCACCCAACTTAACGCTTCCAGGTAATTTCATTTCATCAATTGCTGCCAGTACCTTTATCAAAATACTAATTGCGTTAATTCCTAACTCAGGATAAGAGCTATGTGCATCTTTTCCATGAGCAATTATCTCATATGCTAGTGCACCTTTATGTCCAATGACCAATTTGTTTTCAGATGGTTCCCCGAATATGACAGCTTCGAACCCGAGACCATCTTGTTGAAATATTTCACTTGCTCTCCCCATACCAGCACCATTCGTTTCTTCACCGACTACAAAAAGTAATCCGATATCACCTTCTTGAATTGATTCCTCAGCTATCAATTCTTCTACAGCCATGATTTGAGAAGCCATACATCCTTTGGCGTCGGTACTTCCTCGACCACAAATTTCATTCCCCTTTCCATTGGACGAACGTGAGTATGGAATATATGGTCCAACTGTATCCATATGAGTTGTAATTAGAATTCTAGTACTTCTCGTCGTTCCCTTATATGCAAAAATGTTGAGTCGTGGCTTATCATCGATGTTGTCAACATCATGTAGTAATTTGGTAGAAGAAACATATTGAGTTTCCACCGTAAAATTGCGGGATGAGAGATACGAATGTAGGTATTGACTAATTTCGTATTCATTTCCAGTGATAGATTCGATGGAAATAAGATCTTGGTGAAGATTTACCAGTTTGGATTCCGGGTCTGTGAATTGAGATTGTGGAATTTTGGCATTGGTACCCGCATTTATGGGTATTTGTGAGGGGTGAAATAAAGAGCTTTTTACGATTGATATGAGATTCAAACTTCCTACGAGGAAAGAAGAGACGAATGGATTAATCTTCATGATTGTTGATTGATGATGGGTTATTTAGGTAGGTATGATTTGTTGATATTGATATCGTGCTGGCAAAGATTCTGTCATCGATATCACGTTACTGCATTGGTTAGGACCCCTGGTCATACCTGCATATAGTCACACTGTGTCAACTAAGATATTCAATGGATTGAGAAATGAATTTTATACTAGAACTTTTGGGCTTTGATCAACTCATCAACGAGTAAATGCTATACTACTACTATCTTCTACACTAATTGTAAATTTAATGACATTTACCCCAGCCATCCAGAATGAGTAGATCTTTTCCCGCAAGTCTTTAACATCATCCCCAACAACAACCGACTGAACACTTAACCTATTTTTCTGTCCTACAACTTTGATAGCAGTATTAAAATCAAGAATTTCACAGTCATTTTCCCCCAAACCCGAGAATTGATTTACACCAAAAACCTCAATCAACCTATCCATTTCTCGACTCTTACTCCTAGCACCATTGTCTCGATCGGAATATATCTCCTCGTATATTCCACCAAATATCAATTTACTTGCCAAGCTTAGGATAAAGATTTAGAGACGGTTGTAATTTCAAACTATCCCAAGCAAGATCAGAGAAACAGGCGGTAAATTGTGAGAGATTTGTGAACATTTCGGAATTGATCATACTATGGGGGTTTGGTTCGACAGCAAAGACCACCGCTGTGGGTACTTTGCTCGAATATTTTTACGTTGAATGATCCCGGATAGGAATGAATTAATGTTCTCGCGGCAACGAGACCAGCTGGGCCTGCCCCGATTATTGCTACTGACTTCATTGTGAGAGGATAAGACCTGTTTCTTCTGATTTGGTGGTAAAAAATTGGGAGGGAAAGAAGAAGGGAGAATTGGTGGTAGATAAGGTCATTCTCATCTGGTGGATACCCACAGTTGGTTGGTATTCGCAACCACTATGTCGGTACTTATCAAGAATAAATGCAAATCAGGGTAAGCTCTTCCAAGCTCAGCATTTTCACATGGATAATCAAACGGCAATTCAGCTTAAATCTGGGTTTGAATTAAGGAGTCATTTTCGCGTAGCAAAACTATCGACACAAATTCATTGGTCCGTCATCCGAATATTGGAATATCGGCCTACATCCAAAGATTTTTATTCTCCGATACAAATTCATCAAAAGTCTTTGGTTTGTGGCCTCCAATCTTCTCTACCACATCATTCTCCCTCACTTCTCCACCATTGGCAGTCATAACTTCTAACCCGGTCAAATAATTTGCAAGGTCTTCAGGCATTCCCGCACTGATATACCGCTGTGTCATCTCCTCAGGCGTGACCTTGACATGGACAATTGTTCGTCCGAGACCTTGGCTCAACTTTGCAGCAATCTAATATTGATAAGCCAGCTGAATTAGACTGAAGAAGAGTGAAAATACCTCATCATAATTAAGTAATTCAGGTCCAAGGACTCTGTACTCATGATCCAGTGGCGTCTTGCTGGTAAGTGCGCTCATTGCTACTCTGGCAATGTCACTGGCTGACACAAACGGGGCTTTACCATCTCCCATGGCAGAAAAGAATTTATTTTCTTCCTTGATAGTTTGGATGTATGGCCATATGATGAAGTTGTCTTTCAGGTTGATTTAATAAAACTTGTCTAAGGGCTCTGTGGAATGGAGAAGTGCATACCCATGAACCAACTAGCCTTCAAAACCGAGTACTCTACACCCAGATTATCCAAGTGCTGCCAAACCTTCCCAGTGAATTCACCTCCTTTTTCCAGATCACCACCACTTAACAAAACGAATCTATTCACGCCATTTTTGACTGCCGCATCGAGGAAGGCATTCATTACTGGCACTGGATCTGGAATTTCCGGAGCAACGAGATAAATTCCAGTGATGACTTCGTCATGTGGAAATTTATAAGAAAAAACAGACTGATAAGTTGATGGATCTGTGTAGTCAAACTTAACAGCCTGCATTCCCGGAGGAGCAGTCAATTGAGCTTTTCGAGAAGCGAGAAGGAAAGGAATGGAGGCGGATTGAAGATGATGGGCCAATTGAAGAGAAGTCTTCCCTGTACCGCCAGTGATGAGGATTGCCATTGTTGAATATGTGAATGAGATGTGGTAAATTGAGGAAAATAGAGGAAAATAGAGACGAAATGCACAGGTTTAAGTAGAATGAAAGGTATCTATCTCGACGTCAAGTAAATTATGGCGTGTGGAAATGGCTCCTTTAAAAGGTAATAAAGGTAGCCGGATTTAGATTCCGGCAAATCAATAATATCAAGTCATGATCAAACCGTTTAAGAGATTTCAAAGAAGCTTTTCGGCTGCTGGAATGAAGGAGGAACATAGTTGCCAGTATTCGAGTATGTACTCCGTATGCACATGTACGGGGTAAAAAGAATTCCGTACGGAGTAAAGTAAGTGTATGTCGGATTTCACCTATATCCGAAGCCCTGCCTACTCTACGGTGTGCGATACAGATCATAAACGCAATATCACTAATCTCTACTCGTAGATTTTATTTCAACTCTCTCTTTCAATCTCATCATCATCTTCTCTTCCTTACAAGCAACTTTGCTCTTTCACAGATCTTGCTATGGCTTCATAGAAATCAAAAGGCTTGCCTGGTCTATTGTTATGGTTTGTGACTTCAAACCCATGTCCGGATGCCAATTCATGGAATTCATGGACGAGATCTAACATCGTTGGACTTCGACTTGGACTTTTTAAAACCAAATCCCAGAGTTTAATGACCCAGGTGATAAGAAATTACCCAGAGAGAGGATGATGATACCGACAACATACTCATTGGCCATGGAAATCGCTGACATGACTCCCAAGCCAAGTTTGAACATATAATTATCGCTTCCCATATCGTGGATGTTGCTCCACCACTGAGATTTTGGAGAGAACGTGAAAGGATTGCACCGTTTTTCACTTGGCTCACCAACAATCCCAAGGACTTGCTCCAATGATATCGACATTACGAGGTGCTTTCATTCCTGAATTTCCAGGATAGCACACCGGATTTTGATTCGTCTTATCGTCCTTGGCGAGTGCTTGGATAGCTTACATTACAGCCATTAATGTGCTCCACCAATTACAAGTGTGAAATTCTGTACCACAAATAATTCTTATTTGATCATTTTGTGTTACGACAAGACATCGGCGCAAAGGTCCAAGACCATGAAATTTTCGACAATCATCTTTCATCTCTTAACCACCTTCCTCATCAGGAAGAGGCTGATACTCTCGATGATCACGAGGCATGGTAGGTATCTCGAACGATAATGTTGATTTTCCAGATTCAGGTACAGATCCGAAAAGGCTTCTTGGGAATCTGGGCCATGAACTAAGGTTATCATATCTTGCACGATAGCGACCATGGTGAGTAGGTGACGAGCTCTTCAAACTTAGGACTGTCGTAGGTAAGGCTATCATCAGGACCCGAGGAGCCAGAAATGTAACCTTGGTGAATGCGACATGTGAATACAGCATCAAATACCAAGGATGAAGCTATCATGCCAAGTTTTCTGTTGGTGGTATGATACTGAAAAATGAATTTCGACGCCATCTCGTGCTACCCCTCATATATCTTCTAATTTCCCCTTATTATCATCCCATAGTTGATCGATGTGATTGCATCTATCACTCAATCCCATCTCGCCGCGGTAAACAGTGCTGCGACCCATATTGTCAGCTACTTGAGTTCTGGACTTACTTGTTGATGATACCCTTACCTTGATCGTACCGCATTTGGCTTTCCCGAGCCACATTGCGACGTTTAATTCGGATTGTACCGCGAAACTTGTCATTCAAGAAATTAAACATGAGTGTGTATTCTGTATTCCAGCAACAACATTTAAGCAGAAGCCGAAACTAACACAAAGTCCACCAGCTTCCATTGCTACTACGACTGATGCACTTACGACTGCTCCGGTAAATCAAACTGGTCTGTTGGCAAATGCGCCAGATAATCTCGATGCCAAGATTTCGAGCGAAATTCATGCTTTAGATCACGAATCCTCCCTTGACCACGATGGGCTACTAAGACCTACTGAGGAAGAGAGAACTACTCTGCGTAGAGTCTCTGGTTCAATTCCTTGGACTGCTTATATGATCTGTCTCGTCGAATTTGCAGAGCGCGCAAGCTATTATGGTTGCCAATTTGTGTTTTCGAACTTTGTCCAATTTCCACTTCCGTATGTGTTTATAGATTCTGGAGAATGCCTCTTGGAATGCGTGTTTAAGCTGACAAAATAGTAGGAAGGGCGGAAATGGAGCTGGTGCAACGCCCGCAGGTACCCAGCAAACACCAGGCGCTTTGGGCAAAGGTCTAACTGTTTCATCCGCGCTTAATCTCTTGTTTAAATTCCTAGCATATACAATTCCTGTCTTTGGGTTCGTTCAATCATTTCTCGTTTTCTTTTATCTCTTGCTAAAGAAATTTATAGAGGATGGCTCGCAGATACCAAACTAGGACGTTTCAAAACTATCTGTATCGGAGTGTTTGTTTTTGGAGTTGCGCATCTTGTTTTAGTACTTGGAGCCCTACCTAGTGTATTACAAGCTGGTCATGGCATGGCACCTTTCGTCATTGGAATTATAACCTTGGCTTTTGGAGCTGGTATGTTTTGCTAGACTTGTTTCATTTTACAATGCTAATCAATGCTACAGGTTTGTTCAAGAGTAATGTTTCTCCAATGCTTCTCGACCAAGACACACAAAAGGGACTCATCGTTAAAGCTCTACCCGATGGCGAAAAAGTCATTCTTGACCCAGAAGTTACTGCTCAGAGACTCGCTCTCGCTTTCTATGGTATGGTGAACGTCGGAGCATTCTTTGGTATCGCCACAACATATTCTGAAAAGAAGGTTGGATTTTGGTTGGCCTACGGATTACCAATGATTCTTTACCTCTTACTTCCAATATTGCTATGGGTAATGAATAAGAGATTAGTCAAGTATCCTCCACAAGGGAGTGATATTGGAAAATTCTTCAAAGTTATTGGCATCGCAATTAGAAGAAATGGCCTGAAAGGATTTGGTCGTAAAGGTTATCTCGACGCTGCAAAACCTTCTGTACTCGCCGCACAAGGTATTACTGGTGATCATAATGGCAAACAAATGGACTGGACCGACGCCTTTGTCGAGGATGTTAAGAGATCTCTGGAAGCCTGCACCATTTTCTTGTTTTTTCCAATCTATAACTTGAACGATGGTGGTATAGGAAATATCACAACATCCCAAGGATCAGCGATGGTAACTAACGATGCACCTAACGATCTCCTCAACAATTTTAATGCTCTTACGGTTATCTTTACCATACCTCTTCTTTCTTACGGCCTTTATCCTCTTTTACGTCGTCACAAAATTCATTTTGGTCCTATCAAGAGAATAACATTGGGTTTTCTTATTGCCGCGGTGTCATCTGCTATCGGTGCAATCACTCAATGGAGAATTTATGAAACATCTCCATGTGGATATTATGCAACTGGCTGCGAGATAGGAACGGGCGTTGCTCCAATTAGTATCTGGTGGCAACTTCCTCAGTGGTCACTAGGAGGTATATCGGAATGTTTCGCCAACGTCACTGCTCTTGAACTCGCATATTCTAGAGCTCCTGCAAATATGAAAGGTATGATAACCTCTATGTATTTGTTTTCCGTAGCTCTTTCTGCTGCGATTGCACAAGCTTGTACTCCAAGTTTAGCGGACCCATATTTGATTTGGCCTTATGTTGCACCAGCGGTGGCGGGAACTTTATTGGCAATTTGGTTTTACTTCTTGTACAGAGATCTTGATAAAGAAGAGTATGTTCGGGGAGGTGCTGCCGAGACTATAGGTGAGGAACAAAGAGTGGAACATAGGGAGTCAATTAGTGGTGATGGTAACCAAAAAGTCAGACCAGATGAAAAGGTTTAGATGTGGTTTATTTTCCTGTCGGAAAGTTGATGCGATGATTGGTGGTGGTCTTTTGATGCTGTTAAAGAGCATGCTTATGGTAACGGTGATCGGAGAAATCTTTATTTTATTCAAGTACTTTTGGGATAATGAATCAGTCGAGAGAGTATGGGAGATGATGAGAACTATTACAGAAATTAGGTATGGGGGTCAGAGGTGATTGTACAGTCTACTAGTTTGGACTATTGAGCAATGCGCAAAGCACACTATTCAGAAAAAGTGTGACGATTAGGAATAAGAAATGATACAATTTTGAAAAATTTCCACGCCCTACCAAAGACCACCGAATTTTTTCATCGGATAATGAATTTATTTTGGCAGTTGAATTACTTCGATGTTCATAATTATTTATTTATCGAAAGAGCATGTACGGCGTCGCATCGATTGATAGTGAAGTAGTCAGTCACGGCCTTGGTAAAGAAAGGGGACTTGATGCTCTCGCCTTTAGCCCTTAGATCGAAAGAATGGTGAACCGCAAGTTTATTAGCGGAGTGAAGCTGTTATGATCTAGGTTTGGAGTTTCTATGCTTTTTATTGCAGGAATCGTGGTGTAGTTTGGTTGAATTATTTGAGTTATCTTTTCTGTTTAGTTAATGCAAGTGTGTGATATAGATGATCAATCTATTGTTCTTGGTCAATTGCTGGAAATAGTCTGTAATTAGTCTGTAGAATCTGCAAGATTGGACTATGAGTGTTATTATGAACAGCTCGTAATGCACATCTTCATATATTTCAATGAATACTTATAGTGAAAATATAGAAATTGGCACAAATTGTTTAAGGGAGCTGTGATTATGAGAAATACAATGAGAATATGAGATTATATATAGAACTTGATAGTGACCGAGTTAGTATACCACGGACTTTTCGAAAAGAATGTAGATAGAACCTTCAGATGCACAAAATCGTAGTAAGTGATAGTCCATAAACTTTCCCCCATCCCCATCCACTTGCATACCCGAACTTGAAAAAGTTAAAACCCATTTACCGATACCCTAACCTCTCAATTCCTACTTGGATGAAATCATCTCTTTGATTGATATCCCATTTCAATGATTTAAGGTTAGTGCTCCGGATCCGTATCCCCCTTCACCTTAATCATGGCATGCATTATTATGGCAAATGGTTACTCCTCCACCATCTCCTCGGCAGTAAGTGCAGATACGGTTATCGCAACAAGGGATTTCATTCATTGGGGAACAGAATTCTGTGGGTAAATCACAATTTCGTTGTTAGCTATTCTTGGGTATGGTATGGGCGGGGTGTATGATGCTAGTTGGGTTTCAAAAGGATATAGATATGGATGATTGTAGGAGAGGAGGACGTACCGAATTCTTCGGCGCAGGTTGCGTGTACGGGATCTTCTTTCATGAGACCGATTTTCACTAGGATTTTTGTGTTTGGGGTTGTGGCGGCTTCGTTTTGGTCTGATTTGGGGGTGTTAGTTGGGTGGTGTGCTTGATGGGGTTTGGAATGTTCTGGTGATGAGATGGGATGAGATGGGATGAGATACCTTTCATGATTTGAGTTTGAGAGATATAGTGATTGGGTACTGCGATTGCAGATGCGAAGTAGAGTACTGTTACTAGGAGAAACTTCATGGTGAAGGTGTATATGTGATGAGCAAGCTCAATTCTTTCTGGTTTTCGTAGAGATGATTATGATCTGTGATTGTCGGTATTGGATCTGGATAACTTGGATGATTGAGAAGAGAATATAGAATCTACGGGTCTTTTATAGATATCAGGTAACACCAGATCTTCATGTTCCGTCGAGTAATCCCGTATCATTTGCTCCTGTTTCCCGACTTACCACCAGGGATTTCACTTCCTATCAATATAGGGAATTCGATGACACGGGATGCACAGCACGAATTGATTAATAGGTGCATGCTGATCGACATTTTGAGAGATAGATAACCGCATATCGTGAAGATTAAAGGAGTTTACCTCCTATCCATATGGGTATGTAAAAGTCTCCATGCTTGAAGATGGCTCAAGCTCTCGTTAGTGGAGATTTCTTATAATGTCAGGATGGGTTTCAGCGGTGATAATGCATGCGGGCGTTTCTTTATCGAGATGGAAAGGAGGATATGGGGATATTTATTGCGTAAAAGTAAATTGATTGTTGTAGAATGATGAGATACTGAGATCTACAATCTTGCATGACGTTTCTGAAATGCGGCTTGGAATACCTTGTTTCCATAGGTTGGTGTTGATGAAAGGGGAATACTGAGCATACTCGTTTCCAATTACGCTAAACTTTATTTCAAGTACAGTTTGAGGGGTCAAAAATATTCTGAAATGATTGGTGGGAGAGATTATAATTATGATATACAGTAGCTATAGGGAGCTGATATTTCGGAGAAATCTCTAGATAGTAATACCTATTCTTTTTTATCCAGATCATTTATTTCACTCACTTCATATCAATTGTGATACAAAAATTTAAGACTTACATTATATACAATTCTAGTAGTGCCAAACGAGGTTGAATGATATGTATATCCGAATATTGCGATTCTAGACATGCTCCTTCGATTGCAAAAGCAGCATTTAATATAGATATAGATCTTTAATACATTGAAATACCATCTATCTATAACCAAAACATAAAGTCCATTGAGAAAAACAACCGGACTTCTCCACTACTCGACAATTAATCAAGTGCATCTCAGTCCGCAATCCAAGATCTGCATCGATTGCAAAAGTAGCATTTAATATAGATGTAGATCTCCAATACATTGAACTACCATCTATCTATAACCAAACCATAAAGCCCATTGAGAAAAACAACCGGACTTCTCCATTATTCGACAATTAATCAAGTGCATCTCAGTCCGCAATTCAAGATCTGCAGATTGCCGAGTCGGGAAACGAGGGGAAGCGAGGTGCATCCCGGCCTCGCGAAACCGAAATGGAGATTTATCAGGATTCTTATTTGTGAATTAAATATTCCACTTTCAAATCATCTCTAGTTTTGATTTATTATTTATATAATAATAAATTCTAAAAAATTTATTTATTAAAATATTAAAACTTAAATTTTCAATCTGTATATAATTTATATACAAATTTGAAAAATACAAAAATCTTGAATAACTTTTTGATAAATATTATTATAAAAAAGAACAATTAGATTTTGAAAATCTTGTAGAATAAAGAATTGTTATTAAAAAAATAATTAACTTTATATATAAAAATCACACTACAAAAAATCAATTATATTTAAAATAAATCAAAAGAAGTTTAAAAAGAAAATTCAAAACTTTTCATTATTTTTCTAATATTATTCAAGAATCTCTTTATATAGATGAAAACTTTTCTATTTAATATGAAACCTTTGAAACCATCAGCCTCTTTTCGGCTAGCCGACATTCTGTATTCGGAGATCGTAACACTATAGGCCTTATTCAAAATGGCGATCTTCGATGTAAAAAGTCCATTTTACTAAGTCAACCAAATGAAGCGCATATCATGTAAACGTATTTATTACCTTGAGTAATTATTATACAGACGTTTGAAGTTCCAACTTGAATGGCATGTGAGAAACGTGAGAAATACGGAAGATAATAAATCAAGGTAATCTTATTGGGAAGGGAAAGCGTGACGTGAACGAGAGAAAATCGCCATAATAACATTTACAATCATCCTTTAAAAATATGTATTAATCTATGATTTTGGACAGTATTTTATAGCACATCTCTCATTTTTATCGTGATTGCTCTTCATAATACTTGAAAGTGTGACCGTTTACCATTTTATCGCTTGAGAAGAACCGATTGATTTGCCACGCGGTTTTGGAATACCGTCGCATCCCCAAGTAAAATTCTCTTGTGAGATCTATGTACACTTCCAAACCATCTTTTGAAAACGAAATTGTCTGATTGCCCGATTCTGTGCAGAAGTACTCATAGAATTTATCAGAATTTGACAAAGCAGATTCAGGCATGACTGGCATCCTCTCATGGAGCGAGTTTGACAATGAAAGAAGTATTGAGCTCTTTCCATTACCGTGTTCCGCCTTAATAAAGCCCGATACATCTTCATGAGAAACGGAAGTCACGAAATTGTGCTTTCCAGGTTGACCTATCTTCATGATGAGAATCTTCCATCCTTCCTCTTGATTAATCGTAAGATCCAATGGCGAGATATCGACATTTCCTCCAATGGAAGTTAACCAAGCGAAGACTAAACGATCAAGTAAAATCCAATGGCTACAAAGCATGCCGGATTCCCTATTCAACATAGTGGTGATACTGTACGATAAGTCTGATTATAAATTCATTTGATCTTTTGGACATGTTTCCCGCAAGTTAAAGAAAGATGATGTAGGGAGTAGGCCCATTCCTGAGGAAGCATATTGTAGTGTTTTCTTGGTGGCTTGGAGGAGAAAAGTTGATGAGTCCCTCCGGATGGGACGATGTGACCAATTCTTGCCAACAACCAAGGTAAGTTCTGTTCCAGTATCTTCAGTAAACCATGGTGTACTAGTTCCATGCCTTGAATATTCTCTTGTTGAAAAATCAGTTCAAGTATTGACTAGATGCATCGCATAGAGTCAAAGACAAACCGACGAAATGGTGAGCCAAAACCATGCTGGGGACCGATCGTAGCGCAAGAATAGTTGTCGTGGTCTTCAATCTCTTTCCGGTACTGACAAAAGAGGTTTTTCTATCTGCAAATAGTATTGAAAGTTATGTAGAAGCTTTGCCTTGACTACACGGTTTTCTCCAGATATTTTAGATAAATTGGCCTTTACGGCTTGAAGATTGAACTTCATTCTCTGACAATTAGATAAGACATCTTGCTATGAGACTTCTGGTGCGCTGGCAGTCCCGTTATTGTCGCCCAATATTTCAATATCCGAACTCAAATCCGTATCTGCCTGGTATATATTTGGGCTCTTCGCTCGTCATCTTGAGACTTTAATACGATTCCGAAATTGGGAAGGAAGTCCATATCTCACAAGGGAGAGAGAAACCTCAGGTTTAGTGCTGGGAATTGTGCAGCTCTGAGATTCATCTCTCTCCCCTCGAAGAATCTTGATTGAGCATGTGCTTTTTGAATGTCATAAGTAGCTCGTCAACGCCAGCTTCTTGACTACTCAAGATATCACACCACAAATAGTTCCGAACACAAGGACAACATCCACTACTGTGACTCTCAAATTTGACTGCCGGCTTTTATTTAGGAGAACATACTTTTAGCATTATAGGAGGATCACCATCTTCCCAGTAAGTCCATCGTCATCATCATGTCTTCCCGTGTGGAATAATTATAACTTGTCATGATAGCATCACAACAAAGTCGCAAACTTGAGAACCGGTGCAAAGGAAAAGCACGAGTTCTATCAACAAAGTAGAACATTTCTATTAGTAAGTGAGCCAAACAGCGTAAAACCTGGAAACACCGATTGAGATGGAGAAGAAGATCTCAAGGTCTTTTGACAACATCGAGGATGTAAGATTACAGAGCACATACGGCCCAAAATATAGTAAAAGCAAGAAAGATGTCAAGGCCGAAGCATGGGAGACTGGGAGAAGCCTATACAGTCTAGATATAGATCAGACATCCTTCAAATTTTTTTATATATATTTTAAACAGTTCAGAGATGACTTTCCATGTAGTCTCTGGCAACAACCCCGCATACCCGTAGTGTCTCGGATAAACACCGGTTCACACCCCACCTTCTCATCAGTCACCGTTTTTATTCAGACCTCATTCAATCCATCGAGAGGAGCAAATCAAGCTCTAAATACGAAGGCTGAAAACATCCGTCCGTCGACAGCTTCCAAGCTTTCAGCTCAAGATCAACTTTGAAGCTTTGAAACGGCAAAAATGGCAGCAGTGACGAATATCAATATATCGAGTGTACCTACCAAAATAGAGGTATTGTTTTCTAATATTCTACCTTACCATTCACTAACGAAATCTCAGGTTGTCGATCGATTAAAAGCAAGCAGTGGAAAAGGCACGTTAGTCTTGGTTATTCATCCCCGCCATCAGAATGATACTGACACAATTCTATCAGTACCATGTATGGTCTTTCAGATCAAGTCACTCTTCTTCAGCATGACCCTATATTTGCTTCCTTGATTGGCGAAGCCCCATCACATTCTCTTCTATTTTCCACCGCCGGCTCAACCAACAATCCTTTCTTTCACGAGGCTTGTGTCTTGTTGCCTGATCACGACGAACTTTACATTACATCCAATCTCCTCCAAGCTTCTAGCTCCGCAAACTTCCCCACTATTTTGATCTCCAGAATCAAGCTCCATCGCAATGAGGATGGAAGCATCAAATCTGCAGACTGGGTAAAAATGCGTCCTCCACCAGGTATCGATATGCCGAATGGTGGTGTCAATTACCAAGATGGGATTCTCTTCTGTGCTCAAGGAAATACAAATGTAAGCTCGGGTGGTATTTATTATATGCCACGATCTTCACCTCCAAAACCTATGGTTACCAATTTTCATGGGAGACCATTCAATTCGGTGAATGATGTTGTGGTAGCTAAAGATGGCAGCATTTGGTTTACAGATCCATGTTATGGGTGGGAGCAAGATTTTCGACCAAGACCTAAGTTACCTTGTCAAGTCTATAGATTTGATCCTGTTACGGGAGATATTAGAGTTCTCGCAGATGGATTTGGTAGACCGAATGGAATTGCTTTTTCGGTGGATGAGTCAGTGATTTATATTACGGATACAGATCAAATTCATGGAGATGGGACTGAAGATTTAACGCGGTATATATCTTTTTAAACCTTCTGATTATGGGCCTTTTACTGATCAAACATAGCCCTGCTACTATATATGCGTACGATGTTTATATATCTTCAGGTACACCTTTTCTCATCAACCGAAGAGTATTCGCATATGCAGCAGATGGCTTCCCAGATGGTATCAAATGTGATATTCATGGTAATGTTTACTCTGGCTGTGGGGATGGCGTCGAAGTCTGGAATTCAACCGGGACTTTGATTGGAACAATTTTAGTTCCTGGCGGTGTAGCCAATTTTTGTTTTGGAAAGGATGGAGAAATATTCTTATGCGCTGAGCAGAAATTTTGGAGATTACAATTGGCAAGGACAACAAAAGGTGCATTGCTTGGTATCTAGCTTAGTCGGATTACGATTTGATATGCATGGTTTTGCATGTTCTGGATGATTTTGTGCATTCATAGATCTTGTCGAGTCACAGACGTTAATCTTATCTCATAAATCTAATCATTCTAGAAATTATCTAAATTCCCTCACAATATACTGGAGGAGTTGACCCTCATCTTCCTTTCCATAGCCGTATGCATCCGTACAAATTTTTTGTTGAAAATATATCCAGATCCTATTCTTGACCTCCTCAAAATAGCAACATTTAAAAAAGCACCACACTATCCAAAACAAAATCACCAAAACATCTTACTTCCATCACACTCCTCAGATTCAAAATGTCTTCATTTCCCCCTATGCTGGTCAAACGACGATATCAAAAGCCAGATTAATCAACAATCAACACGCGAAGCTTTCACATTCCTACCCATACCCACCGCAGAACCAATGATGTAGAAGATAGGCAGTCTAATTTCCAGTATAGCATTCAAACCCCATCTAGTCTCTCTATACGTATCTAGAGACCTTGATAGCCAATAATTCCAGTACCCGAAGCTTCGAGCGTCATCCAAGCTGTGAGTTGAGCGAGGTTCTCACAGGGAGACATTGAGGGGTAAGTAAAGTAGCCCATAAAATTAATTAATATCCTGTTCCTGCAGGACCCATTCAATATCGCAGAAATGAACCAAAAAAATCAATATTTCAGCTCCCGAGGCTTCGAACATTATATTATCTATAGAATTATTTCCGCTACTTCTCTCCGGGAAGACACAGAAGAACTACGAGTAGCCATCCTGAAATCCAACCTTCAACTTCCAACTCCTGAATCTTCGAACACGGGGTGAAAATGACTTCGGAAAATCTATATCCGAATATCTACCTAAAGGGTTCGAGAGAATCAAATCATCATTCAAGAATCGAGCATAGGTCAATGTAATCCAAGCCCCTATATATATATATATATTATAAAAGACATATCGATCTCGGAATTAATAAATTAGTGATTAGTAATTAAATCCAGAAACACAGAACCCCAAGGCTACAAGTCAACCTCTTATTCCCTCGATGTGCTAAGTTTTCGAAACTGACTGACCGTGACTATACGGTCAATGATAATTATTGAAAATCAGTACCTTAGTACCCTAGGATCTCCAAAATCCCAGATTCTGGTTTTTTTCCTATAGAAATTGTTTCTAAGTTATTTTGAAATAAGAGTATATTTATCTAAATATACTTATTCAAGTACTTTCTTAATGATATCTAAGAGTCTCAGTTTTTTTTCTCAATAATAAACTTTTTAATATTCAATTTCTCTTTTTGAGAGAATTTCTTTTTAAAATTTAAAATTTATCTTATTATTTATTTAATATATAAAATAATAAGTATAATTATAATAGAAGAGAATAGAAAAAATAAAAGAACGAAAGAATTAATTAATTAATATCTAGTTTGATAAAACTGATATATCATCACTATAATCACGAAGACGTTTCCTGTTGCTATAGTTATAAACTAAGGAGGCGAGAGTGTAGGAAGCGAGATCGAGATCGAGATCGAGGTCGAGGGTCAGGGGTTTGAAGAGGGTCCTTGAATTTGAAGTTTAAAATTTAGGATTTGGGGCTCGGAATTTAGAATTGGGAGTATAGTAAGGATGTAAGATTAGATGATGATTGAGAATTAAGTACCGTAGTGGAAAAGTTCTAATGGCCTGGCTACCTAGGTACTTGATGGTGATTATTTGTGGCTATCAAAATATATTATGAAAACAAAGAAAACATTGGAATGGAAAGATAAGAAAGATATTGGCACAACGCTAGCTAGGCTACTTTGCGTATATACATACAACATACATTCATCAGACTCAAGTACCTAGGGACATCAGAAGCGGGAAATTAAACATCAAGAACCAAATGCGATATATTATCAAGCTGAGGGGTAGATTATCTAATATTAGGTAATTAAATACAAATTCCAAATAGAATAACGGCAAGGGTATACCGCACCAACGAGCTCCCATTCAAAAAAAGGAAAAAAAGAGCACATCCAAAACCTATATCCTCATACGCTTCACCGGCAAGTGTATATCTTTCATTTCGATTTCCCCGTCACCTTTCAACACAGTATCATCCGAATCATCTGAATCATCAGACATATCCCCAATTGAGCGTTTCTGATCAACCGCACCAGCTTCAGAACTAAAGATGACCGTGAATCCGCGACATGCAGTATCTGCTTCGATGATTTTATGAAAATAGGGTTTCATATCCAAATCAATTCCGAAGTCTTTAAACCGTGAAAACAGAGTCCCCATATATATCAACACATGAGTGGATAAATTAATTAGGGATTCTTTATAATTATTTTCGAGAGTCATTCCCTTCCATTGAGCATATATATTTTCCATGACGGTATATCGAGCAATGATGCTAGCGATCTCTGCAAGCTCGGCGATGATTTCAATTTGGGAATCGATTGATATCTTTGTTCTAGGCAGGAATAGGTCCTTGAGAATGTTATTAGCTGAAAAATTTTCCTTTCAAAATACGATTTAACATACCTCGACGACAAGAAGAAGGGATGCCCATGCAATGGCACCAATTTTGATACCGATTGTCTCTTCCATCACACCTAGAATCTCGAGTACTCGTTGAATGGAAGTGGCGGCACGAGGAAATATCCGACAGTATGAAGCAATTCTTTCTTTGTGAGGAATTGCAGACCAATCTGGATTGATAAGAAGAGGGTTCGAGCCTGTAGCTGAAGTAATGAATAAATCTCTGCTAGCTAAAAGTCTTTTCAAGTTACCGTATATGAGTTGATCAAACGACTTAACGTTTGTAAGAGCCCTGGACCAAAGTCCGCCCAGACATTGATCTGAAGCTTCATTTTGGCAATGAGAGAATGCCGTTTGACCCTCTGAAAATTGACATATTGGTTGAGTCGATAGATTATTATTCCCTTCTTCTGGAGCTGGTCCCGAAACCACCGCAGGCTGACCCGCGGCTGAAGCCACGAATTTTTCAGATTTTCTCATGAGATTAGGAGGCTGATAATGAGGCTGGTTGACGCTTGTATGGCTTTGTTGTGATTCTTGGTGTTGTATTTGGACTTGTTGACTTTGTTTAATTTCATGAAGTTGATGGGATGGTTGCTGGTTCATTTGTTGTCGTTCCCACTGAAACTGTTGATATGGCTGAGAATGTAGCTGTGATACTTCACGCTGCTGAAACATTTGAAAAGGTGGCGGCATTGCAGTCGAGTCCCCACAAGGAGATATAAGAGGAAAAGCCTCTGTAGCAACACTAAATTTTTTGATACCATCGAATGGATTATCACCTGAGGTTGTTGTTGCAGGTCGCTGGTCAGGTTTCATGGTTTTCGGTGGCTGGCATTGCCATTGCGGATGGGCAGTTAAAGATGGTAGCACCAGATTGTGATTATGCCGCTCCAGCTGTGACATCATCCATCTTTTTTTGTTCTGTTCTTCCAGAAGCAGAAGTTTCCTTTGATGATCAATTTGATCTTGTTGCTCCTGCCGTGCCATCGTCAACCTCTTTTTGTTCTGTTCTTCAAGAAGCATGAGCTGCATCTGATAATCCTTTTGTGCGTGCTCATCTGAATGGATGCTCATCGGCAAAGCCGTGTTTGCTAAGCTGGATTGGTAATTTCCCAGTAGTTTCTGACGGCCAGCCTCCTGCTCCTGTCGTGCTAATGCCAATCTCTTTTTATTCTGCTCATCAAGAAGCGCGAGCTGTGTCTGGTAATCTGTCATAGGAGGTTGTTGAAAGGGACCTGGTGATATTAGCTAGGAGAAAATGCATGTTCATGTTCATATTAACCTACTTGTCATGGCATTTCGGTTACCATTTTGGGTATTGATATCCTGCATGCACATACGTGGCAACTCATCGTCAGTTAAAGACTTGCTCTTAAATTGGAAGAAATTAACACGTTTGCTCCCTCTAAGATCTTTCTTCCTTTCGAGTGCAGATGTTAGCGCGGCATCAGTCTGGAGAGCTCCACTCTCCGGACTATGGCCATCTATAGGACTGTATCCAACGCTGGTAGGAGAGTACCCATCAAAAGAATCATCTTCGTCTTCTTTACCTTGAAAGTCCATAGGCGTGCTATTAGGCCGCGAAGATGGACCATCTTCATCGTTTCCTAGCTCATGAATATTATTCGCAGTTCCAAGTTGTCCATACTTTCTAGCGTGAGGAGTGGTTGACAGAATTTTGCTGGGAACTGGCAAACGCATCGCCCATTCTTCAGCATCTTTCTTTTCCATCTTGAAGTGCTTCACAGCCGAGAGAGCCATTTCATTTCGCCATACTTTTACAGATTCCCCGTCCTCGTTCTGGGATGACATGGCGCTATGGAACGAATCCACAGACTCGAGAGCTCTTGAATTTAGGAGTGGCGGCATCCTATTTGGTGTCGCGGCCATTGAAATGAATGCAGATGTTGCAAAGCTGGTTGTACTAGGTGTTCTAGATGCCGCAGAACCAATATATGTCCCTGAAGTAGCCGATGAACTTAAAGCTGTGCTTGAGCTCCCCGAAAGTAAAGATACGCTTGATTGGACCATAGTTGTTGATGCAGGGCAACTTTGAGAAGCATCCTTCATCGTCAGTCCAGCGAGTTTTAATTTCGTATCTTCAACTTGCTTGCGCGTCTCTACCGATAGATCACGACTTTTCTGTCCTCCAATCAAGCTGGAGTTTTGTATACCCAAAGCATCCATCATATGATCAGCCCTTAACGCACTCAGCACGCTCAATGTACCCATCAAACTTAGCTTCAAGTCGCGAAGTCTTGCCAATAATTTCATAATCTCCTTCTCTTTATACAACCATTTCACTTTAGCCCACATATTACCACTTTTTAATCTTCGAATGATCCGATCAATCTTTGTACATATCGTGGCACAATCCCCAATAATTTTCGCCGTGAGCCTATACACTTGATCGGCATAACGTCCATCTTTACCATGAAGGAGTGTGGATAATAAATGGAGTTCATCTGAAAAGGTCTCGAGGTCTCTTGCTAAATCATTGATATCGGAAGGCGCATTTGATAGAGCTTCGCCCACTTCGTAAAGGGTTTTTGATATCGTATAGACGGTTCCAGCTAGTTGAGCAATACTTGCTATCCCACCAATCACTTCAAGAGCCATGATGTTGAGTCAATCAAAGCTACATACATCAGCCGTGGAAACTTCTAATCACATCACATGGAACCAACAAGTCGATAGTATGACCTCTTTTCTGAAGCTCGCTTGTGATCTTATTGACTAATGAGTTATAATGAGGGGTTTGAAATCTGACAACCAAATGCTCAATATATAACGAGGCTGAGCTACTGCAGGTCACCTCACTCCCTAGGTTAGATCTATTTTTGCCCCGGGTACTACCTAGTCTTGGATGATGTTTCATCTGCCTTTGAAGAATAGTCAATAAAACGACCAATTTCTAGATCACAAGTTGGCCGTTGATAATAGACACGATTTATCACTTGAATTATCACTTGAGAAGTTTATATGAATATAGATTTAGACTAATTAGTAAACATCCTCCTCCCACGCAGATCTCAAACTCCAGAGCGACTTAGTAACTACAAACTACACTACTACTTCCCGATGTCATACACGGAACGTTTAAAGGCCGACGCCAAGACTTTGGTCCTCTTTTGCCAAGGCTCTATTCCAGAAGCCTCTAGACATTATTCATAATCAGCCTCGTCCTTCGCCCTTCGTCATTTAATCAATTTCCATTTTTAATACCTGCGACTACACATCTCACATCTTTACTCAGCAGCTAATACGTACGACACATTGAAGCCTCCTCGAGATCCCCGTAAATATTCACATCCTTCATCATGACTTCCTCATCAAATTCAGAAGCTCCCGAAGACGCATCTTTCAGCACCATGGACGAAAAAGACCCAACATTAATAGGAGTTCACTGCCAATACGAATATTGCAATCAACTTGATTTCCTCCCATTTCGTTGTGAATCATGCCGGGGTACATTTTGTCTCGATCATCGAACAGAATCCGGTCACCATTGCTCACGGCCTGGAGAATGGGCAGCCAAGCGCAGGCTTGCCAATCAATCTAAGCATTCACTGGGGGAAGGGAAGATGATGGCAGATGTCGAAAAACCATGCGCATCACCGACATGTAAAACGACCATTGGAACGAGTTTATCAACAGGTGTACATTGTTCTACATGTAATCGCGATTACTGTCTGAAACATCGATTGAGGGAAGATCACGATTGTAAAAACCTCATACCAATTGGTGCAAGAGTCGGCAGATTCAATGAACAACAAGCAACAGCAAAATTAGCCTTTGGAAAATTGAAAGCTTGGGGAGCGGCACAGAAAGCAAAGGTTGCGTCAACTCGAGTCCTACCTGAACCCAAACCTTCATCTGCAGCTGCAAGATTGGTAGCAGTCAACCAACTTAAAAAGACGGCAAAAGGGGATGCGAAGATACCTCCGGAAAAGAGAGTATATATATACGTGGATGCAGAAGCCGCGACGACGACTTCGAAATTTCCTAGTGGTGCCTTCTTTTACTCGAAAGATTGGGTGATGGGTCGAGTTTTGGATGCAGCGGCAAAAGGACTTCAAGTGGAAAATGTCAATAATCAAGGAATCGATGAGAGATCAAAGCTTAGAATTTTTCATGTTGAAGCTGGAAGGTTATTGGAGTTTAATGAAAAGGTCGGAGATGCTTTGGTTAGTGGTAATCGTATAGTATTGTTAAGAGGAGTCGGGCCAGCTATACCTGATCTTATTGTGGCATGATTTTCTTCATACATATTGATACTATTCGGAGTATTTGGACTATTTGGACTATTTGGGAGGGCATGGTTGCAAATGAGCGATTTGAATGATACCAATACTATAGGAATTGCATGGGTTGCATAGGATAGGAGTTTGGGTGACCTAGGCATTCAATAGATCAAACTCGAGTAATAGATTGCGAGGAAATCAGTCCACAACTTTATCTCACCATTTAATCTCATTGATCAATTTGAAATTCGACTCCTACCATACATAGCCATGTTTGATGCATTGCATCATGTTATGAGTCAAGATTCGTAACCAAACACCCAATGCAACCTCAAATCGGCAATATAGCTTACTCGCTGACTCGGTCTTCTTTCCCCCTACTTCCTTAGTGGACCATATCCTCCTGCCCCACCCCACCTCACATCGCCATCCATCCCCATCCCCATTCTCATCCTCATCCCCACACACACCACCCACTCCCCTAGCTATTAAAGGTTTCCATATTCTAATCACTGCTTTCTTACGTCCGCTGTCCGAGTACCGAGTACGGAGTACGGAGTACGGAATACGGAGGAGAGAGTTTCTGGTGTACTTACATTACTCAGTTCAAGTACTTCACTTTATTTTATATGGTTATTATAAATAAATTATATTGTTTGTAAAGATTTTTAAAAAAGAAGATTCTTTAAGTTTTTAATAAAAACTCGTTTTAAAATAATTTTAATTCTTTAAAAGTTGTATAATATATTAAAATTAAAATTTCTTATTACTTTAATAATAATAACTTAAAAAAAAAATATTTTTAAATATTTTTTATATATAATACTAGATTTTTTATATTAATTAAAATACTTTTTTATATCAAAATTTATTTAATTTTATAAGTAATTATATTTAAAATATATATATATATAAAATTAAAAATTTTAAGTTTATTTTTCTAATTTTCTAAATTATATAATCAAGATAGAAAATGATTATAACGAGTTTAATTTAAAATTATTATTATTCAATAAATAAAAATTTCACATTTCAAAATTTATTCAATATAATCTTTTTATAAATTTTTTAAATATAAAATAAAATTTCAATTAATATAAATAAATAAATACTATATTCTTTTAAATATATTTAAATATATTTAAAAACATATAGAATTTTACATTTTAAAATTTCACAAAAAGATATATTTACATATTGTTTATTAATTGAATTTATAAAGTGATTTTTTTTCATAGATAGATCAAAATATATATTAGGTATCAAGATATAGAGATGTCGGTTAATCTTAATATATAATGATTCCGGCCGGACCAAACACTCACGGCGGAATTCCGCGAGTAAGAATAATTTGTCTACTGGATTCCGTCTAGACCTATACATACTCCGTCTATATACATAATCCCACATACATACATACATACATACATACACATAATAAGATAAAGTAACCCTAAAGCAACCAATACAATACAACCCTAAAGTAACCTTACCACCTTACATACCACTAAAGCAACCCTAAAGCAACCCTAAAGCAACCCTAAAGCAACCCTAAAGCAACCCTAAAGCAACCCTAAAGCAACCCTAAAGCAACACTAACACTAACTAACGCATTCCCCTCCCTCTCATCCCTTCCCCCATCTATCACTCATCCATCACTCATATCTCCTTTCTCCTTTTCCCCTTCCTTTCCCTCGGTTAAGGTATCAGGTAACGGAAAGGGAAATTAGTAATTAGTGTCGAGGGAATAAATTTTATTTTTTTTTTTTTCAAGTAAAAATGTATATTCATTCACCAATTCGTTGGGAGGGGAAAAGATAGATGAATAATAATCAATAATCAATACACACACTCAATTTTTGAAATCTTAAGAATTGTTGCTGATGGATATGAAGAATTGAGATTTATTTATTTAATTATAAATATAGATATATAGATGAATAAAATATATAATTCTAATGTCGTTAGGTTTTGAAATGAAATAAATATAAAGTAATATGTAAATGTTCCGCCGTTCCTCCGTTCCTCCAATTTTAGTCCCGCCCTCCAAATCCCTTCACCATCCCCATCTCCATTCCCAACACCATTCCGCAACACCATCCTCACCCCCATCCTGTTCTCATCCTCATCCCCATAACCATCACATCACCATTCACATATACACCTCATACTAACCCTCCCCTCTTAAATGCAACAACAAGGCCATATCCAAAGCTACTCCCCAAGTCCCAAACCTCATCAACATATCCGCCGCACTCCTAAGCAAAACTTTCGAAACCGCGTTTATTTTCTGATGATCCATTTTCAAATTTCCTCCAATATTAATATCCAAGTCCAATCTCAATCCCTCACCATCTTCATTCGAATCCTGGAATTCACACTCCAAAATATTCAAAAATGTAGAGTCTCCTTCCTTCGCCCTTAATCTCTTCATCAAATTCTCCTTCATTTTCCTATCTGACACCTTTGCGAAAGCCCATAGGATAACATGTGTCATCATTAACAAGGTAGTTCCATAAATACCTGTATCTATCATTCCACTCTTCATTGCTCTCGCTTTCTCAATTGTCACTTCTCGGCTTGTCTCAACCTCAAGGCCTCTATTAATTTCCATAATAGCTTCCGCAGCTCTAAGAGCTACATCAATCGCTAATTCGGGATCATCTCGTGCCCATGATTTAAGATTTTCAAAAGCGGGTGCTATACCTGTCTGTCCCAATTTTCCAATCGAATTTAATAAATCTGTAAAGGGGATATGAAGAAATAGCATAGAGAGGTGATGTTGAACGATAGATATACGATCGAAAATATGAGATTTCGAATGGAGTGTACTCAAATTCCGTGGTAAATAAGTTTTAGAAAAGAGGTTAAGCGAGTCTAGGTTATTATTAGTTTCGTTGTGGATCTTTGGAATTAATACACCAACGTACAGGCTAATTTCTGTCTTCTCGCGGCAAAGCCGGATTTGATGGCCTGAGATGGACATAGGTTGGGTGTAAAATGTAATTTTTCTTGGGCTTCGCGAATATCTTGACGATTTAAAAACTTGGTAGCCAACAAATATTCTTGAGAGAAGTCAAAAATTTGATGTTGGATTTCAAGAAGGACAAGAAATGCGGTATAGGGGTTGAGGTTCGGTAACGACAGGTGTTGGGATTGTGAGTGCTGTTGTTCCTGCGACGAGAAATGGCCCAAGGAGAATGCGGGAGACGTTGTTGTGGGTGAAAAGAGAAAAGGTCCTATAGCGGCTGCAAACGATGGAGGTTTTGGAATTGTCGCAGACCCAAGAGTGAATTTCCACTGTTCAGCAGTAGGGGCACACCAAAAGCTTTCATCGCAAGGGCAACCAACATCAACCATTTCACCGATTATGATTGTTGATGGTTTATTCCAGAGCGCAGGAAATTGACGATCGATTGTGTAGATGAACCAGTAAAGTCTATTCAGAGACTCTTCATGAATCCAGCGTGTCCATTGAACTTGAGTATCTCTCGACGTCTCATCCACGGATGAACTTTGCATTGATACATTCCACTTCTCACTCTCGTATAGCTGACGCATATGAGAGATAGCATTTCCTATATATGCTTCAGCTACGTTGAATGCACGCTTGTTTCCACACCATAATCCCGTGTGGATAAGTAAGGCTTGCGTAAGAATTGTCATTGGATTTCGAAGCAAACTATTGTCACTTCGAGTAATCTCGAGCAAGTTCCAACCAATAATGTCGATTAGAACAATTGCTAAACGTCTCCCATTTTTGACGTGACTATAAGTTGCTCCGATAATCATCATAGCAGATAATAATGATGAAGGTAATCGATTGGTATCCACGGTAGGATGATGAAGCACGGGTGCTTGGTGGGAGAAATGCTCAAAGTAAAGGCCAATAAGGATATTGACCACGTGTAGCGATGGCATTGTGAAGAGGGTTTTTCCGTTATGAGCTTCGTGAATGGGAGACGTTAAAAGATCTCTCATTTTTTGATAAGTCGATTCAGAAATATCATACCTTGGATTGTGATTTTGAAATAAATAATGGCCAGATGGTATATCAATTGGACCAGCTTCCAGCGTTGGAAGTGTCGCCGATATAGGGTTCCATAAAAGAGGCCAGTTATGCTCTTCCCATGGTAAACTTGGAGGTGAGGAAACCCTTGTGATACATGCAGGTCGTGGTAACAGGGATTCTGATGTAATATGATTAGATTGATGATACTCCGATCTAGGCTCACGAGCCATTATTGTCGAACTTAGACCTGGACTTTCCAATTTGATATTAGTAAAACTTTGTTGCATTTGATTGGCAAGTGGAAAATTTTGGTTAAAATTATTCGGAAAAATTCCCCATTCGTTCCCAGTCTCAAGCATAGCGGCGTAAAAGTCATCAGAGAACCCGGTATTTCCAACCTGGTTGTTCTCCGGCTGCAAATAAGAAGCTTGATTGAAGGGTACTTGATATGAATATTCCATTATACCAAGAGAGTGTGCAGGAATTTGGTTGTCTAATGCTGCATCTTGGAATGATTCTCGATATTGCTGCGGGAACGAATTGGTTTCATGGTGTAAGAAATTAAATGATGGCACAGGATGCGTTGCACTGATATTGATGTTTAATTGTTGACTTTCGACAAATGATCTAGGCGCTGATTCAGGAGATATCCAATTCGTTTGATTGTTCCCCAAGCTCTGCTGTTCTCGGTTCTCCAGAAAAGGCATGTTCACCGGTTCTTGAAAAGAAGTGGCATAGCTTGCCGTTGTCGATGGAAATGCAGCTTCATTCGATAATGGAGAAAGATGGCCTGAGTCTGGTGTAGTCGTACGTGCCCAGTTGAAGTTCTCGAGATTTTTAGGACTTTCTGATGGATCTTCAGAGGTTTTCCGCCGTTTTACGGAACCTCTTCGTCCTTCCGACTTGGGTAGCTTATCCCAACGTTCATGGCCAGCTTCGTGTCTTTTTAGTAAGTCACTTCTGGTAAAAGTTTTCTCGCAAATTTGACAAATATGAGTCCGAGGAACGTCATCTAGAACACTTTATTAGCGGTCGATCAAACTTTGGACCCCAAGCCAATGGATGTGTGGTTATTCTAATCTATGGCTACTTACGAGTTTTCATGTGACGGCTCAAATTCTCGCGTCTGTTGAATGATTTGGGACATAAACTACAACCAAATGATGAAGCCGGTATGGTCATGCCGGACTTTCGTGGAACTGAAGCGTCACTGTCCATATCTGCTGCCCGGACTGGAGCTGAATCTGAGTGAAAGTTTGAGTGGACGGCGCGTGTAAAAGAGTGGACTTTATCGGGCATGATGCTCAAGTAGATGGAAGAATACTCAACCCACGACAGCGACCCAATGTATATTTGAATAAAGATTCGTATATATCAATGATCTCCATATGACAAGCGGCCTAGACCATTACCCGGAGAGCGTGGCCGCATTGACCACCAAATAAAAGCCGTAAAAGCCTGTGAACGTTGAAGGCTTGAAGCGCACGTCTGCACGTCCGATAAACGATTTTCCACCTTATGAGACAAATGATGCGTGAGAAGTTGAGAAGCCCACGGTGACCTTCCAATTATAGCTTCGCTCGCTATCGTACATGAAAGTAAGTTACCCATGCGAGTGATCTAAACATTCAGAAACTCTGTTTCCGTCCTGCCCCTCATGCCCAGCAATCACTGGTCGATCAGTAATGGCACTGACTTTATGACTTCCCCTATACCGTTGCCCCGGGAAGTAGGATGTAGGTGTTCCGAAATCCCCGCGATCCTTGGAAGCACCAGAATAACCAAAAATCACCAAAATAATCAACTGGAAGAATCAGTAAAATCATGAAACACAACTGCATTCAAGCCATCCAATCTGTCTTTTGTCAATCTGCAGAAATTTTTTGAGACTCCCCTTACCTAAAGGACATGTAACTTGCGAGTCCGGCGGCAAGTAAACCTTCCCGCAAGCAAAAGCCCGGTAAAGATACCACATGGTAATTGCCTCCAACCTTATTAGATTGCCGTGTCAAAATGTACCCACTTTTCCGGGCTTGCAAGCCTAATTGCACTTGGTACTGATTATTCTGTCTCTTATGTTCTGTCTCTTAGGATAACCTTCACGCCTTAGTGTAAAATCCCCTTACACGCCCTTGGTTCCGCCAGTCCGTCATATGCGTGACAGCAAACATGCATTTAAAATATGCTGTGCAGATCCACACTGCCGTTTCCTCTGTTTCCGCGTCCCCCTTGTATGTATTGTTCGTCTGATGTCTGGGCCGCAAGATCTCAGGTAGTCAAGTCTCATATTTCGCGCAATCCAAAATCCCATCGCATCGTAAATTGTACGAGAAGGTGACCTGGGTTGAACGGTGATGTGAGAGCCGGAAGGGTTTGCTGCGATCGTGTGATTGTAGGTGCTTTCGGCATTTATGTGGATCTGCCGCTGGTCTATTAAGGTTCGACGTTATTCGACCTCGCCCTGTTTATCTGTCATGGCATTATGCTTGACCTGAACCCCAAGAATTGGCGATTGCCCAACAAGCTGCTTGCTAAGATGGGGAGATTGGTGAGATGCTCCGCCGGCAGCTGCCCTTTCCCTTCCACGACGAACATCGAACAAACGTGCAAGGGGGCCCATCGCATGGTTGAAGTGAGAGGAAGCCATAATCTGCAAGTCGATTTGAATCTATTTTTTACCTGTCAAAGTTTTGAATAAATCAACAACGAACTGCTGCTCAATGTATATTTGACACGGTTGTTTTATGTTAAGAAAAGCTTCACAGCTAGAACTGGTTTTGTATAATTATAATTATAATTATAGTCATGATTATAATTTTAGACTCGAGAGACTCTGGAGACTCTAGAGACTTCCAGAGAAACCAAAAACCTTGGGCGCATTTGCTTGGCATCTTTTGACATGGCCCCTTGATAGGTTTAGGGAATAGGGTTGGTGGGCTGGTGGGTTGGCTAAATATAGAAATAGGCTACCGTAACCAGTTTTTGCTACTAGTGCTACGGTTTACGGTTTACGGTCTACGGTCTACGGTCTACGGTTTACGGTTTACGGTCTTGCACAAACCTACCTCCTTCCCTACTCCGTGCTCCGTACCTTCCCCATCTACCTTGATCCTGATCCCATGCATTTATTTATTACTTGTTATTTGCTATTTGTTATTTGTTATTCATGCTAGCCTTGTCCTCAAAATCATGTGTCGATGTCAAAGAGTCCAGGAGGATTATTAAGCCTTATGCAAGAGTTCTTCCTCTTTACTAACGAAACCTCCTATTCTTTGTAAGATCTTAATTAATCACAATGGACCTACCGGATCAATGACAATATTTTTCAACCTCACGTAAAATGTGGACAGGTTGCGTAGAACTTCACTCCCTATTCCTAGGTAGTGTGTATTTATGTATTTTTGGGCTGCCCAGGTACGTAACAATTTGTTGCGAATACAATATCACCTTCTATTTCAAGAGATGTACTTTAAAGCAATCTTAAAGCTTAGGATGGTGAATGGTGGAGGGTGGATGGTGGATGGTGGATGGTAGACAGATGAGATGGTCTTTAGGAGACGCCCGATCGCTCTCCTTGATTGAACTTCCACCAATCTAATCAATCTATGGGAGAATCTTTGAGAACGCCTCAATCTCCTGAATTTGACTTCAGGCAATCTTATGATGTGAGGGTCTTGAGGGAAAGCCTCGGTCTCCTTTTAGTTCGAATGGGTCTTCAAGTAATCTTTGCGTGAGAGACTTTGTTTCAGAGAATTTTGGAAGAGAACCTCAAGCTCCAACATTAAACTTCAAGCAGCAATCTAAGGTATAAGAAAGAGGATCGTTAGGAGAACCTCATCTCCGCGATTGGGCTTCAAGCATAAGTCTTCTCGTCATCTGTGTACGTAGTGTTCTGATCTAGCTGAGATGTTACTAGCCCGAATGCTAGATATGGCTTGGGGGGTTCGAAGATTGTACTTCCGATGTATCGGCGCATGAGCAACGTACAGACTGTACGTATACACCCGTATATCTTTGAAAGATACCAAGCCACACTGTCATGCTTTGCACATAAGTCATGTGCTTGTTGTGGCTATGGGCATATTATCAGCACAAGTTTCAACAGGCATCTCCTAAGACTGGTGCTTCTATCAATGGTAAATTCAAAGGTTAAATTGGTGAGGAGGACACTTGAGGATATTCAAGGATGTCATTTTGGAATAAATCTCATTCTCTAGTGCTCCTAAAGCCTTACGGGTATGCTCCATTGGGTAATTCTCCCACATGCCAATCCAATTCGAGCTTTGTTTGCCTCATACAATTTTCAATACACAGTATCAATGTCCGTGAGGCGTCAATTATGTCAATTATGTCAAGTATGTCAAGTATGTCAAGTATGTCAAGTATGTCCATTATATAAATTAAATTATATAAATTATCACTACCTAGTCAACACAAGGCTGACAATTTTGAGTCCATTCATTTTTCATCTTTTTCTTTTTCATCTTTTTCTTTTCATCTTTTTTTTTCATCTTTTCTTTTTCATCTTTTTCTTTCCTCTGCCTTGAGTGGAAGTTCACGTTTGAGGGGGTTCAACTCCAACCACGTTAGTGTTGGTGGGAATCACTCTTCCAAACTTTGACCATCAACAACCTCAACATTGAAGAACTTCCTGGATGATTACTCATCATATTCACTTCCAATTCCAAACCACGACAACCTTTGTAAATGGTCAAGCTTCTCAAAACTCTTTCTCTCCTCTCTTCTCTCTTCTCTGTTCTTCAACACGTCAGTCTCTTGTATCTTGACCTCACAAGACGACAGTGTGTCGCAATCATCCTGATTGTTTATCAAACCCCGCCTTCACCCTGATCTGATTTCTTTACAAACTTTATCAAGCGCCTAGAACCATTGATCGGTTCTTGTGATGATAATCTTATTCTCGTTTTGCGTCTTCATCTCATTTACTTTCTATCCTTCTCTCGTTCTCACGTTCTCTATTCCGGAATCTTATTTCACTTTTTATGGATTGATAGTCTCATGCTTCTGTCATCAATTGGGTCTTTCTTCAACCTACCGACTTTCGGAGCTTCATGATTGAGCCGGCCTTGTCCTTCCAATTTTATTCAAGTCCTTTAATTCATATTCAGCTTTTTCAAAGACCTCCTAATCATTAAAATCAATCCCACAAGCGATCGTCGCTCTTCAAGAATAAGTTAGTCTATAAATTCCACTACAGAAGTATGGTAAAGACTAACAACAAGCAAGTTCCTACGCATCAGCTATAAAAATCGAATACTCTTCCACACAAAGTCAAAATGAACTTCGCATGCTGGACCTGTGATGAGACCTTTACATCCAAGCGGGAGATGATTTGGCATTGCCAACAATATGGACATACTCGAGCCTGGGTCTGCGAACATTGCGACAAGCCATTTGGCAGCGGGCGCTCCCGAGAACAGCATATAGAAGACAAACACGAGTTCTGGTGTTTTTCATGCCAAGAAGTCTTCAGTACTGAGGATGATCTAGATCTCCATAATATCACCCAGCACTATTTCCCATGTGGATTTGGCTGCGACAGATCCTTCAATTCTACCCAAGCCCGTGATCAACATATTAACGACGTGCACAACTACCGCTGCTACGACTGCGATCAAAAATTCATGTCTAAGCAGGCCGTCGAGCAACATGAGGCTGCTTACCACGACTTTCAATGCAAACCGTGTGACAGAGAATTTAGATCACAGTCTGCACTGGAACAACACGTGAACTCTTCGGCTCATCCATATCGCTGCTCAAAGTGTAACAAATCATTCCCATTCAGTAATGATCTTCAGCAGCACATTGCAGCGAATCATACTTGGAAATGTGATCAGTGCTATCTCACTTTTGATGGCCCAAATCATCTTAATCTACACAAAAAGTCGGAACATCAAGTCATCAAGTGTCTCAACTGCCCTGCCAAGTTCGATCAGTCCGCCGAGTTGCAGTCACATAAGGCGCAGCAGCATTCGCTCCAATGCAGGTACTGCACCGCTTTGCCATTCGAAACCTTTAGCCTCCTCGAGCAACACACAGAGTCTTCTCACAGCCTCAAATGTACCGCATGTCCAAAACGATTTGCGTATGAGGCTGTTCGAAACAAGCATTTTGAAGAAGCACACATCCATATATGTAAATTATGTGGTAGTAAATTCAACAGTTTAGCTCATTTGAATCATCATTGCCTCTCTCACCATGTCGCATGTTCATCCTGCAAGGAAATATTTGAAAATATTGCTGCATGCGAACTGCACTACACAAAGGCGCATAGACTCTGTTGTCCAAAGTGCCCAAAGACGTTTAATAATGTGGATGAGGTACTGCAACATGCTCCGGAACATATGAAGCCGGTAGTACCAGCAGACGCCGAATCTTTGATACAGGCGGATTTTGAGAAAACTGCGTTGAATCGCCACAACCTCAAATATGGCCAGAACACCTGTAACCGATGTGGTGCTATGTTTTTTAAGCGACTCGACTTACAGAATCACTTGGCAAATGATCATGGTCTTCAGCTAAAATGCTTGAGGCCGGATTGTGATCACATTTCTACAACTTCTAACGCATGTACACGACATTTCCTCTCCTGCAATATGGTAAAATGCGAAAATTGCGAAGGATACTTCGACAAGGATAAAGATCCTGAACTCAAAGCACATATAGCTAAGATTCACACTCCAAACCCAATTTTCGGCTGCGTTCAATGTACTCGAACATTTGAATCGTCAGATGCCGTTGCACAGCACTATTCAGCTGAGCATGCATTCATATGTGAAGCTTGTCCTGGGACTTTCTTCATCAACTCCGCTACCCGGGAAAGACATTTTGCTACATGTGGCAATTTATCAGAGACGTCAGATTCTGGTGAAAGTTTTCAAACATCACGAACTGAATTTTCTCCATTCATGAAAGGAAGTGTAGTACCACCCAAGTCCACCAAAATATCTTCACCACCAAATCAACCACTTGTACGAATCCACGAAGAGTTTAACATCTCGAAAATGAATGCTATAGAAAACCTCGCCCAAAAAATCCTCGACGAGGCAAACGCACAACAAAAACCCACATACCAATGTCCAAAGTGCGATATCCCGCTTCTGGAATTTGAAGACGATGAATATGAATTATGAAACTTTACTATTTCATGGACTACCATAATTGATGTGTCATGAGTATGATTTATATTTCAAAAAATCCTGTTCTTCTGTCACGTTTAAGTACCGTCTAAAGTTCATAGGTCCTCAGTATAATCCAATTGATTGGGCCCTCTGAACTTACTGCTTGAATAAATGGGTTCTTGTCGTTTTTACACATGTGCAGTCAAGGCGGCTGGGAAAATCTAGGAAGATTTGATATCTCTCAAAAACGGGAGGTTGTGGGCTATGATGTATATATGTATGGTATAAAGAGCAGCGTTCATTTCAGGGATTTGTCAAGATGATTAATTCTGCGGAGGCTGGTATAATGTGGAGCAAGAGATTTATTCGCTCATGATGTTGTTCATCTTTTTTTTGGTTGAGTAAGGCATCACTGTTATATATACCTGTATAATAAAACCATCATATTTACAAATTGTAAGATCTTAGAAGCTAGGGCATACAGGGCGAGAGAGTGAGAGGGTGGAGGGAAGAGGGAAGAGAGGTAGTTACATCGTTCGTATACAAGAAATGTATCGAGTATTTAAGATAATTTAGTTTTTTAATTCTCAAAATTCTTTTAATGGAAATAAAAAATTTCAAATAATATATAATACTTGTTAATTGTTATTAATTGTTTTATAAATTATATTTATTATTTTGAAATTTTTTTAAGTTGATTTATTTTTAAATAAAATTTAATAAAAGAATATATATTTTAATATAAAATCTAAATTGAAAATTAATTTAATTTAAAAATTCATTTTATTAATATTTATTAATATTTATTAATAAAATAAATAAAAATTAAGATTTTTAAAAGAATTTTAAAATTATATAATAATTATCAGCTTGTCGATTCTATAATCTTATTATATAACGTGGTTTATCATCGAGTGAGCTATATCATCGAATGGGTCACTTTTCCCTCAATTCACATCTTCAATTTCTATATACGATTTATCAATCAATTATTATGGAATCAATTAATCAAGAAATCTGAATCTTTCTTATTATCGAAACTATTTATAAAGATAAAAAACTAAGTATTTGAAAAGCTTCTAAACTTTATAATATCCTTTGTATAACTCTTCAATATAGAATAGATAATTTACTACTTTGTATAGAAACTCGAATGAATCGTTATAATATTATAGAATTGAAAGAGGAAATAATTATTCAATATATTCTTGATATAAATTCGAAAGGTTTTCTATTTAAATTTAAAAATATAGAAGATATAACGAATTATATTTTTGAATCGAAGGGTACGAAATATATTAAGAAGCTCTAGATATATTGATTCGTAAAACATCGAATCGAATTAAAAATGTGTTTTAATTGTATTTATGATTTTCAAAAAGCTCTTTATAAAGATTCTAAGTTTATTGAAAAGTAGTTTCGATTGATTATGAATATGCAAGCGAAATATAGTATTTTGAATAGCGATTTCTATAATTTCGATGAAACAGACTTTATAATAGGCATTATAAATACAGCAATGATTGTTACTAATGCCGAAAGATATAGCAGAAATAAATCAATATAGCCAGGCAATTGAAAATGGGTTACAGCAATTATATATAGCAATAAAGAAGATAAAACTATTCCTCCATTTCTAATAATTCAAGGATAGATTTATCTCTTCAATTGGTATACCGAAATCAATCTTTTTACGAAATAGGCTATTAAACCTACATCTAATAGATAAACAAATAATAAAACAAAATTGGAATAATTAAAATATTTCGATAAGTATACAATTTATTGAAAAAAGGGCAAATATCGAATACTAGTATTAAATAGATATAAAAATTATAAATCAATAGTTTTTCAATTATATTATAAAGCAAATGATATTATATGTTTACATTTACTATTGTATTCAAATCATTTAACTCAACCATTTGATATTAGCTGTTTCAATAATCTGAAACATTTATATAATGATCAAATTAATAGATTTATTAAGGTATATATCAATTATATTTCGAAGGTTGAATTCTTTATAGCTTTTAAAGTTGTATATAAAGAATCAATTATCTTTCAGAATATAAAATCAGGGTTTCGAGGAACAGATTTAATACTATTTAATCCTGAAACTGTATTTTCGAAATTAGATATTCGAATTCATATATTTACTCCTTTTCTTGTCAATTTAGATCAATAGATCTTTCAAACCTTTTACAATCCAATTGAAGCTCTTTCTCAATCAATTTTAGTGAAATCTCGAATAACCTATCATCAATCAAACTCCTTTACATTTATATTCGAGACTATACTAATTCTAGTTAAAGGTATAAAAAGATTAGTTTATAAAAATATACTTTTGATTATAAAGATTCGTATATTTCGAAAGACAAATAAAATATTAAATAAACATTAATATACAAAAAAAACCTAATTATATCAAAAAGGAATATTTACCAAACAAAATGTTTTTAATATATTATTTTAGTAAAAGATTGATATTTAGATTCAATATAATGAGTATCAAAAAGAAGGGAATTCTAATAAAAAAGTATCTTTTAATAGATATTATAATAAGTATAGAAAATCGGGTTATAATTCAAAAACTTATTAAAATAATATAATAGATCCTAGATTATTAGATTCTTAATAGTTTTAATCAATTGATTTAATGATTATTGAATAATATAAGTTTGAAGATGTGAATTAAGGGAAAAATGGCCCACTCGATAATATGGCCCACTCGATGATAAATCATGTTATAAGGTTTATCTAATATTGTATGAAAGTTGGAATTATAGATCAAATATATAAAAGTTTTAATTAATCAATTATATAATCTTTTATAATTAAATATAAAAGAAAAGCTTTTTATCTCTTCTTTTTATAATAATCAATCTTTTATATATATACATTTGAATCTATATAGTATCAATTTCAAAATCATTATAAACTTTGTTTTATTTATAAATAATATATTATAATATAATCTAATTCAGTTTTCTCTTTCAATTCTTTCTTTATAATATATTATCAAGATATATATATTTCAACTTATTATTTTTATAATAGTAATCTATACAAGAAAGTCGAGTTATATCATTTGCAAAATATACAAAACCAATTTATAAGAATATTATATTGAAAAAGAAAGTAGAATTAGTTGTTTATTGATGAAGAGATGGAATAAATTCTAAAAAAATGAATCTTTCAAAAATAAAAGTGTTAAGTAAAGAATAAGGAAAGTTTGAATTCCTAATTATCTTTATTTTTATTAATTTATTATATTATAAATAAATGATTTATTATTGATTTATTTATCTATATTTTATATAAAAAGTTTATATCAATAAAGTTTTGTTCAAAATTAAACTTTAGTAGTTTACAAAAACAAAAAAGATCTGATTTTGAAATAAATTTAATAAAATATAATTAATTGGATTAAAGGATTTTATATATTTTGTAATTAAATGAAGTATCTTGTTATTTATTTATAAAATAATATTTAAAAGAATTGAATTGTAATATATAGAATTGTTATTTTTAATATCAATATTCAAAAATTTAGAATATATTCTAAAAAACTTTTAGATAAAAGATTTAGATTCTATATAATCTTTTTGTAAGAAAGAATATTCTTAAAGAAATTATTTAAAAACTCTTTTATCTTTTCTGAACTTTACAAAAAGAAAAATATAAATAATAGAGATTATCAAGAATTTAAAATTGATTCAGATTTAAATATGTTTAATATATATTCTTTGATTTAACAATTATATAAATCAAATTTATTATTATTCAAAATTCGTTATTATTTTATTATTATAAAAAACTCTAATCAATCTAAAATTTGTTCAAAAGATATTCCTCAAAAGTTTTCGAAGATATTTATTTCTTATAATTTCAATAAAGAATCCTTTACTGATTTAAAGAGAGATTATATTAAAAAAGGTAAAGGTAATTTTAGGAAAAGAAAAGTTAAGAAAATCAAGAATAATGATAATATAAATCAATCAATGAGAGTTTGTATATTAGATCGAAGTATTATAGATTATATATATATATATCTTATTATACTTTATATAGGAAACTTTAATATCTCTATCTTTGATAAAAACAATATCTTCGATTTCTTTACAATGTAAAAGACTTTACAAATTAATTATAATATATTCAATAACAAAATATAAATTTGCCTTCTTTGGTATTATAATAAAGTTATTTCGATTCAAATAAAGCTTATATTAGAGTATAATTCTATTAATTATAATTAGAAAAAGGGATTTTGTTCAATTCTTCTTTATTGTTTTTACGATTTCGATATTTAACAAATTATTAATATTCACGATTTCTTGAATCAATTTATCAACATTCAACGATTCAAATACAAGATATCTTATAATATAAACTCAATCTTAATTAAGAATTATATTATTAAATTCGCTTTTTTTGTAAATCAACTTATTGAAAACAAAATGATTATCGAATTTGAAATAGAAAGACTTTTCTTATATAGTTTATATATATAAATTAATAAAAAGATTATTAGAAATCTCAAAATTGATCTTAATAATTTTGTTATTATGAATTATAAGAAAATAATAAATGAAATCTTCAAATAATATATATCGGAAGATTCTATTGTTAGGATTTACAAAAGGTTTAGACAATATCAAATTATAATTATATTTGTTATAAAAGAATATATAAAGATATTATTTTCTAAAAAAGCTATTTCAAATTTCGATACTCAAAAAAGGATTGAAAACGAATCAATAAATAAGATAACAGAACTTCTAAATAAACTAAATATGAATTATTTATAAATTCAAATTGAAAATATTAGAAATATAAAGAACATTTATATCTCTTTCCAACAATAAACATTTCAAAAAGAAAAGAATATTAAATATAATAAATTCCTGATTCAAGAAAATTATAATTCTATCTATATAGATATAAATACTATCAACAAAAAAGATTGATATTATTTTTATTGTTTTAAATAAATCTTTTTATAATGATAATTATAATATTAAACAAAACTATTCTATTATATATGAAGATATTCAGAATAGATTGTATTATTATAATAATTATAAAACCTTCAAATTTAAATCAAAGAGAAGTTTTAATATATTTCTGATCTTTAAAGACAAGTTTTATCTTAAAAAACAACAAATTATAATACAATCCAGAATATATAACAATATTGAGTTTCGATAGATTGATATAAGATTACTAAGTAATTAAGAACCTTCAAAAATTAATGTTTCGAATATCGATATCATCAAAGATATATTTATCAATAGTTTTATATATAAAAAAAAACAATTAGTTGATATCAATATAATCTTTCAATCAAAAGAAATAGTTAAATTATATAATCGATCTTTTAAGTAAACAAAAATAATAGAATAAAATGAAATTGAAAAATCATTAAAACCTGTTATTTTTATATTACGAATCTTATAAAGATCAATACTATTAATTGAAAAAGCAAAATTGAAAAAGGATTTCCAAAAACAAAATAACAAAATGGATATTGAAGAAAATCTTAAAGATGAAGATAAGAGAAAGGAAGAATTGTTCAAATCGAATAAAAAAGAGATTATAAGAGAGATCCAATTCTTTTATAATAAAA